TGGCTCTCTTTGCAATATCATAAACAAGCAGAGCACCAACGGCACCTCTGTAATAAGCAGAAGTCTATGATGTTTTCATAATAATAAAAGTATCATCAAATTAATCGTCAAATTAATAATAATATTCGTGATGAAGAGATATTATTCGTTGGAAAGAAATTTTGTTGTATAGAAAATTGATAATTTTGATTAGAATAATCCATCTAGATAATTATTAAACACCTACTATTGCTCTATATCTTTCTTGTCCAGCACTTTTTGTGTAGAATTTTGATTAAATAATTGTCGTTAAAAACACCAAATAAAACAACGCTACTTACGTATCCCAGATTTGTGCCTTGATTGTTTTACCATCGGTTTGTATCGTACGAGTGGCAAACTCAACACCGATAGTAGATTTAGATTCAAGATTGAATTCGTTTCTAGTAAAACGAGAAAGCAAATTTGATTTTCCTACACCAGAATCACCAATTAAAACAACTATAAAAAACATTAAAATCAATCAATATATACTCTGATACACTACTCTTAAATAAATAATCATATTCATCATCCTTTCCAAAATTTGTTGCTGACATTTTTTTTGTAAATATTTTAACGGATGATTTGTTTTACTCGATGGCAGAGAGCGAATGTGGTGCTATTTGTTTTTTATTAATAAAACTCAAAGAAACCGTTGGAGTATCGTGTGCCTGTCGTTGATTCATCAGTCGGTGCTTGAATGAAAACTTCCTTCTTGAGAATTTGAGATTTGTTCCATAGAAATGAACGAAACTGTGGAATAATCTTTTAGTATTCTCTGTTCATGCCACTACAGTTGAGCAAGCTTTTCATAATCTCATCACCAAAATCAAATTTACAGTAAGGAATGGATTCAAAAAATTAGGCGCTCGAACTCTTGTCAATTAGAAGGTGGATGATGGATAATGAAAATGTAAAGTGGTGTTAAAAGCAATGAATCTGGTTGTTTACTATTTACAATTCGTATGTTTGATGAGATTTCTGTTGCTGGTTTCTCTTTACAACAAAAGTTACCATTCCAATAGAAACTGCAAGAAACAGTAGAAATAAACAAGATCCAACTATCTTTCAAAACCTATTAATTGTTAGCTGTTATTCCTTGGGTCACAAAATTGTATACCAGATTTCTTAATTTCTGAAACAGTTACAGTGCTTTTATGAGAAACTGTTATTAAATAGTTAACTTCTCCTCCAGAAGGTGGCGAAACATAAATGTTGCCAGGTTGGGCTAGCAGTTTGGATATGGAAATTCTTTCAATTTTGCAAGAATTGAAACATGTCTTCAATAGGTTGCCACGCTACGACTCAATTTCTTATCTTTTAGGTTGGATGATGAAAACGATGAACTCTTTCCATTCGAACAGCCTCAGTGTTTTGTGATGTTAATTACTGGTTGTACAACAATTCCCATTCAATGACGGTGAATAGTGTCAGATTATTCACTTCATTCAGGTCATTTTGTAAATCTGGTCAATCGGATTTTATCTCAAAAAAATGGCTTCATCTTCACCACCTTTTATTATCAATGATTTGCTTTGTTATTTGCTTCAAAATTTTGCAGATTTTCATGAAATTGTTAATAGTTATTCTCTTGTTTGCAAGCAGTGGAGAAGTGTGAGTGATTTGGCAATTTCTTTGATAAACTATCCGATAGAATTAGAAAGTGGTAACTTGAGAAGAATATTTAGTGATAGGGAAATTTATGAGAGAGAACATGTTCCCCTCCTCAGTAGTATTAAATTTGTGAAAATTAATTCTCTCTTTGCCAAGCAAGATGTTCATAAATTTGCCACTTGTCAATGTTTTTCAAAGGTAAAAGAAATTGATGTGACATGCTATTCGATTAATTATCTTCAATCATTTATCAAAATATTCAAGAATGTACAAGAAATTTCACTCGTCCTAAGAGATAAATTTGATGAGAATTATTTAAAGATTACTAAATTTCCTGAAATGGAAAAGGTGAAATCTTTAGAGTTGGAATATAGTGGTTCTGCTGATGATACTTCAAATCAGTTAATGTGTGAAATTTCCAAATGTAAATACTTTTCCAATCTGAAAAAATTGATATGGCTGGGAAGTGTTATCAATTCGGATGGAATGGAAGCATTGTGTAAAAGTGCATTCATTACCAAGTTAGAAACTCTTCATATCATTGACGACATTGGTTCTGCTGGGGATGAGGATATTAAATTGATGGCTAACTCTGAAAATTTTCAACATTTAACTGATTTGAATTTGCTTGAGAATGGTGGGAAATTCTCCTCTGAAGCTTTGAAACATTTAGGTAATGGAAAGTATATCAAAAACTTGACCAGTTTAGAAATTGGCGAGTTCAAACACTTTATTGAAAGCCCCAGTTTTAGGAAATTGAAACGTTTTTGCTGTGCACATAACTTGAATAGTGTTGCACTTACGTTGAGTCAATCAGAATACTTAGAAGAATTAGAAGATATTCAGAATATCTTTTACCTTAACATGTTTATGAAGTCTGATGGGTTAAAAGCTCTTTCAATGAGTAATAGTATTAGAAATCTGAGCAGATTGTGCTTGAATTTGAGGAGCCTATCAGAGAACGAGGAGTGCTCTCAACATCTCATGAGCTCTAATTTTAGTAACGTTAGAGGTCTGTATGGAAGATTTGAGACCAACCTTTTAAAATCAATTGCTTTTTCATCAGCAATTAGGGGTTTAGAAACTATAGACTGCGTAGCGTGTGATGTTAAAGATGATTTCTTTAAGCTGTTATCTCACCCAAAGTTTTGCAGATTGAAAAAACTTGTTTTACAATCAGAAACTACAAAGATCGACTTTTCTGAATTGAAAGATTGTTCTTTTCTAGTTCACATTCAACGTTTGGAATTGAACGATATTCAGATGGGAAAAGAAGGATTGGAAGTGTTATTTTCTGGAAATAATTCTAAATCATTGAAATATCTATCTTTTTTAAACTGTAAATTGAAACCTATAGATTTGAATATCATCTCACTGAGTGAAAATCTCAATTCTCTTGAAGAAATGGTTATAGAAAATAATATTACTTCGGAAGAAGGTACAGGAATATCTAATCTTTTTGAAAGCTCTAATTTAATCAACTTGAAATCTCTCACTTTGAAAAGAGTTGGTTTGATAGATTCTGATTTGAAACTCCTAGCCAATAGCTCACTAGGAAGAAAGCTTAGGAACCTGATAATTATCGATGAAGATAAAATATCACATATAGGTCTGTATTGGGTGATGGAAAAATTAACAAAACTGAAATCTCTCAAATTGGAACCGAACAATTTTAACGAATATTCAGAAGCAAAGATTTTGAACTTTCTGTCAAGTTTTCATAATTTGAATGAAATTTATGTGGGATATACTGGACGTCACCATTCTCTCAAGGAAACTGTAGAATCAATGGGAATCTTTTACCATAAAGATGGGTTTAAATCAACAGGAGTTAATTGAGATGGAGGATTGAAACATTTCTATCAATATTTGATCTTGTATTAGAATATAATAATAAATCAATAAAAGATATTGTTTTAAAGGAGAATAACGTAAGAAAACAGCCAAAGAAAATCGCTTTTACAATACCCAAAACAAGTAACATACAATGTTGTTGATCGCTCAAAACTTTGTTTCTTGATGCATCTAACTAAGAATCTTTTCAGTTCAAGGTATTATCCAGATAAATAAGCTTGGTACCTTAATTGGGACCATGATGCTCATTAACAATCTATTGTTTTTTTCACTTGTTGGAGCCTTAAATCCCCCTTTTGTTCCAACTTAATGTATCTCTCTCAACAATAGTCAAATATTGTGTGTTCGTTGTTTTTCAAAGATAAAGAAAAAAGGACAACATACAACCACCTTTTTGTTATAAACTTTTTAAACCAACAAGATGACGAAGAAAATCTCAATGGTGCGTTCCTCTCAAGACTCATCAAATGATGTAATAGAAATTAAAGTTGGAAATAGAGGAAGGAAGGGTAGTTTAGCCCCGGTGGAAATTGAGGAAGTTGATGATTATGAAATTCAAGAAGAGCATACTTTGGATAAGATCAAGAGAGAGAGGAAAAACTTCTTTGCGCATATTGGCTTTTCTGTATTTATATCATTAATTTCTCTGATTGGTTCCATAGTTTTCCTAGTGCTTCATGTTTGGCAGAGAGTTACAGAGAAGGCAGCAAAGATAATCAAGACTGATGATTCCTTTGTTTTTACTACATCCACTGGTTTCTTTGTGGCTTTTGCTATGTTTTTAGTGATATTTGTGCTTGGTGTTCTGTATTGCCTTGGAAGAACAGTGCTTTTGGTGCTTCTCTTTGAACATGATAGGTCCTTACTAATCAAGACGATAGATGAACAAGAAGCTGAGAAATCCGAGTCAGAAAAAAGTGTAAAATAGATTTACTTTTCATACATATTCTTAGCAGTGAAGAAGGAAAGTACAGAGAAGAAGGCAGCTGGTATAACAACAGAAAGAGCATCCTTAAAGCTGTTCTTAGCTGGAGAGGTATTGGTAGTGACATGAGTAACATCAAGATGGGCTAGTTCCTTAGCCTTTTGAAGACAACCCTTAACATTAAAGTTATATTCCTTCATTTGTCTGTATGGTTTCAAGTCTGTCAACCAGTTTTTCTTTTGGTGAGTTATGAAGAGTTCCTTTTGGAGGATATTAATGTGTTCCTTAAAGAAATCTTCATTGTATACTTGATTGTCACCAGCAAGGAAGACACCACGACAAGTTGGAATCAAAATAGCAATATTTTGAGCAGCTTGCATCAAGTAACGATAGTGTGTAATCATGGCATCTCTTGAATGTACATCAGTTGAGTAAGATTCAGCAACTTTTAAAAAATATTCATAATTAAATTATTACAAAAATTGATAATAATAAACACATACTTTGAGCAGCATTCTTTCTTTGAGCATTGGGAATATTTCTAATTTCAAATTCATAACAATATTCCAAACCTCTTCCACTACAAATATCCTCATATTCAATTGGGTAAATACCACTATAAATCTTTTGACTAAGGAATTCAATTCTTTCACGATCTTCGTGGAAATCACATGAATTAGTACCAGGAGTAGCAACATGAACGTGACCAGCTTCCAATGGAATAACATTAAATTTACCTCCAGAAGCTCCAACAATCAATCCAGTTCCCAAACCAGTTCCCATAGCCAAAACAGCATCTAATGAATAAATTAATGATTCAATAATAATTGAGATTAAACTACTACTCACATTCACTAGTATCGGAAAGTCTTACTGTTTGTGGTGTTGCAAAATTATTAGCACTATCATATGGACAGAAGAATTCATGGAGACGATTATTGGTGCCAACATTAATAATACCATAACAACTGGCTTCAAGATCATTCAACAAGGTATTCTTATGAGCAGGGAAGAGAGTATCAGTGAGTTGAGAATAGTAAAATTCCTGATCATTTTCCTTGTAGTTTGTAATTCTAACCTTTTCTCCAGTAACTGGACCTGCAAGAGCAATAGTACCAGCAGCACTTCCTTGTTTAACAATTTTAACCAAAGCTTTACCATAAAATGTAAGATGTTCTGCCAAGTTGGTAGCAGTATTACATGGGAATTTAGTCATGAATACTTCATCATCCTCATCATTAACAATAAATTGGATGGCAATTCTTGTATTAGTTGCACCTACATCAACACCAACAATATATTGGAAAGATTTACTCTTCAATGATTTACTATAATGCTTTTCAATATCCTTTAAAAAGTCCTCATCCACAACAAATGGTTGATGTGTAGTATCATTGCTACTAACACTACTCAAACTTCCTCTACTTGATGATGAAATCATTTTCAAATTATAATATTACAATGTTATTATTGTTCCGAATTAAAGACTATTTGATTGGCTTATATACTAGATGATCACACAACAACACAAGTTAACAGATAATTAAAGCCAAGTCGAGAGTTGGGAGGATTTTTTTGAGGTTTTTTCCTTGGCAAGCCAAATGTTTGTAGAGAACAATTTTGGTGAGTTTATTATAATTGGAATATTGTCCAATTTGAAAATGTAATTTTGCTGAACGTCGTTTTGATATAAATTTTACAATGATAATATTAAGGAAGGGGAAAATTATTATCCTTGCCCAGTTACAGCCAATCTATTGTCATTTTTGCTCACAAGAATATTTGGGCAAAATTCATCATGATTAATGTTAGAAGTCTAAATCTTTATTACATGTCAACCTTATCGTACCATGGCAAATTCTTGTGACCCATTTGGGACATCATTGCTTCAACAGTATTAGTATCACCAAAGTTCAATTCATCATTCTCCTCTTGTTTGAGTTCTTCCTCTAATTGTTGAAGATATTCGGAGTATTGCGAAATTCTTTCAGTATCTTCTGTAAAGTAATCTTCCACATATGAGATTGTTACTTTAGGCAATAATGATGCCAAATCTTCTGGAATGTACAGTTTGTAATTCTTTACGTTGGTGTGAGTCTTTTCCAAAGCAAAGAGAGCAAAATGATGATTCACAGATTCAAAATTATTTGATTTCAAACTATTGACAACAGAAATATAATTCTTAACATTGGAAGTATCTTGGAAGTCAACTGGTTTCTTACCAAATCCATTTCCTTCAACAATTCTTATTGTAAATACATCGAGACCAGATTCACCCTTTGTTGCAATGACAACATCAATGTCATTATACAAACTATACTTTGGATAAACAATATGAATGTCATCCAATAAGTCTTTTTCACAAATGGATTTGAGAGCTTCGGCAACTTGACTGTCTGAAGAAACCTCATGAATATTTACATTGAATGGAGGTGATCCAGGCTTAATAGATATCAGAGACCCCTTGGAGAAGTCAGAAAGATCTCTACCGAAGAATGAAATGAGAGGACTAGGTTGATTCAAACAAACAGACAAACCCTTCATGTCTAACTTTGGCTCTTGTTCAAGCAATGCATCAATTTCAGTCTTTGGCTTGATTCTTTGCTTCAATTTTTCTTTCAAAATTTCTAGCTTCTTACCAGCTCTATATTCTACTTTTCCAATAATTTGGGATTGATCCTCCAAAAGACGAGCAAGAAGTTCCAAAATCAATGCATTTCTCTTCTTTGGGAAAGGTGTCTTGGCCAACCACAAAGACATTATCCTTTCTGATCTAGTAGAGTGAAGGTTGAACTTTGTGGCATACAAGTGATTTGCCAAATTTTGCTTGAAAACAGATTCGGCCATCGAATTTCTGAACTTGTACTTGGTTCCATTTTTCGAAGAAATTCTATACCAAATATTTGTATCCAGTAAGGTTGATTCCATGAGAGAAGAGTTGTATTTCTCAGAGTAATCATTTCTAGAAAGGTACCAATCGAATGCATTATTGTAAAAATTAAGTCTACTGCTATCCATACACATGGTAACTTCTTCTTGGTTATTAAATGTAATATCACCAATAGTAAATGGTTTGTCTTCGATGGTGATATTGGCAAATTCTCCTGATTCTAATTGATCCTTTTGCTTTTGGAAAGCTATAACTTTTCTCACGTTACCAAGCTTTTCTTCGAAAATTGACTTAACTAACTTGTGTTGATAATTTTGTTTAGAGTCTCTAATGTAATCCTCAAATGATCTATAATTATTAAGAAGGTGCACAATGTCTCCGATAAAGTTGTTGGTAAGTCTTTTGATTTCTTCTGGATGTTCCAATAAAGGATTCTCATTGGTTTTCTTATAATTTTCCAAGAATAAGTCTACATCCTCATTACTAAGTCTTCCGAAGTTAATCAAATTATGCTTTTCCGATTTTCCACGATATGTATTTGTATATTTGAAAAGATTTGTTTTTTCTTCGCAAGCGTAAACGAATTCAATATTATCTGGGAGTTTCAAAATTTCAATGAATGGGAACATGGTAAAATAGGCCTTATTTGTTTGTGGATGTTCAAACATTTCTTGGTAATCATCACAGAAAATAACAGTCTTTGAGAAGGAATTTTGAGCTAATAAATTCATGAACTTGGCAAGAGCTACGGAAATATCCTTTTCTGAGAGTTCTTCTTGAACATTTCTCACTTCTTGTAAATATTCAACCCAAGCTTCAAGAACTTGAACAACAGCCTTCAGTCCAGTCTCGTGATGCTCTTCCTCTTCTGTGGTGGTGAGTTCATTTTCTATTGGTTTTTGCTCTTGATTTGATGATGTGACAGTAGTACTTGGTTCAACTTTTTCATTCTTTAACATAATTTCATGTTTCTTCTTAAATCTTTCGTATTCTTTTTCCAATTGATTTGTAAGAGTGTTAATTAAATAAATGCTTGATGCTTTTTGGAATTTGTTTGTTGTAGAATATGTTTGAATCCATGATTTGATACTTCCCAAATCAATTACTATGGTGTGTACACCATCGTTTTCCAAAATATTACTATCTTGTTCTCTAACTTTTCTAATCGTTTTGCTTAAAAACGTTGTCTTTCCAGATCCTTTTGGTCCTAAAATCAAAACTCCAGATAATTTCTCAGCTGGTGCAACAACCTTTCCATCATCAGTACTTTCAGGCAAATCCTTCTTTTTAGCAAAAACTTTGAAAAATTGCTCTTCAATTGATGCTCTCGGAAGGTATGGTGTTGTTGTAATACCTTCTGAGAGTTTCACTCCCGATGAAGAAAACATTCTACATTGCTCCACCAAAAATCTAGCAATCAAAGATTGTTGTCTTGTCAAACTCTTCGAAGAAAGTTTGGAAAGTGTGTTAATTCCTCTTCTCATTTTTTTAAAGGCTTGTTTTACTTCTCGATGCCAATTCTTCAATTTAATTTTGATTAGAAATTGATATATTGTTACTATCATTCACCTAGAAATAATACGGTATTGAATATTCCTTTTGTGCAACATTATAGCTCTGATATTCTGGTATTTTGGAAGGGGCTTAGTAATATTAAAAGGAAGAAAAAAATGTTTAACGAAGAAGAGCCAGCAAACTTAAGGCAACATTTTGCTTTGGAGGATGATGGTGACTACTCGAGTATGAATGATAATCCACAGGTGATTGATAATGAACCACGAGTAGCTGTTGTTGATTTTGTTAATGCTGATGATCATCAAATCGCTGAACAGCAAACAACAGATGTCAATCGACAAGTTACTGTTGTTCCTACGGAGGAGACAATTAGTTACGAACCACAAAACGTTCAAATGTTCTCTCTACATGATGATATAGAGGAAGAACATACAGAGGATGAAATCATTGTTCATGGACAGGAAAAAACTCAACTCGATGAAATGTTGGAATTTGAAAAGAGTGCAGAACAAGATGCTGCTCCGAAATCAACCATTGAGAAAATTAAAAAGTATTTCAAGGATGAATTTCAATTTAAATCTAGAAAGTTAAATGTCTTTTATGCAAGTCACTTTTTGGCATCTTGGGTAAGTGAAAGAGTGTGAAATTAATTTTATTAATTGTGAAATAATACGAAAGGGTGATAGAATGTGGGCTTTTGCTTTACCTGTAATATTTGGTGACATGTTCCCAGAAACATTATTACCTATGGCACTTATGGGATTTATACAAAAACTTATTGGAATAATACTTGGGCCACATATGGGTTACATGGTTGATACAATGCCAAGATTTAAGGTCATGTCAATTGCTCTTATTGTACAAAATGCCTCTGTAGCATTAACTACTCTTTTAATTTTCTTACTTGGATATTTTGGATGGAGATCTGAGGATTCAAAACCTCAAACTGAAACAGATGCTCTATTTATTTGGCCATTCGAAACAGTTCTTTCAATGGTACTTTTCTTTTCATGTGCTCTTATTGGTTCTTTAAGTGACTTATCCTCTATGGTTACAAGTGTGGCCAGAACTAAAGATTGGTGCTTGGTGGTTGCCAGAGGCGAAAAACTTCCATTAGAAAGAATCAACTCAATGATGAGACGTCTCGACATGGTTTCACTCATTGTATCACCTGTTTTATTTGGTCTCATTCTTACTTTTGCAGGATACAAGATTGGAGCCATTGTAGTTTGTTTATGGAATGTGTTTTCTCTTGTTCCAGAGTATATTTGCATTCGCTATGTTTACAATAATACGAAAGAACTTCACATTACAAAATTGGAGCAAGAATTGAAAATCAAAGAAGAGCGTGAAAGAGAATTATTGGCAGCCAATGAGGGAATGCAACAAATTGATTTGGAACAAAAGGAGGAAACAGTTAATTTGAAACATCAAAACGTTTTCAAGGTACGTACTAGAATTAATAACTTTACAATAATAATCTACTTCCATTTTGATTAGATTCTGTTTATGGGATGGAAATCATATCTCACCCAAAAAGTATTTCTCTCAAGTTTGGCATTTGTCTTTTTATTTATTACTGTACTTACTCATAGTGGATTGCTCCTTTCTTACCTTAAGAGTCACAAAATTCACTCTGCTGTTTTGGGAACTTTCCAAGCATTGAGTGCCATCTCTGGTCTCTTGTCAACCTTTATAGCACCTTACTTGATTATGAGAATTAACGTTTTTAGAGGAGGACTTGTTTCCCTTTACTTCCAATTCTTCTCTCTAGTGGCAGGAGTTTTGTGCTTTATTGTTTTCAATTTCTGGTCTGAGCAATTCTACTTTGCTGTTTACTTCTTCCTTATTGGAATTATCATGAGTAGATTGGGTTTATATGCCTTTGACCTTGCGGAAATTCAAATTATGCAACAATTGGTAGATCAGAAAGATTCTGGTATTGTCAACTCAACAGAAGGTTCCTTAACCAAAATTGCTGACCTTATTGTCTTTTTCTCTGCTCTCTTCTTCTCTACACCATCCAGATTTGTTTTCCTAGCTTGTGGAAGTTTATGTTGTGTTGGTATTGCTGCTCTATCGTACACCTTCTGGTTTTTGAGAAATAGAAAGCATATGAATCAATGGCTCAAAGAAATTGAAGAGGAAGAACTTAAAAGATCAGCCAAGTAATATTACTCTCTTAATCTTATTTATATTTATGAAAATACATTAATAGATCAATATTCCTTGTTGTACAACATTCAAGCAAACTCTGTAACCAGGATGAACTACATTGTAATTACATTGAAACATGTTTTCGGAAGTTTTGCAAGGTTATTTGTATTTTCAATTCCTTCTTCACGTTACCACTGAGAAACCTCTTAAAAAACTATAAATAACCAACAAGTTAGAACTTCTATTGCCATCAAAGAAAAAATATGTCCTTTCCATCATCACATTTAATCTACCATCCAATCCTTGCTAACAATAATACTAACGGCCAACAAGTACCAATGCCACAACATCAACAACAACTTCCAAACCTCCACAATATTTTCCAACCAGCACAACAACAACCAAAGCCTATTCACGTTAAGGTTTTAGTGTTTGAAACCAAGAAGGAAGATCTCTCTGCTTTGGAAACTTTAAAGCCAACTTCTATTCGTAGAGGTGAAAGAGTATTGACAAATTATGCTGACTTGACTAGATATTTGACTGAAAAGTGTGGTTTAACTCTCGAAAATGCTTTAATTCGTTATCAAGACGATGAAAATCACTGGGTTGATATTTCTAGTGATGAAGAACTTGCTTATGGTATTCAACTTTGTAGAGAAAGTAGAACAAGTGCTATTAGATCAGTTTTTAGAATTGCTGTCATCTTGTTGAAGAAGGAAGAAGAAAAACCAAGGCAACCAGAAGAAGAAAAACGTGAATGTCCATATTGGAAAGGTAGAAGACAAGGTGGTTGTCCATTTAGAAGACCAAGACACCATCCTCTTCCAGAAAATCATCCACATTGTCCATTCATGTTCAAAAAGACTATGGACGGTGATAATGTTCTTGAAGTTGATATTGATGTTGAACAATTGAAGAATGGATTGAACGTTAATGATTTTGTCAGAGAAAATATTGACAAGGTTCAAGTCCCACACTTTGGTGTCACTTGTGATGGTTGTGGAAAGTATGCTTTTGTTGGAAAGAGATTCAAGTGTGATGACTGTGATGATTTTGACTTTTGTGAAGATTGTTTTGCATCTGAAACTGTTAGAAATGCTCACTTTGGTGGTTCTCACTCATTCACTGAACAACAACCTAGATCAGCTTGTTTCTTGAGAAATATCTTTGGTGCTGAAAAGAAGGAAGAAGAAACTGTTATTGATAACCAATTATATGAAGAACAACCAGTTGTTGTTGAAGAACCTGTCGAAGAACCTGTTGTTGTAGAAGAACCTGTTATTGTTCCTGAACCAGTGAATGTTTACCAAGTTCCTCATCCATTGAACCCAATTCAACAACCAATTGTTGAAGAACCAGTTGTTGTAGTCCAAGAACCAATTGTTCAACCACAACCAACACTTTACCAAACTGAGCTCGCATTGTTGAGAGACATGGGATTTGTTGATGAAGTTTCCAATTTAATTTTGTTGAATAAGTATAATGGTGATCTTCAAAGAGTCATTGTTGATTTGATTCACTAAATTACTGAATTGAAAACCATGTAAATCTAACTGTATATAAACTTGTAATTTAATCCATTAAATAAGGTGTTAGTCTTCTCAATGTTTAATTTTATAGATCTTCTGAAATTCTAACAGCATAAGATGCATCATCTATTAAAGAGAAGGCTTGCTTTGATAATTTGTGTTTCTTAATGTTGTGGCATCCATCAATGTGGATTTTCTTAATGTTAGGACAACTTGCTGCAATACTGTTAACTGTTTTGTGTGAAATGTAACAATATTCAAGACCAACAATTTCCAAATTTTTCAATTTGGCTAGCTCATAACCTCCAGTGTCATTGATTTGATCTTGGCTTAGGTTCATTAGAAATAGTCTCTTTAGAGATTCGATTTGCGAAATATACATCACACCTTCATCTCCACAACTACTACTTTGGGTTATGTGTAATTCTTCGAGAGTGTGTTTCAATCCAACGAGATGCTTCAAAGAATCCCTTCCTCCATAATAACAGTTCAATCCCAGAGACTTTAATTGGGGCAAGGATGCGACAATTTGAAGAAAGTTGTCTGGAATCTGGGTATTACTCAAATCTAAACATGTCAGAGAATGAGGTAATGATTGAATATTTCCTTCCTTAATATTGTTTTCATTCAAAACAAGTTTTTCCAACTTGTCTAATTGACTTATATTCTTGAAAAACTTGTATAGATCTTCTGCTGTTCCATTATTTCTTGAATAAATATGTGGACTAATTTTTGAAACAATTAGTTTGAGATTCTTCCAATTTAGGATGGCTTCGTGACAACATATAACAGATGTTTCACATTTTAAAACCAGCTTCTCCAATAGAGGTGTATGTTTCGATAACTCATCAATAAAACCTTCACCAAAATGATGTCCAGTCCATCTAAAGGATTTTAACAATTTCAAGATCATCATGGACTCATTGACATCTTTCATCAGAATTTGCTTTGCATGGTAATTTTCCTTCTGGTTATACGAACCAAGATTAACATGTTCTATATTCGGACACATTAGTACTAACTCATTAATTAAAGAAGGAAATGTTTCAATACCAGCAATATCCAATCCAATAACTCTCTCACACAGACCATTCCTTAATACATATCTCAAATATTTAAACATTTTCTTTTCAATATCCTTTTCTTTATCCTCGTTTACTTGTCCAAATCTTCTTATACACTGCAATATTTGACGAGCTAAAGTTTTCTCAATCACAATTGGCTTATTTCCATAATTTACAATTTGAATTAGTCTACACAATTCTTTTGGAGAATACCTATCCACTCCCAAATCTAATTTTCTAAATAGCAGCCTTGGACAACTAGAATCTCTATTCGGGAACTTTCCAAAGTATTGTTTGAAAAACTTTTTCTCATCAAATTTTAATTCATTAAAATCGGAATTGACATCCCATGCAGGAGGCGTCCATTTCCTCTCTCTGAATGGAGTCTCCCTAGGAATCTGCTTATTCAACGCCTGATCATGACAATTCGTCAAGCTCATCATCAATTGCTCGTCCCCACAAATATAATCCAAAATTTCCAGCACAATATCAATAGGCAACATTTTGAATGAGTCATTATGAATCTTGCCATGTGGTATTACGAGAAAGGAGAGGGATTTCTCTTCATGTTCATCCTTCTTTTTGGAGCGAAACAAGTCAAACATTTTTTTTTCAAAGTTCATAGGTCTCCAATTCTGTATCTCTCTAAATTTGAACTTTACAAAAAGATTTAAAAGAGTTTGATGAGAAAGAAATTAAATTTATTGGAAAAGTTGTGAGGAAGTTTGTTTAGTGTCACCAGAGGTAGTGTTGGTGGATAGAGTTTGATCAGAATAATCGAAACTATCATCACCATTTGTCTTTTCTGATGTTGATTTGGTCTTGTTGGTAATCTTTGACTTGATCTTGGCTCCCTTTTGTTTAATCTTGTCTGTTTTCTTCTTTCTTCTTTCGAGGGAGAATAGATTGGAGAAGACATCATTAATGGTTTCATGTTTGCTATTGAGAGAGCTATCTCCAGCTGGATCATCATCAAATTCATCAATGTCCAAACCAAAGACAATTGTTTCCTTCACCTTATCATCAGACTTGTCTGTAGTTCCATTACTGATGGAATTTTTAATTTCTTCCAATTTTTCCTTAATCTTTTTGGCTTCTTTTCTCTTTCTAGTTCTGATATCCCACAAGACAGCCAATACGAGAACAGCTGCAGTGAGAACGAAAATGATTATTGTCAATACAAGCGCAAGAGTTCTAATCCACAATAAACCGACCAAGGATTCAACATCGTAGAAGAAAATTAAACCAGTAAATAATGTCAGGAGGGTGGCAACTAGGGTTACATATTCAATGAGGTTGTGCATCTTCTTTGAATATGGAACTAATTGTAAGTGAATGACAAATGAAAGGAAAATCAAAACAAATCCTAAAGCAATTACTTGAAGTGGAGCTAAAAAGACGTAGAGAACTGAAAAGACCAACTTTCTAATGGTAATAACACTTTCATAATAGAAATATCTTGGCTTGAATTTGACAAATAGGAATTTGAATCTCTGAATGAAAGCATGTTCTTCTGTAAGTTTGACTTTTCTATATCTGATAGCAGAGTAGAGGAAGAATGCAGCTGCTCCCAATCCAAACAAGATAAAGTAAATTACTGAGAATGGGAACATTACCCACCATGTACCTTCAAAACAAGTAATGTGTGGAGCTTGTTCCAAGTTCTTTGAACCATCCGCTTGATCCTTACACAAGAAAATATCAGCACTTGTTTGAATAATATACATGTAGGCCAATGAAAGGAAAGTAATGAATGAGTGAATACAATTATTCAAAAACTTCTTCATCTCACTTCTTGGTAAATAGGTGGTGAGAGTCCAAATAATTTTGTGTTGGGATTTGTAGATTGCAGTTCTAGCTGAGAACATTATACCAGTGAGAGAATGTTTTAACTTTTGCATCTTAGTGAGCTTTGGATCTGATTCAATTTCTTGTCTCTTGATAAACTCATTGTACAAATCGGTAATATCCCACTTCTTCCATGGAATTTTAGGTCCAGCAAACTTGGCAATAATATTTCTCAATTCGCCCATTAAATACAACACTACGAATAAGATTAAAAGCATTACAGGAATTAACATTTTCAAAATCCATTGAGGTACAAAACCAATTGGAAAAACACATTGGAACTGAATAAAATCAAAGTTGAAAGTACTTGCAGAACTTGCAGTGAAAAGTCCAGAGATTTCTTCTGGAAGGTTCAAATCAAACTTTGTCCACATACTATTCACTTGGAAGAAGAAGAGTGCAATACTCAATGATGAAATGTGATGCACCTTGATTGATGAAAAGAAGAAGAATATCAATGCAATAACAGCTACACCACCTATCAAAAGTGTCAAATAGAGAGGAGCAAGATTTGAACATCTACTACATGATCTGGAACTTCTATAAAAACCATCTTCACACAAACCACAAACGAAACCAGTATAACCATCGGTGCAGTTTCCAAACAAACCTGCATTACAAGAAGTTGAAGGAATGCACTCATAGAAATTGTAAGGACTATAACCAGTTGCATTTGAATGCCAGTAACCAGTCTTGGCAATAGGGTAAGTAGTATTAAATGATGGACAATCAGCACCTTTTGGACATGTTACACAGGAATTCTTGTAAATATTATAATAATATGTTTGTGAAGGACATCCACAATAGTCAATGCTTGTAGAGCCAGTATCTAATGTAGTTTGCAAGGAAGGACATTTAGTGCATTCTAAAGAACCTGGTTGACTTGCATAGTAACCTCTATCACATGCAACACAAGGACCACCAGTAAAGTTCTTTGAATAACCAATCTTACATGGTTTACAAAGTTCATTGAAACTAGATTGTTCATATCCAGGTCCACATCCATAATAAACAAACTTTTCAGATGCTTTCACAAAATCAACAGAATTTCTGGATAGGGAAATATCTACTTCAGAGATAGGGTTACTAACACCTTTGCATTTTACAGTTGTTGAGCTTATTCTTGAGCAGTCAGTTGATTCTCTGATACCGAACTTGGCTCTGAATTTCATTCTTCCCTGAGTTAAAAAGTACTCTTCTCTAGGATGAATAGGGAAGCTTCCAATGAATGTGGTTTCAAATTCACCTGTTGTAATACCTTGTTTAGGTGTGAAAGAATCAATATTAAGTTGTCTGTAGATTGGAATATTGATAACTTCTTTGCTTTCATCCAAATTAGATCTCAATGTCATGTCCATTTCTAAAGTACTAGAAATACCCAATTCGGTAACAATTTGAGAAGGAACAAATGTACAACCAATGGAATACTGATCAATGAAATTGGCATTTACAATTATTGTGTTATTAACACTGGATGCCTTGCTAGCCCTAAAGATACATTGAGTTGACTGTGAGTCTATTGAAGAAGCTTTGATATCCAAAGTAACTGGTTGATCAATTAGAGGAACTTCCTGTGGATTTACACTAACTATAATTGGAGGATCAGCAATAGAATCATCATAGGTAAGGATTTCCTTCATAACATATTGGTTTTCCAGGAATGCAAAGCCAATACTAAATTTTGTAGGGAATCTAACCAGGGATTTATCAACAGTAAGAATTGATGAAGCTGCTGGAGCTGTCACTGTCAATTCAGTAAATTGTACAGCATTTGTTGTTCTGGTATTTCCATCAATTTGAATATTTGTAGTGTAGGACTTGAATAAATTAGTGTTTGAATTAGAAATTTTCATTGAAGGAATTATTCCTTGTTGAGTAGTAATTGCACTATTAAATGTAACTCTGAGATTAGTTTGTGATCTTGTAGATGCTTTGGCTTTTTGGTACTGATTAATAATAGAAAAGTCAAATGAAGGGATTAAAGTAATTGTTGGAGAGGCAATAACGTTAATATTAATATTTTGGAAAGCAATAGCAGCTATTTGCAAATCCCACGGTGGTAGAGAATCCATTTCAATAATGAAGGAATATTTTGAGGTCCAACCTTTGGATATGGTTGAAGGGGTACTGGTAGAACCATCAGCTTTGAAAATCACAGTAACAGTGCTAATCTTGGAAAGATCACTACTAAAACTAGCTGGAAGAATTATTGTTACACTTGTTTTAGCTCCTAATTGAACTTTGGAATGTGAAATTGAAACGGAAGGAATTGAGGATAAAGTATTATTAGGATTGAAAATAAGAAGGTTCTTTGAAATTGCAAAGATCTTACTAGAAGCTCCCTTGTTGATTCTAATACGATCAAATTCAAAGTATTCAAATGGTCTTAAATTTTCAAATATTATATGCCCATAATCAAGATTACAATAGCTTGCTTTACAAGATTTTGTAAAAACAAGTTCTTGCAAATTTGTACCATTTGTTCCAATTTTGATGAAGGAAAGTGAGACACCAGATAAAATAGAATAAGGAACATTGGAAAATGTAACAATATTTTGATCATAAATAGTTCGAATAATGAAATTCTCACTATCGTCCACCATCTTAATTTTGAAATTTGCATGGGTATAGTAAAAAGCACCTCCATCCAATGAGAATGAGTAAGAGATTATTCTTGGGAAAACAATGTCATAATACCACATTAATGGAGTTGTTATGTGTACTACGGGGGTAACGCTACCACTTTCATAGGTAACAGAGCATGTTTGAACGATGGACAAAACACCATCTTCATACTTTACCAAGCATGATTGAGGTTTGTTTTGGAAAGTATTTGAGATGAGCTTAAGATCAATGCTAATGGATCTAGTTGTGGTTGCTGTAATAACACCATTATCATATGCTTCTGAATTGATGGATTGCAACGAGAAATCTTCTTTCACTCCTTTATAAATAGAAATATCTGGTAGATCTAAATAGGCACCTGAACTAAATTTCAATCTGGATTTTCTTAGAGTTTCTTGTAGGTCATTGAAGCCAATGTTTTGAATGCGAATAGTATTGGAATCAACAACCATGGTAGGATATGAATTGAAAGTAGTATTGGAATATATTTCAAGGGTTGGCGTATCCTTTTGATAGAATACAGATCCATAGACTTCCATAGTATAAATTTGGTTAATTCTGAAATAATTAGTACTGAGACTTTGAATAGTAGGAGCAGAATATAACACAATTTCTCCTTTCATCTGGAAAGCAGATTGAGCGTTAATCAATAATTTCACAATAGAAGTAACTGGATAAGATGTTGAATAACTAAAAGGTCCCTTTACACATTCTAATTGGGCATTATTAGCAAATAGTTGTTTACAAGTTGCTTCACCTATTAATCTATTCTTTTCAAAAAGTCCAATTGAAAAAGTATAGCCAGAAAAATCTCCACTGAAAGGTAGAGGAACATAAGGATTATCAATCAATGTAATATTAGATCTATATGAATAAAAAGTTATCAAATTATTAACTTGATAGGCTTCTATGAAATCTATTGGATAACTTCTAGAATATAAATCAATACCATTCCAAGTTAAAGTGACATTTTGAATACCAGTTTTTGGGTATCCATTTGGTAAAGTTGGTGGTTTAACAACACAAAATTGATTTCTTGTCATATTTGTCTTTTTGTTATCGAATTGACATGTAATATCAAAGTCCTCAGCATTTAAACTAGCACTGGTAAAGAGGAAATTTTGATTAGATGCATGACTTTGTCTGTAGTCTGCAATATATGGAGAAATATGAGAAACATTGAATGAAGACTTTTTAAGGAACAATGTCAAGTCATTAGCAATAATGTAAGATTTTCTTTGATTTTCAACATTGATAAATTCAATAGCAGTGGTCATGTATGAAGGTATTTTGTTAACCATTGGTTCAATACCAACAAATGTACAACTAGCTGGATCAGCTCCAATACAATCTAATGTTGTTGTTTTCAAGTTTTGTATTTTTTGAGATCTTAAATAAGGAGTAGCAACAACAGATTGTTGAAGACTATAACTTGAAGAATGTGGAATTTCATAATTACGTAGTTCATATCTAGTATTCAAATTTGATGCTGTCAAATATGAGTTGATATTCCATGTCAGCTTCTTTTTGTAAAGAATCAATTCAAGCTCATTGCTAGAAATGTCTAAAAGATTACTTCCTAAATCTATCACTAATTTGGTAAGTAAATTATAAGATGAGAATGTTTGATCAATCAAGAAAGGACAAACAAATAAACCGTCTTGAATTTGAGCTTGTGTTATTTTTCTAACTTGACCAATACTTGGTATTGTTGATGTAACTTCTCTAAAAGTACAAGATAAACCTTGAGGAATAAAACTCAATTTGCTGACCTTGTAATTGATATCTGTTGTACTACCAGTAAGTGCTGGTAAGTGATAAGTAATGAATGGGTCAATGTATGAAATTTCCAAAGGTGCATTGATAAAGGTTACATCTCTTGTTGTTGTTAAAAGAACATCACTTGGACCATTACTAAAGTAAATAGAAATTTTAAATACTGTTGATATAGAATAGCTAAAACTGAATGGACATGTGAGAGTTCCTGATGGATTATAAATGGCTTTGATTTTCACTACATTGGTACTTGTAGAATCAGCCAAATAACAAACAAAATTATCAGAGGAAATAAATACCTTCTTATCTGAAAGTGAAATATCAAAAGAACCAACTCTGGAGATAAATGCAAATGGTACAGGTTGTTCTATTGGTAAAGTAGAAGGTAACCAAATAAAATCTAAAGCACTAGATGAAACCTTCATATTTCCATTCTCTGCCATTGGATTATTATAGTAAATTTCAACTTTAGAAAGAATAAAGGAATTTGTAATTGAGCTTGTCTTTGCTAAAACGCATTTGAACTTGAGTGTATCAGTTGATTCAGACACAAATGTTGCACTATTACTAGTGATTGGATCTTGAACACATTTGATAGAACCATTATAACCACCATTATTTAACATGAATAGTGTGGCAGTATTCTTGCTTACAGTGAAAAAGATAGTTGCACCACTTGCCTTAGAACCTTTAATACTGTCGGATGAATATTGAATACTATTCAATTCAACATCATTCACAGTGAGTTTCATAAAATCGACAAGGTCTGGTTTTGGAATATCAATAACAGGTGTAAGTAAGTTATAGTTCACATATTGTAATGTTACAGTTTCTTCAAAATTAGAAGTTTGAATAGCAATAGATGCAGGTTGAGCAACATAAGGTGGTCTAGCAGATTGTAAAAGGGCAACACCTGCACTTCTTGTATAAATAGCAAAGTTACCTTCAGGTAAGGTTCTTGAAATAACATTACTATCTCCCGAGATATCTACATAAATTGTTTTCATATCAGTCTTACTAGTAGATTTTTGAATAATTTTTGGATTAATATTACTAATATAGAGAGAACTTGTTGGAAGCCAACCTAGTGAGAAATTTGAAATTAGTTGCATACTTGGATTTGTGTAAAGTCTTAATTCATACTGTTTGAAAGACATAATATTTGTAGATGGTAAAACAGGAATAGTACAGTTCAATAATGGATAGATACCATCTGAACTTAATTCCTTTTCACAAGTAAAGGAAACATCAGGTTCAGTAATTTTACCATTAAACTTTGTAAATTGATTCAAGTTAATACCAGACAAATCAGAGTATTTTTGAATCTTGAACGGATTTACCAGTCTTGAATTTTCAATAGTTCTCAAACCATAAGAAGGTTGTAAGAATAAACCATCATAAATAATATAATTCCATGAATTAATATTAAGAGATAATGAATGTCCATCTTTTTCAACATAAAGATCAATTTGAACTTGACCAACATCTGGTGTTGTCATATTACATTCGAATGCTTCGTTATTATAAATTCTAGTAGTGCTACTAATTGCCTTATTAGATTTTGGTAAATATTCATAAACACACTTAAAATTAACCTTTCCATCTTGTAAAAGATTAGAATCAGGAATAAATTTTAAAAAGTTAAAGTTTGAATATAATTGAACTAATCTTGGTAAATTAGATTCAACACCAAATGCTGGAACACTCTTTGATAAAGTTACCTTTGTTACACAAGTTAGAACCAAATCAGATATCTTTGTTAAAATGTAATCATCAGAAGTAAGAGCTCTAGATTCTTTAGTAGTTCCTGATAAAACTTTTGTTAATCTCAGAGGAACAAATCCTTCATAGTTATTTGAAGCATAAAATGATACTTGGAATTTGTATGATGTATCAAATTTTCCCAAATAAGTAGTACTTTCAACAAAGCTGTTTTTTCCATAAAAACCAATTTCAGTAGAAATGTTATACAAGATATTATTCAAAGTGAATTCAGTATTTGTAACTAGAATATTAAGAGTTGTTAATGAAAAGGTTTCAGAAGTATAGAATAAAGTTTTTTGCTCAATAGAATTATCAAGAGCTATGGTTGGATTCTTAATAACTTCAAAATCTTTTGCTGGATTAATATCAGTTAATAATAATTCCTTGATGGATCTGTATTGATTATTAGAGGAAAGATAAATTTTTACACTCTTTCTTCCAGTATTCAAGTTATTGAAATTACATCTAACAGAGTTAGAATCACCAACAATAGCTGAGAAGTTACCATCTTCGATGGAACAAGAAAATATAAATTCTGTTCCTAAATCTTCAAAAACTGTTTGCTCCATTAAAACTGTAGTATTAACAGAGTTATTATCTTGAAGTAGAAGTGTTGGTTTAACTTCACGAATAGAAATTGGTTTGAATAGGATAAATGGTAAACCAATCCTTGTTACAACATTATCACCATCTAAAATTTTAAGAACTTCCTTGTAGAAAGGATTACCAATATATGTAATTAAAACAGGACAAATCAAAGATGTTGATTCAATACTACATTCATACTTATTATCTAATAAAGAAATATAATACTTCTTTAGAGGTTTTTGAATAGCAATATCTGTAGTAAGAGTAATATTAATAGTTTTTTGAATTGATTGAGAGACAATATTTGGTGTAGTGTAAAGTTCTCTAAGGTAAATAGTTGATGGTTTCTTATCAACAGAAAATGTAATTCCTTTAAATGTTGATACAATTCTTGTTTCTAAATTAGATGCTATACTAGTACTATAATTACTAATTCTAGAGCAAGTAACTTCTGTTATACTATCATTATTCAAACCATAAAAAATGCTTCTTCTAATACCATCAGTATCAAGATCAAAATTGAAATCAGGATTTAATCCATTATCAATTTGTAACTTGAAATTGTAAATGCTTGAATCAGTTTTAAAATCAAAGAGGAATGGTGAATAGTACATTACATTAAATCTGTTATTGAACAATGTATTTTCAATGTTCAATGTTTGTTTCAATAAAAATTCATTAATAATAAATGAAAATTGAAGTATGTAAGTTTGTAAAACTGGAGTAATTGGAATTGTTAAATTATAATCTACTATACAAGATCCTGTAAGTTCAAAATCACATGACTTGATAATGGGGTATTGTCCTAATGCAGACATAGTAACATTCAATTGGGTTTGTTTGTATTGAGGAAGTTTGTTAGTATAATAATTTAGAAGAATAGATTTTCCAGTTTCTAAAATTGGATAGCCTTCAAAGTTAAATTCTATCTTATTCAAATATGTGAAATGTACAGTTCTTGATGTAAATTCTACAAAATAAGAATATTCTGTAACAAGTGAACCTAATGATATTTCGAATGGTTCACTGCTTGTAACTGTATATTTAGTTAAATCACATTTTAGAGTTGATGATGTTGTATCAAGTGGTGCAGATGCAATAGGATAAGTACCACCAACTTTAAATAACAAACAATCAATTGGGAGAGTTAATCTAAAAAATCCATTTTGATTTTTAGAAACAAATAAATCTCTATCCTGATCTTGTGTTAATAAAGTTGTTGAAATATAACCAGAATATGGAATATGAGAAATAAATGGAGTAGAATAATTTGTAGGTTTTGGTCCATAAATGAAATTAATAAAAGTAGCTGGTAATTGAACAGTTTCTGATCCTCTCTTTGCAAGTAATGAAAAATAAAAACCTGCCTCTTGTTTGATAATATTATTTAAACCAGTGAAAATACATCTTGTTACATAATAATTATCAATTTTGTTTGTAATTAAATCTGTTGAATAAACAGTATAATTTTGAACATCACCAAATAAGGCACAAGAATAGGTTAAATTGAAGAGAGAATCAGAATAAAGTGGTTGATGATGGAAAATATAACCAGACCAAATATCAGAACCAATAAAACCAAAAATTGGTTTGGAATCATAATCTGTTTGATTAATAACAAAAACTACAACTGGTTTTGATACAATCATTGAGTCAGCACATAAATAAATATTAGAATAACCACTTTTAAGATATAAAGTAAATCCTGATGCTTCAAATAAATTATCTCTATAATAATTAGATCTATAGGTAACAATTTCATTTAACCTATTATAATGGCATATTGAAAATCTATAAGTTTCACTTTCAGGTAAAACAATTTCATTTAATTTAATTCTTGGAGTGAAACCTGTTGTACTAGAAGATAAATAATGACATTTTGAAAAGGTTTGTGATCCTTCTGCTAAAGAAATATTCATATTAGAAATTAAATGATAAAACTTAACACTATTACTACTATATGTAAACCATTCATTATCATTAAATGAATAAATTCTTATTTGAACAATTAAATCTAATAATTTTACATTATTTGTAGGTAAATTATTAATATTACATATTATTCTAGAATTTAAGTATTGAGCAGAATATGAAGTATTTGTTAAAGTATCTAAACATCTATACTGAATATTTGAATGAATATTTGAATAAATTTCTCTATCTAAATAAATTGTAGGCATCTCTTCAGTATTAAAACTTAAGGATGGAATAATTTTTTCTAAATTGACTTGTTTATAAACAATTTGAGAAGTAAAATATCCTAAATTTACATTATCTAAATACATGTCAAGATTTTGTTTATAAATATCTGCAGTAATGGATAAAGTATTGAAATAACTAATTTTTAGTTGATCAATCTTATAAACAGTTTCACCATTTTCCATAAATTCTAATTTAGAATTTGATAAAAAGCTTCCTGTTGTAAAATCAGAATTAATAAATATTAATTGTGGATATTTTGTAGAATACTTATTGATAATATTTGGAATAAGTGTTATATTTAAAACATAAACATTAAATTCTCCAATTTTAAAAGGATTATTTCCTGATATAGGGTAAGCCATTAATTGAACTGTTATATTTTGATTATATTCAATACCAGTTCTAATATTACAATAGGAAGTTGATTTATCATTGTCATCCAAAGTAATTATTTCTTCACTAATTCTTGTTTTACAATAAACTTGATTATATTTTATGAAATCTTTCATATTTTCACTTTTAATTGTAACAATATTATCACTATTTCTAGCAAGTACAATAGGTGTAAAATTGAAACTTTGTAAATATTTCAAATATTGTAATTTGATAGTTCCTTTTAATTCTTGTATTCCAATAGGAGAATCATATTTATAAATAATACCCATATTAATATAATCAAAATTAAGGAAATTATTTTCATTAAATTCATTGAATAATAAATCAACATTTACATCCTTTCTTGTTTCAAATATATTAAAATTATTAGAAATAATCTTATTATTATCTGGGTAAACAAAATAATAGGATAATCTAGAAGTATTTTGAGTTAAAAAATCAAAACAATTTAAAATAGAACATGAGTCACAAAGTGCAAGTGGAATACTTAATTTTGTAGAAACAAAAAATTGAGTCAAGTATAAAGTACTTTCTCTAAAACTTAATGGTTTACACCAAGAATTATCAAAAATTGGTTTCATACAATACATATTAGTATTTGTAAAATTATATTTAGAAGGATTAATAAATAAATCAGCAAATGGAATATCACAAATCTTTGATTTTGAAACATTAATTAAAATATTTGTTCTTTTAACTGGTGATAAATCATAATAACCTGCAGATTGTTCAAGATTATTATTATTAGATAAATTAATGAGACTAATATCACTTTCTGCAAAATTAAATGTTTCATGAATAGGATATCTAATTGATGAAATTTTTGAGCTGTAAAAGTTCTTTAAAGTACGGAAAGATTCATCTTTTAGAATTGGATAAAATGTATAATTGAAAAAATTTCCATCTAATCTGAGACCTATCACATTATTATTACCATCTAGATCACATGGAAATTCTTCAATAGAGGAAATTTCTGCAGTATGTGGACCATTAATAGAAAAAAGGAAATTCAACCTTGCAAGTACTTCAGATAATAATTCAGAGCTAGATTTCAATCCAATAGGAATAATATTATTTTTTTCATTTCTTGTATAAACTTTAAGAAATTGGTTCTTCATATCACTATCTAAAATTACTGAATTATTTGTTGTATATGTTACTTGAATAATTGCATTAGTATCTATATTATCAGTAGTAATTGTATGATAAATGTAATCAGATCCTTCCTCCAATCTTGTTTGAAGTTTACTAATTTTCCCACTATTTGGAAATTGAATGTCAACGTTTAAATTAGCATAATTATCAATAGCAAAAATGAGTGCAAGTTGAGAAGTGGATTGATTTAATGCCAAATTAAAGGTACTAACAACTCTTAAATTATTTCTAGTATTATTAAAACCAAATGGTAAATTACCAAATGTTTCAATTTTTGACATACTTCCAAACTTATTAGTAAAATTAAAATTATTACCTAAAGTATCAATTATTTGGAATTGAGAAGTTGTACCTTGTGGAATGTTAGTATTTGTTTGACATTCATCACCTAAATATTTAATATTATTACAAGTACAAATTCCATTAGAAAAATATCCTCTATTAAAACAATTGCTAGTATTTGTAATTATATAACCAAATTTCTCATTTGATGTTATGAAACTAAATTTACCAATTGATTGAAAAACATTTGTTTGTCTTGCTGGATTCATATTGTTGATATCATTCAATAAATCACCATTACCAAAATAATTTAAAATTTTGTTTTTAGAATAATAGAAATTAATCTTATTAGTGTGAGTATGGAAAAATAATCCTCCATCAACACCAAAATGTTTTGATAAAAAAATTCCATAAAGAGGTAAAGCATGACCAAAACCTAGAGTACCAAATTTGTTTTCACCTAAACAGTAATATTCTTCATTAGAATTTTTTAAACATAAATCGGTATAGAATTTTCTTGGTATTTGTTCCATAGCTTGTAAATCAATATTGAAATTTGGTAAAACTCTTTGTCTTACTGATTTATCAGCATAATTTGATGGTACTGTTATTTTACCACAAGCAATCACATCTCCACTATTACTATAAAATATTGAAGAGTTTTGACCAATTGACATAATTGAAGTAGATACAACATCTATAATAACATCAAATATAATTTGTGAAGGTGTGTAAACAACCTTTTTAGTTGTTGAATCTAAACATAATTGACCAAATGTGTTATCTCCCCAACCATAATATTTGTTGTTTGATCCTAAGGCAATACAATGAAAAGAATTACAAGTTACACTTGTAAAAGTTATTGTACTTTCTATTTTAGTTAAAAAATATCTACTAATAGTATCATTTTGACCTAATTGACCAAATCTATTATCACCAACAGAGAATAAATTACCTGATTCTGTTAAAACAATAATAAAATTATTGCCAGATGTAATTGATTTAACATTTTCATTAGCTAAATAAATTGGTAAAAGTAAAATATTATTTGTTAAAAGTTGTAAATTTGAGGTACTAATACTAATTGAAGAATAACCACCCATTCCTAATTCACCATAAAAATTATCACCAATAAATTTAGTTTCACCATCATAATCTATAAATATAGCAAAATTATCACCAATAGTATGATGTTTAACATTAAACTTTGATTGTATCATTCCATAATTTTTTGAGAATAATCTCAATTCATTTGTTGTTGTAGATTGATTTTTAGAACATATATTTGGTCCAATACATGAATTACATGTTACTCTATCACATAAATAAGAATTACAATCAATTCCTCTAAAACCTTTATCACAAATGCATGAAGTACCAGTAATATCTAAATAACCATTATAACAAAGTATAGAATTAAAATTACTTGGAATTGTAACTAAAATAATATCATCTCCCATAATATTAACATCAATAATTTTTTCTTGACCATATGAAAGGTCTTGATTAAGTGTTAATTGTCTAAATTTAGTTGTTGTTTGAGTAATAATAATATCACCTTTAGCTCTATAAATATTTTCTTGTTCTTGTAAAGATGTTATTACTGTTGGATAAATTAAATATTGAGAAATTGGAGCAATATTTAAAATATCTTTACCCATTGTTTTCCAAACAGAATTTAATTCTTTAAAATATGTAATAGATTCTGTAACAATAACATGTGAAACAGGTTTTTCAATTATTAATGGAATAATAAACTTATCAATATTTAAATTATGTCCAATACCTAATTGATATTCTGTATTTTTACCAATACCAAATAAATTACCAAATTGATTAACAAATAATGTAAAATAATTTGAAGGATAAATATTAACAATCTCCTTATGATAATTATTATTTAAAAGTGATACTAAAACAGGTTGAGATTCATAAACTTTTTGTCTTGTTGCAAAATCAGTTAAACCAAGTTGATTATATTGATTATCAAAAATACCATAAACATTCTTATCATTAGTAATAAAAAAACATGTAATATCTGAACATGTTAAATATTTAACATTACTTGCAATAATTTCAAAATCTGAATTATTTAAAGTCTTATAAATATCTCCATTACTAAATAATGCAACTGATTGAATTTTCATTGGATAAATATTTCTTATTGAAGAAGTTAATTTCTTTGATAATCTTTCAAATAATGTTGAAATTTGAATAGTATCACTTATCATATTATTACTAGCCAAACCAATTCCATATTTATCATTTGTATTCAATCCATTACCAAATACATAAACTCTATTATTATTCAATTGAGATTTTAAAAATGTATGTGATTGACCACTTATTAAATAACCAAAATCAAACATCTTATTTTTTAGAGTAAATTTTTGAATATTTAAAGATCTAGTAAAACTGTAAACAGATCTAGGAGGTGCCTTATTTTCACAAGATGTTCCATAAAAACCTTCTCCACCACAATAACATGTATTTGGAGCAATAGCAAAATTTTCTAAACTTGATTGGTTACAATTTCCTAAAAATTCTGGTTTGATTAAATGACATGAATATCCATAATGTTTTTCATCACATGAACAAACTTCTGTAGAATAATTAAAAGTACCAAAATTACTGCAATATGAACGAAATTCACCAAATGTAGTATTAAATCCTGTTTTTAAATTAATTCTTTGTAATAAACTATTGGAACAACCATTAGCAGCAGCATGACCACCAACTAAAATACATTCAGATGGATTTGCAATAGATTCTAAAACAGCACGTTCCACATTGCCCAATGCTAAAATAGTTGGATAAGCAGCTGTTCCAGTACCCTGATAAAGTATACCAGAACTATAAAATTGATTTGATCCCCATGCCATAGTTGATGTTGCATTTTGATAAGTTATATGAAATAATTGAAAACCTTTTGAAAGTTGATAATCATTTGGAGAAATTAAATTTTCAATTTTAACTGGAGTAGATGAAACATAATTTTCATCAGTAATATTTTGTCCTAAAATAAAACCTAAATTCCATCCTGAAGATAATATTTCACCAGTTTCAATACCAAAAAATGATGCATATGCTGTTGTTGATATTTTTGTAATCTTTTCTGGTATTGGTACTTGAACAAAATTTGAAATTGTATATTCATTAATACCAAGACCACATTGATGGTGATTATTTAAACCAGCACAATAAACTGAACCATCTTTGAATGAAATTAAAGTAAAATTTAAACCAAATGAAATAGTATCAAGATTTGCAATATTTTGTGAATAATATGTTAAAAATGGATGAATTGTTGGAGTAATTGAATTTGCTCTAAATTCAGATCCAAGACCTAATTGATTTACATCATTTCTACCAAATACAATAATTCTATTAGCTTTTGTTTTAATAAAAACAGATGAATAACCACAATAAAGTTGATCAATCCAATCACTTTGTGATTTTAAAAAATTTTCCAAAATTGTTAATCTTATAGGAGAGTTACTTTTGCTATTTTCGTTTGATAAACTTAAACTTTTGTAAATATTTGAACCAGTTCCATAAATTTCTTGATTCTTTAAAATTATAAAAGTATTTAAATAACAAGTATTAATATCTTGAATAATAATATTATCAGGGAAATAGTGTCCCTTAATATTATCAAAATAAAGATTAGAATCCCAAGCATCATAAGTTTGAAGTTTAGCAACATCTTGATTATTTGCAATAGTTCTTGATGTTATTAAATCTTCAATTTGTACTAATCTAACCATCTCTCCCCAGTTAATTTCAAATGTAATATTGGCAAAATATCTGACTCCACCAGAAATATATCTATCAATAGCTAATTGACCAACTGTATTATCACCTTTTCCTACAATATTTAATTTTTGTGTTCCATTATTACTTTTCACTTGAAAAGCAATAATGTGATTATATCCAACACGCAATTGTCCATAACTACGATCACTAATTCCTTCAGGAACTCCATTCTTTGGGCAATTAAATCCTTGGAAATATAATAATTGCCATCCAGGTGTTGGATATGAAACTGGATTTTTAAATGATTTCTATACCATTCCGAAAGTAATATTATTATTTATCATCATATTGTTCACATGATCAGAGAAAATCCAATGATAGCAAGCCAAATAAAATTAATATCAACACATTTTTTCAAATTCATTGTCAAGACAATCATAAATTTTGGAGGGAAAAACCATAAAGTCCGATTAATAACAAGAAAATCCTTCTTTAAAACTTACATAGGAATTACTGGACATGGAAGAGCAAAAAGATTGGTCACCATAGCTTACTATAGTAGATGGAAAAAAATCTATTCTTTCACCATCAACAAGGCACGTTGTTGAAAAGAAGAATGTAATGCACAAGAGTAGGAAGAAGAGAAGAGATGTTGTTGATGACAACAGTTTCCTCCTTGTTGTGTTGTTGAGGAGAAAGCCCTCAAATAACGATGACATGGTTTTTTTACTAATAGAAAGACAAATGTCAATGTTGGTGCTGAAGTTTTCATTACTTTCAATTTAGAAGGTGCAAGAAAGAAACGGAAAGTAGAAACTCCACAATAAATTGGAAGAAGGGTTTGCTGACCAATCGTTTTGCAATAATAATACCAAAAATCTTTCAACCGGAAGGTCTGGGAAAGGCAATTGTAAAGTGACTTGAAATGATTTGTTGCTGTTCCATCAACTTCATTTACCCATATCCTTTTAGAAATGAAATAGTTACATGATAACACATTACTAACAAACACTATTTCAAAAGTAAGAATATTAAATTTATTTTAACATATCTTTCAATGTACGAGGTGTTACAATGAATACTGTATGGAATTTTGATCAGATATTTCACAGGAGTTGTAAACAACAGTTTCCTCCTTGTGTTTCTAAAAATCTAAAAATAATTATCAGTAATAGATAAAAATAGATTCAATTTGATTGTGGAGTTGTACATTCCGATTTTTAATCTGCATCAGTTTCTCGGATTTTCCTTCTTGATTTGAAAAAATGTCTCAAACACATTCTGCTGCTTCTGCCAGTAATACAGCAACCACACGATCGGAACAAAGAAAAAAAGAATTTTCCAAAACATTGGTTCTTTCTATGGGAAGAAATCATTGTCATCAATTAGGGTTTAGCAATCAAAATGCACAATCAATATACTATCCAAAATATTTAAATCCAACACTGAGAATGAATGGATTAGAAGAGGGTTATGAAAAGGTAGAACACGTTTATTGTGTTAGTAATGATACACGTGGATATTCAGTTTTCTTGACAAGTAGTAGAAAACACTTGTTTGTTTGTGGATCAACTCAAAATTTGAAAAAGAAAAAGAAGAAACAACAACCAGATGAATTATTTCCTGAAACAACTGCTCCAACCAAGTTACCATTTGTTTGGAAAGATTCAGAGGATTTTATAGATAAGATAACTCTTGGAAGTGAGCATTTATTTGTATTAACAAATAAGGGTAAAATTTATGGACTCGGGTCAAACAAATGTTTTGAGTTGGGTCTACCTAAGGAGAGAATGTACGATCAACTTTCAAGGATCACTATTAATAATGGTGAAGTTATTAGAAAAATTGTTTGTGGTGAATCGTGTACATTCTTTATTACTTCTGCAAATTATGTATTTGCTTCAGGATTAAATAATTATGGTAAACTAGGAACCTATAATGCCAAAGATGTGATAACTGTGCCACTAATGCTTCCAACTATGAATAATATTGAGGATATATATTGCGGATCTTCACATACTATTTTTAAGAAGACAGATGGATCATTGTATGGATGTGGTAATAATTTACTTGGTCAACTAGGATTGGGTTCAACTGAACTACATGCTGGACCTGTTCTTATAGAACCATTCACAGATCAAGAAATTGTCTCTGTAAAATGTGGAGAAAATTTCACAATGTTTTTAAATGCATCAGGTGAAGTATTCGTAACAGGATATTTCAATTTTTCAACAACTCCACATTTAGACGATTCTGAAAATATGACCAGTTGTAGACCAATTAAGATTACCTATTTCGACTCGAAGAATGTTTTAATTACATCCATAGAATGTGGTTCAGATGTTGCTTACTTTACAACTCACAATGGAGATGTTTATGGAGCTGGAGCTAATAGCTATGGTGCCCTAGGTCATATTGAGCATAGCAAGTATGCTGATAGTGAAGATGAAGAGAATTGGTTCGACAGAGATGATGAGTCCTTCAGAGTTATTCAAAGAATGGAATGCTTTGATGACTTTAAATATTTAACAACTCAAGGATGGAAAGTATGTTCTTCACCATTCTCTGATTCTGCATTCTTTATCAGAATTCCAAATGTTAGAGTTGAAAACTTCCTTAAGAATCTTATGAATGGATCCTATTCGGATGTTTCTTTCAATTTTTAAAAAAAAAACTGTTAATAAAAAAATTGTAAATTTCATCATACCTTTGTAAACTTTATATCTTTGTGAAGGTTCAACTGGAGATTTTCTTTACCGTTCCACTTTAATTCCACTTTGTGTCCTGTTCCAACATTTCCTTTAAAAAATTCCTTAATAAAAACCAACCATCGAATCCTTACCTCCTTGATACATCAACATTGTTTACCCATTAGAACTTTGCAAAAAGAATAAAAACGGTTCGACAAGGAACAAAGGATTTTTCAAATCTTTTCAAAAAAATTAAAAAAATGCAGATATCGCTATCCAACCCATTATCTTCTTCCAATGGTGGGATCTCTCATGGTCTACATAGGATTCGGAAGAACCCAAACAATAATTCATTCAAATTCGGTGGTAGTGGTTTAGTATTATTTATTTTCCTAGTGATCATAATGATGAGTAGTGGTAGTCTAATTGTTGGACAACAACAATACGATTGGACAATTTGTGATAGTGATGCGAGATGTATGAATGCTGGATATTGTTCGACAGATAATACAACATGTGTTTGTTTGCCTGGTTTCAAGAATGATTTATCCATGGGAATTAGAAATTGTTCTTTGATTGACTGTGTAAATGGAAAATCATTGACAGATAAAGTTTATGATGATTCGAACACAAGAAGAAATTTATTTAGTACGAGTAGTGATGACGATAAATCTCCAGTTTGTTCTTGTCAACCTGGATGGGAAGGATTGGATTGTAGAATGTGTAGTAATGATTACGTTTGTCAACAACGATTGAACAATTCGGCTGCTTTTTGTGATAAATCATACATTCCACAGAAAGAAAAGGTTTATAGTTGTGAAGTTACTTCGGAAAGAATGATACCTCTCATGGGAAATTATTTCACAATTGACTGTAATGGAATGGAAAATAAGACAGCTGGTGGAAATTGTTATTTCAGATCATTTGACAAGTCTGATACTTCTCTTGCTGAAACTTTTTATTGTACATTCCACGATTGTGTCTTATCAATTCCAGAAAAAGGAGAAGTATTATACAAATGTGGATATACTACTGGCTGTGCATGTTCAATGATTTCTCCAAAATGTTATAACCAGTTTGTATTGTATATATTAGAACACATGACTGGTTATGCAAATGTACAGTGTAATAACGAAACCAAGTCTTGTTCAAGTAAGTTTCAATTCCAATGTTAAAATATTTACCTGTTAATATTTTTCTAATAGTTCAACATGAAAACTTCCCTGGTGTTATTCAATCAACTTGTGATCATGCTGCTGAGTGTGTTGATGTATACGTTCCTGCACCTCAACCACCAAAACAAAATGATTTACCTAAAATTGTTGCTGGAGCTGTTGGTTCAGTAATTTTTGTTGCTATCATGATTGTATTAATTTTCAGTATTATTTATTCTAAACTTCAAACTAGAAAGGTTAAACATGAATATGAGGATATGATGAAGACAGGAAATAATGAATTTGGAGCCAAGTTGGAAATTCGTAACTTGACCTATATTATCAGAACTACTGCTAAGAAAATCAATTCTCTCCAGGAAGTTAGTGGAGTCAATGAGGAAGATATTGCAAAGGAAGAAAAGGAGGAGGAAAGAGAAAGGGCTCTCCATCTCAAGAGCAAGAATAGAATTACACTTCTTCATGGATTGAGTCACACCTTTAAACCGGGAACTGTTACTGCTATTATGGGTCCTTCTGGAGCTGGTAAAACATCATTATTGGATATTATTGCTGGTAGATCTAAATCTGGAGATGTTTTTGGAGAATTATTGGTTAATAACAAACCAATTGACTATAACCAATATAAGAGAGTTGCTGGTTATGTATCTCAATCAGATGATCATTTAATGGGTACCTTGACAGTTTTTGAATCAATCATGTTTAGTGCGGAGCTTCGTTTACCTGATACTGTCCCATATACGGAAAAGAAGAGACGTGTTGAGTCTGTTATGGAAGAGCTTGGAATTTCACATATTCGTGATAGAAAGATTGGTGATGCCATGACAAGAGGTAAGTAATTTTACTTTTATTTCATGAATAACAAACTTTTTAAGGTATTTCTGGAGGCGAAAAACGTCGTGTCAGTATTGCTTGTGAATTAGTCATTGCACCACAAATTCTCTTCTTGGATGAACCTACAAGTGTTAGTAATTTTACTTTTATTAATGAATGACAAACTTTTTAAGGGATTGGATTCATATCACGCAGTCTCAACCATCAAGACTATTTGCGACCTGGCCACTAAACATAACAGAACTATTGTATTCTCTATCCATCAACCTCGTTCTAATATTTTCCAACAATTTGATAATTTACTCTTAATGAAGGATGGTAAAATATTCTATAGTGGAAGTGCTGAAGGATCATTGGATTATTTGTCAAAACTTGGTCATGACTGTCCATCTCAATACAATCCTGCTGACTTTTTATTAGATGTCATGTCAGAAATGTCAGAAAATGAGACTCAAGGAACTTCTATTAATCAAAATAATCAATCTTTATCTTACCAACAACCAATTTTCAAACAATCTGGTTATGGATCTGAAAATCAAGAATCACAAAATCTCTTGGTAAAGACAGAAGATAATATTTACACCAAGAAGGTTCAAGAGTATGCCACCTCGTTCTATACGCAACTTTACATTTTATCTAAGAGATCATTCCGTAACTTTTACAGAAATTTCTACCTTATGCCAGCTCACTATTTGAGTGCTATTATCATGGGTCTTTTACTTGGTGCCATTTACTTCCAGCAAAGTAACAATATCCAAGCTTGTCAAAACAGAATGGGTAGTATTTTCTTCATGTGTGCTTTGTTGAACTTTGCTGCCATGTCTAGCTTGGAATTATTTATTACAGAACGTACAATTTATGTGAGAGAAAGAGCAAATGGATACTATCTTTCAATTTCATACTTTTTCTCAAAGACTTTCTTTGATTTAATTCCACTCCGTGTCATTCCACCAATTATTATGGGATCTATTGCTTATGTAAGTATTTTTCAATATTGATTATTTGACAATAGAAATAATTATCTAAAATATTATTAGTGGATGATTGGTTTGAGAGAAATCACTTCACACTTCTTTTGGTTTATTTTCATTTTAATTTTATTCAATTTAGCAAGTGGAGCTCTCTGTATTTGTATTGGTACAATTGCTAATAGTGTTGCTTCTGCTAACTTGATTTCAATTTTGTTAATTCTTGGAAATATGTTGTTTGCTGGATTCTTGTTGAATACTGATTCACTTCCAGTCTACCTCTCATGGATTAAATACTTTTCATACTTTAGTTATGCCTATGAAGCCCTTCTCATCAATGAATTGCACGGATTCCCAATCGTTATTGATCCAAAAGGTTTCCCAAGCTTCCCAGGTGATGGTGACTTTTTCCTGAAAGAATTGGGAATGGACCACGAAAGATTCTATGCGGATATCATTTTCACTGCAAGCTTTGCTGTTTTCTTTATTGTTTTAGCTGGTCTCTTATTGAGATTCTTTGTAAAGGAAAAGAGATAAATTATTTATTTTAATCAACATCTTCCATTAAGGATTCAGCAGCTGGACTTTCTTCAACCTTATTTTCTTGGCTTGTTGTTTCAGTCTTTTCAGAGGCAAGATCTTCTTCATCAATACTCAAACCAAGTTTGATCATTCTGTGAATTCTGGAAGCATAAGTATGAGGTTCTTCCATACTGAAACCAGAAGTCAATAAGGCAGTTTCGAATAACAACCAAACCAAATCTCTGACAGTCTTGTCAGCCTTATTAGCTTCAGCCTTCTTTCTCAATTCATTGACAATAGAATTTTCTGGATTAATTTCCATTGTTTTCTTTGAAACCATGTAGGAGGCCATAGAATTGTCCTTCAAAGCTTGAGCTTTCATGATTCTTTCCATATTTGCACTCCAACCATATTCACCAGTAACCAAACAACATGGAGAATCACCAAGTCTATCAGAAACAACAACCTTTTCAACTCTATCTCCCAAAATATCCTTCATCAACTTGCACAATGCTTCGAATGAGGCCTTCAATTCTTCCTTCTTCTTCTTTTCTTCTTCAGTTTCTGGCAATTTCAATCCTTCCTTTGTTACACACACTAATTTCTTGCCTTCGAATTCTTTCAATTGTTGAACCATGTATTCATCAATTGGATCAGTCATGTACAAGACTTCAACTCCCTTCTTGGTGCACTTTTCAATGAATGGTGAGCTAGCAACTGCCTTTCTGCTTTCACCAGTAATGTAATAGATAAATTCTTGACCTTCCTTCATACGTTCAATATATTCCTTGAGGCTGGTCCAATCTTCACCTTTAGTTTGAGAGGAGTGGAATCTCAATAACTCGGCCAACTTTTGTCTATTTTGAGAATCTTCATGAATACCCAATTTCAAATTCTTTCCAAATGCTTCATAGAAAGTCTTGAAATCTTCCTTATTCTCAGCAAGTTCAGTGAACATTTCAATACACTTCTTGACTAAATTCTTTCTAATAACTTTCATAATCTTGTTTTGTTGCAAGTGTTCACGGGAAATATTCAATGGCAAATCTTCAGAGTCAACAATACCCTTCACAAAATTCAAATATTCTGGAATCAACTCTTCACAATTATCCATAATAAAGACCTTTCTAACATAGAGTTTGATATTGTTGAGTTTCTTCTTTGGTTCGAATAGATCGAATGGAGCTCTCTTGGGTGTGAACAACAAACTCTTGAATTCAAAGTTGCCTTCAACTGAAAAGTGCTTGACAGCCAAATGTTCTTCCCAATCATTTGTCAATGCCTTGTAGAAACTGGAATATTCTTCCTTAGTGACAGTCTTTGGATCACGAGTCCACAATGGCTTGTTCTTATTCAACAATTCGAGCTCTTTCTTGACTTCTTTAACCTTCTTCTTTTTCTTGTCATCTACTTCCTTGACTTCTTCAATCTTTGGACCATCTTCCTTCTTGTCTTCGTCCTTCTTTTCATCATCTGACATGGAGTCATCTTCATCAACTTCCTTCTCTTCAGTCTTTTCAACTTGTAAAGAGATTGGATAACCAATAAATTCAGAGTGCTTCTTTACCAAATCCTTCAACTTTCTTTCTTCCAAATATTCTAATTGATCGTCTTTCATGTGAAGAACAATCTTGGTTCCACGTGACAATTTTTCACCACTTTCATCCAAAGTAATTGTAAAACTGCCACCAGCAGATGATTCCCAAATGTATTGTTCATCATCATTGTGTTTAGTTGTGACAACAACTCGATCAGCAACAAGGTAAGCAGAATAGAAACCAACACCAAATTGACCAATTAAGGAAACATCAGCACCAGCTTGAAGCATTTCCATAAATTGTTTAGTTCCAGATCTTGCAACAGTTCCCAAGCAATTAATTAAATCGTGCTTGGCCATACCACAACCTGTATCTCTAATTGTCAATGTCTTGTTTACCTTATCAGGAATTAAATGAATGCACAATTCCTTTTCAGTATCCAAAACTGAAGGTTCAGTCAAACTCATATAACGAATCTTATCCAAAGCATCTGAAGCATTGGAAATCAACTCTCTCAAAAAGACTTCCTTATTGCTGTAGAATGTATTAATAATCAAGCTCATCAATTGATTGATTTCGGCTTGGAATTTGTAAGTTTCAACTTGGGCCATTTTTACGTATGTTATTTACTAAGCGAACAGCTGAGAGTGTGTATGTACAGAGAATGTTTGAAATTTTTTTTAATTGGATTTTGGGTAGGAAATGGGTGTGTTGTAGCATTTTTAAAAGCATTTCGGAATTTGCTGATTCTGGATCGGAATCATGATGATATGAAGTGTCGAATCGAATATCGGAATGAAGTGATGTAGATGTAAATGTTTCCAACCAGTGTACTAGTTGCATCATTCCGAACCTTTTATTAAGAAACATAAAGCATTTCTTGTTTTTAGAAATAACCAGAAAGTTAATGGAAAGGACCAAAGAGGGATTGGCTTCTATTGTTATGAATAGATCGATCTCTTATAATACTCTCTTATAACCCTACTTAAAAAGTTAATAAAAGTAAATCTTAAAATCATTTCAGCTTATTAATTCTTAGTATACAAGAATATTATAAAAAAATGATATCACAACTTTTCAAAGGGAAGACTTGCACATCTATGAAAGCCTTTCTTGAGAATTTAGGAAAGAAATATTATTCTACCACTACCAACAGCAGCACCTTCCGAGAATTAGTGGGCTATGGGGCTTCGTTTGATAATTTATTTACAATCTACCGAAAATCAAAACAACAGAAAGACTTATTACCAACCAACATGATAGAAATATGTTTGGCAATGACTCACAAGTGCAAAGTGTCGGGAAATCAAAAAAAGGAGCTAGAAGAGTGTTTACTTGATTTGTCAAACTTGTTTGATTGCCTAAACCAAGATGATGAACTAAAACTTAAAGAAAAGTCTTGGAATTTTGCCATTCAACATTTACTTAGTCATCCAAATTATGAAAAACAAGGAGTAAGGTTATTCGAAAGAATTGTAAACAAGAATTTGGCTGCTCCAAACTACTTTACTTACAATGCAATTTTACAGTATTACTCCAAAATTGGAGATACCTCATCATGTGAACTAGTTGTTGATATTTTAATTGAGAAAGGACAATGTACAGTCTATTCGTTTATATCTCTGATTTCGAGTATGATCAAGAACGGTCAATTAAATGAAACAATTAGTGCTATACTCAAAATGCAACAAAATGGAATTGAACCTAATTTTGGAGTTTACATTCCCATTCTAAAAGAAGCAACTAGATGCAATAATGTTTGTGTAGGAATGAAGTTATACGAAATAATCCAGAAATCAAAAGTTGAGAGTTTGCAACTGTCTTCAAGTCTAATTTCATTCTTTTCCAAATGTGGAAACCACTCTTTGGCGAATGAGGAGTGCATGAAATTACAAAAACATGGAAAAATGGATGTAATTTCTTGGACATGTTTAATTCAATCTTTTATAGAAATGAATAATATGAAGAAAGCTATAGAGAGTTTATATGAAATGATAGAGACTGGGATCAAACCAGATTGTGGAATATTCAATAAAGGAATACATTTAACAAGCTCTATTCCATATAAGTATAAGTTGTTTTCTCCAAGAGCTCCAAGTAATAAACCGTATGTAGTACTGTCAGGTGGTAAGCCAGTTCTTTTTTCCATTTCGCTTAAAACCATAAGGGCCTTTTTGTAGTTTTTTCTACTTAAATGTGCTTGGATTACACAGTTCCAAGATATAGTATCGATGAATCCATTTTATTAACTTCTTGCACACACCACAGACTATTTGATGAGGGTAAAAGGATACATAACCAAGCTCAAAAACTGCTACTGAATATTAGTACTAACTAACATAATACTGTTATGTCATTTTACACAAAATGTGGCCATCCTGAACTCGCGATGGAGGAGTTTGAAAAACTGAAAAAGACAGGAGGAGTAGATATTGGTTCATGGAATTGTTTACTCCAAGCATATATTAGCGCTGGAAACATTTCAACAGCTATTCAAACCTTTACAACAATGCAAGGAAACAACATATCACCAAATGACATTAAATTTACAATTTTACTGAAAGGATGTGCAGATAATAGATTATATGAGGAAGGAGTAGAAATTCACCGAATGATTCCAGATGTTATTGAGAATATTACTACTGAGCTCGCAACATCCATCATGAACTTTTACACAAAGTGTGGTAAACCATATGTGGCAGTTGATTTATACGATGAGTTTTGTGAGGCAGGTCTAGTTAATGTCGGAACCTGTACTGCTTTGATACAGGCTTTTATTGAGATAGGTGATGCTAATGAAGCTTTTACAGTTTTTAACGAAATGCTGAAGCAAAATTTTCAACCCAATATTGTAACATATCTTGTTTTGTTACAAGCATGTTCTAGATTTGTATCAACCGACAGTGGTAACCGAGTGATAAAACACATTCAAGATAATGGGTTGTACAATAATGAAATAATACAATCTTCGATAGCTCTTTATTTTTCAAAAATTGGAGAGTTAGAAGCATCCAAACAGATTTTTGATGAATTGTTGAAATATGAAAAAGCTCTTTCAATTGAAACATGCAATAACATCCTTTCTGTTTTCGCACATCATGGTGAGGGATCTGAAGCATTCAATTTTTACATTTCATTCATAGAAAAGAATATTGAACCTACAGAAAAAACTTTCACAATTCTGCTGAATGCTCTTTCTCATTCTGGAATGGTAGAGCATGTATATTCAGTATTTTCCTCAATTAAGCATCCATCCATACATAATAAATGTGCTATGGTAGATGCATTGGCACGAAAAGGACTGTTAGAACAGGCAGAAAGTGTAATTGATCATGATGATAGTTATATACTTTGGAATACTTTAATGTGTGGTTGTAGAAAATTCAATAACCTAGAGCTAGGAGAAAGAGTATTCAAAATAATGATATCCATCGATGAATTGGAACCTTCTGCCTATTTATTATCACATATTTACATGAACTATGGACTTGTTGAAAAGGCAAATAAAATTAGAGAGCTAATGAAAGAAAAGGGTATTCAGGTAATGCCCGGCATTGTGTATCACGAAGAAAATGGAATAACCTACAAATTTGTATCTGGCAATGATAATTTTGACAGATTCAATGAGGTTGAGCAAATGAGAGATGAAATTTTCAGAAAAATCATCAAAGCAGGTTATGTGCCAGATGTAAGATGGGTACCAAATACAGAGTTTAAGACTAAAGACGAAAGAGTTAAAGCCCTGTTAAGGCATTCAGAAAAAACAGCAATTGCTCATGCTTTTGTGTTGAATAAGGATCGCAAGAAAATATTATTAACCACAAACCTGAGGGTTTGCAATGATTGTCATTCAGCAACAGCATTTATTTCTAAAGTGATGGATTGCGAAATTATTGTCAGGGATGCCAAGAGATTTCATCATTTTAAGAATGGAATTTGTAGCTGTAATAACTATTGGTAAACCTCCAATTACTAGAAGCATAATCAAAGCTTCATCAACAGCTCCTATTGTCAACTTTATCAAGAAACTTATCAACTATGGTAAAAAATGAAACTCGACTAAACCTGTTCCACACAATATACTGGTGGATCATCCACATTCAGATCCTATCACTGCTATTCAATCCCTGATTATTTGGTAGAGGAAATATCTACCGAATTGAGACAACAAAACTATGATTATGCAAAAAAGAAATTTGAAAATTGACAAAAATTCTTTAGGTTTCTACAAATTCAAAAACAATCAAGTTGCTCTCTATTATCAAATAAATCTCGAATTGTAAAAATTTGCCGACACCAGGGATCGAACCAGGGACCTTAAGATCTTCAGTCTTACGCTCTCCCAACTGAGCTATGTCGGCTTCTTGTTCAAAAAAAGATAGTGTAGAAGATTACCCTATATCTTTTCAGGTCAAGAAAACAGTTGCTTGTAGATAGTGTGGATAGCAAAACAAAGAAAAGAGAAATAATTAGAGTTAGAAGATGACATGTTTAGAAATCATAAAATCTCTCTATTGAATAGTACAACAGCCAGTATTTTTCTCTAATGAAATTACTTCGTGATAATTATCTTGATCTTTTGGATCATTTAACACGACAGATTCCTCATAATCTTCAAGCTCTCCGTAGTAGCTCTTTGATTTTCTTCTATTGGACTTTTCATGATCAGTCAATGATATTGTGTTTCTAGATAAAGGTCTTACTGGAATGTCTTGCTTGAATAAAACCTCTATTGGAATATTGATCTCAATCAAATTATCTAGTGAAAATTGGAGCATGTACTCTACTCTGATAAGACTTCCATAAGTTGTTTGTGGATAGAGGAAATAATCAACAAGATCTGGATGTAAATCAAATGTGATATTTCTCAAATCTTTACATTTTGGCAGGATACCATTAAAGGTCTTTTTATAGACCTCTAACATAATATTCTCTGATGTATTTTGTTTCTCCATGTTAAGCTTTAAAATCTGCAGCAATCTGACAGTAATAAATGATACAGAAGAGATGCCTTCGTTCAATACTTCTGAATAAAATTGGCATTTGTCTCTTCGACAGTAAATATTTCTTCTCGATGATATTTTCCACAATAATCCACATGATTGATTATTTCTGCTTGCAAACAAATTGTTAGCCATTCTATCACCTAATTTTTCAAAAATTTCAAATTGTTTGTGAATTGTAACATGTTGAGACTCTTTTTCATTTCCCACCCTTAGTTCAACAACACATGATGCAAAGTAAGATATCTGAGCCTTGATCTGTTTTCCCAGATAAGTGGTTTCCTCAAAGAATGATCCAGGAATATCGGTTGGTAATCTTTCTGAAAAAGAATAAACATGAGGACCTTTTGTTAATTTCCCATCTCCAGCGATCGGTACCTCACTTTGTAGTACCTTTTTTTCATCAGATTTCCAAGCCAAAGATCGGTTCGGACCCTCCACTTGATACTCTAATTTTTCTAATCCCTGCAAAAAGAGAGTAATATCTTTAATACGAATAACTTGATTACAATTTTCTTTAATTTCTAAACGAATATCACCCTCTATCGTATCACTATACCATTCCTTTTGTAATTTAATTTCAAGATTGATAATATCTACGAGTCGATCATCGGAATACTCACACATTTTTTTTAAATAATAATATCTGTAATTTGTTTTGATCGTTTTTACCTGTTGGCAAAACAACACAAATAGAGAGGGGAAATGGAACCCCTCTAATTTAATTTCTAATAGGAGTTGTGGTACCTGATCATCGAGAGGGAGGTAACCTTCATTGTTTTTCAATTCCGAATACAATTTAAAATATTTTTTAATTATTCTTAATATTAATACAATATTATTGAACATGTTTGCTATTAAAGGTTAGAGTAGTAACTAACTATTTATTCGTAAATCCATTTGTTAGCAACTGGAGTCCAGTTGGAGATTTCTTCAGGCTTGAACCACAAAGCAATTTCAGCTTCAGCGGAGGTAGTGCTGTCAGAACCGTGGATAATGTTTCTACCAACGTTGATAGCAAAGTCACCTCTGATAGTACCTGGAGCAGATTCCAATGGCTTGGTAACACCGATGAGCTTTCTAGCAGCAGCAATGACACCTTGACCTTCCCAGACCATAGCACAGACTGGACCAGAAGTCAAGAATTCAACCAAACCAGCAAAGAATGGCTTACCATCATGTTCAGCGTAATGCTTAGAGGCCAATTCAGCAGTTGGAGTGATGAGCTTCATAGCAACCAACTTGAATCCCTTTTGTTCGAATCTGGTAATGATTGGACCAATCAAACCACGTTGGACGGCATCAGGCTTCAAAGCAATGAAAGCTTTTTCAAAGTTTAATATATTTTATCATAGAATTATACGTACTTCTTTCAGAGGACATTTTGTTGTATTTTTTTTAAACGGAAATTACAATGTTGCGTGGCTGCAAGCTTAAAACCTGGTGGGGACTGAGAGCAAATTTACAATGTTATTTATTGAAAATTCATAAGTTACAATGATCAAAACTATTGATTGGTTCGTTTGGTACCTATCTGAAAGAACAAAATATGAATATTGCTTCCTATTGGGGACTTTGTTTCAAAATGTAAATTCGATTGATTAATGAATTAATTATTTCACTATTCATTCAAAAAACAATATGATTTAAGAGTACCAATCATGAGCAGATCCTCTATAATTAATAACATTTGAATATCCATACTCTTCTATTAATACTTGTTGTGCCATTGCACTTCTAATACCATGCTCACAATAGACAATAATTAAATCATCAGATTTTGGTTTTTCAATTCCGAGTTGACTCTTAAAATCCTCATCATCCATTTCAAAAATTGGTTCCAAATGATAAATCGGAATATTTACAGCAGTTGGTAATATTGGATGAAATATTCCATTAGCTTCCTGTTCACTTCTAACATCAAATAGAAAATATTTTACAGAAGATGGTGATGACGATTCAATTAATTCTTTCAATTGCTTTTTCGAAATAATTCCATTGGTAAATGTTTTTAATAATTCTTCCATCGTTCTTTCTTCCTTTGTATTGTTATTATTATTAATATAATTAATTGAATGATGAGAAAATTGACGAAGGCTTGTTTGATGAAAATTTAAAATTTGATTAAAATTCTTCGGGATGGAAAATTCAAAACTTTGATTAATCTTGGAATTGAAGATAAATTTTGAGTGTAGGCAATTTTTAGTCTTGTTGAATGAACAAGTGGGTGCTTTCAATGATTGTAATTTTTTCATTTTTCCATTCATCAAATAATTATTTTACAATTATTAAATATATTTAAATATTAAATACCAAACATTTCATTTGTTGAACTTTTGTATGAATAGTTCCATAGTAAAAAAGTGAAATTTTCTACTGAACAACAAATGAACTAACTAAAATCATTACCCGTCACTACATTTCTTGATCAGTGACATAAAAAAATTATAATAATTGAGAGAGAGGATGGGTTCAGTTGTTTCTTCATTAACTTTTCAACCTCCTAAACCAGCATCCTACACAACCGAAAAACCACATCCTGTCATCTACACTCCAGGTAAATATTAAAAATTTCATCACATTCCTCATCATGTTATATTTCCTTCATCATCATCGTATTCATCAATTATCGTTAATTATCATCGTTTATCATTAATCAATTTATATTGTCATCATCATCATAATTATTAATAGGAATTAAAACTGGAAAGGAAGTGGCACTGTATTATTTTAAAGCAAAGACTGAAAGTGTAAAAACAACCATTCTCTATAGTCATGGTACGTAATTTAAGTGAAATTTCGCATGGTTTGAAGAAAAATTCTTGTAAAATTTAGGAAATGGAATGGATATTGGAATGAGTTATGATTATCTAACAATTTTGAGAGATAAATTGAATGTCAATATTGTTCATTATGAAGTACGTTAGCTATTATTCATAATAATTGATTGAATTGTAAAGTATTTTGGATATGGAGTCTTGTCAAATGTTGAAGAACCAAGTGAAGAAGGTGTTTATGAATGTGCATTGACTGCTTTTGATTATGTTGTGAATTCTTTGAAAGTTTCACCTGAAAATGTTATTCTATATGGTACATCGATGGGAACTGCAGCTAGCATCTATTTGGCAGCTCATCATCGTAGAGTTTCTGGTGTAATTTTAGAAAGTCCATTCGAAAGTATTGTAAGAACTGTTACAAATGTATTTGCAGGAAGATTGGTTGATATTTTCCCAAGTTATATGAGAATTGGTGCTATTGAAGCTCCTGTTTTTATTATTCATGGTGAAAATGATGAGTTAGTTCCGTAAGTTATCATCAAATTGTTTACAAAAATATTTATCAACATTTTACAGAGTTGACCATGGCATTTATATTCACAAACATGTTAAAAATCCATATCCAGCCTTATGGATCAAGAATGCTGGACACAATGATCTGAGAGAAGTCCTCGGATTACGAGAACTCACCAACCACATTAAGAGTAAGTACTCTTTCTCATTTCAATAATTTTAACCTCTATTAGAATTTATGATTGAATGTGGAGTTTTGAAAGAATAAACACAATTTTCTGCTATCCATTATCTTGTATTCCATTTTTGAAAAGCTCATTCTCACTCACCACCATTAACAAGCTCTCTCAATAATTAACTTCAAACAATTTAAATTTTTAAATTCAATCAATTTTAAATTTTTCAAAAAATTGAAAATAAAAAAAATGCTCAAAAACATTTCCAAACTCTCAAAGCCTTTGATTTCAAAAGTTGCTTCATCAGCAGCAAACCAACAACAATATTCCATCATTAGATGTTTCTCTCAAAATGTTACGCAAATGAATAATAATAATAAGGATATTCAACAATTTGCATCGGGGATGGATTCTAGACAATATGAAGATTTACTTCGTCAATTCTTGTGGGAATATCTTCAATCCGAGGCTGAAACTGATTTGAGTGAAGATTTTGGAGATGAAATGATGCAACAGTGGGGAAATGAAGCTCCATTGTTCCAAGATGAATATGACCAACAACTTTTTGAAGAACAAAAGAAGGAAGCTGCTACTAGAGGAAAACCATTCGGAAAGGGTGTGTAATCATATTCTTCCTTAACTAACCATTTCTTATGGTTTGTTACTTAATTTTTGATATTATCGGCATATAAATTACAAACTTTTTGTTCATTTGATGAAATTTATTTGAATTGTAAAATAGGAAATGATAAACAACAAGAAGATTCAACATTACTTGAAAATACTCCAACAACAAGTGTGAAACCTGATCACCAGGCCTCTTCTATGCCAATTGTTGAATCCAATCAAGATAAATCTACTTCCAAAAACGAGGTCAATTCTAGCTCCTTAAAAAAGAAATATGTCACATTAACAGTTTCACAGGAACACGATGATATGAGATTGGATAAATTCCTAACAAAAACTCTTGCCATTAATTTTGGTCTGATACAGAAAATTACGAGAAAGAAGCAACTTTTCAAGAATGGAATTGCTGTTAAGGAAAATAATGAACGAGTTTTTAAGGGAGACATTATTAAAATTCCAAAAGATTTCATTGATAGTGAAAAGAGACAGGAAATTGACGAGCATATAACAGGAAAAAGAGAACAGTTCAATAAGGCACAAAGAGAAACTGATAAAATAGACAGAGATGATGAAATGGATACCATCTCATCAGAAACTTTGGGAAATCCAATTTATAGTAAGAATGGAGGTAAAATGAAACTCGAATTAACACAGGAACAAATTGAGGAAATTAGAAGTTGGATCCTCTTCAAGAATGATGAAATTATTGCACTTAACAAGCCATATGGTATTTGTGTTCAGGGAGGAAGTAATCAAACATTCCACATCGATGCACTTTTGGATGCACTGACTGGATTGGACGGATTCAATGTGCGACCAAAACTTGTTCACAGATTGGATAGAGATACAACTGGTGTGTTGATTGTTGCTAGAAATAGAGCTGGTGCCATAAGAATGCAACAATGGTTACAGGAATCAACTGTTCCACTTAAGAAGTGTTATTGGGCTGTCACTGTTGGCGTTCCAACACCAACTACTGGAAGAATTAAGATGGTAATCGACATTCAAAAAGATGCAAATGGAGTAGAAAAAGTAGTTCCTGTGGATAATAAGACAGACTCGTCAAAAATCTCTGTATCTGAATACAAGACCATCGACCACATGACTGATAAATTGGCTTGGGTAGCTCTCTATCCAGTGACAGGAAGAAAACATCAACTTAGAGTTCATTGTGCTAGTGCTTTGGGAGCTCCAATTTTAGGTGATTACAAGTATGGTGAAGGTGTGCCAGAAAGTTTGACACACGTAGTTCCAGATAAGAGCTTAAAGAGACTTCATTTACATCACAGAGCTATGAAGCTTCCATATCTTAATTCAAAGTAAGTTTTATGAAATAGTTCATTTACATTTTAAACAAACTATTCTACTTAATAACAGGGGTGAAAATATGGTTGTCATTGCCCCAGTACCAGATCATTTCTCTTCACTGTTTAACTATTTAGTATTCAATGAAAAGAAAGGCAACAAGTTGTTGTTCAAATAAATTACGAGATTTACTTTACATTTGTTGCTCTCGACATTTCGTCGTCAAAATCACCATCTTCATCATCTTGATCTAATGATTTAGCATTTGATGCACTATTTGCTAATTTTACACTTTCAGAGTCACTATCTTCTTCCTCTGTTTCTTCTCCACTGTCAGTTTCATCACTTACAGATGAATCAAATTTATCATCTGCTTCAGCATCCAATTCTTTTTCTCCTCTCAAAATGGCCATATCTACCTCTACAATAATTTCTTCGGCCTCCTCTTCCTCTGCATCACTAATTGCTTCAAATGTTAAAACAACAAGTGTATGAATAATTGAATAGTGAAGTTGTCCAATATATACATTTCTAGGTCTTGATTCATTGTCCTCATCAATTGTTTTTTTAGATCCCTTTTGTGACGATGTTTCACCCATTGATTTTCCTACACTATCTTCAAATCTAAATTTAATATTCTTTGAATTGTAATACATTTGTAAAATTGGTGTTCCAACAACCAGATTATTCTCATTACAAAATTTTCTCTATTAAATTCCAAATATTAATTCCAATTCACAAATTTCATTAACATACATTAACTTCCTCATCAATTAATATAATTTTAACTCTATCCTTATATTCAAGACCTGGATCCTTTCCAAATTCCAACAAAGCCTCCAAACTAGTCTTTGTAGGAGTTATATATTCCACTCCATATCCCAAAACAATTAATCTTTAATATAATTAATAAGTTATCTGCTAATATAAAGACATACAAATCCTTTTCCTGTTGTATCGATCGTTTTACCTCAGAAACTGATGTAAATGGAAGACTAGATGATTTCTCAGAACCAACTAATGGAGAACTATCAACCAATTTCTTTGGAGTTGAAACTGTTGATCGGTTGGATCGATTGGAACGTTCCGATCTATCATCATCATCATCAAGGCTGTCTGTACTTCGGGCTGGTACTTGTGTAGCCTTCTTCTTGAATGGACTATCAACTTTGAGGTTCGGAAGGAATTTACGCATTTTTTTTTAAATTCTTTTTAAATATCAACAATATTAATAATTAATATTATTTTGTAATGAATTTAAATTTAATTATATATTTAAAAAAAATGTCATCACTGTACAATGATACCATTCTTGTATTTTTTAAAAGTTTGAGGATTGCAATCAAGGATCAAATATTACATCAAGTAAATTGGATACATTTTACAAATGATGTAGAGACAACCTTTTTAATTTCCTACTATTTAATACTCGCTTCTTTTATATTCGGATCAATGATGATGAGTAAATCGTGTCGTAAAATGAATATCTATCTAATTTTTGTATTAATATTAAATTCTTGTTTTGATTTAATTATTTGGGGATTAAATTTAAATATTTTACATGAACAAGTTTTATTATTGGATAAAACAACCTTCTTTTCAATTCTACTAATATTGAGATATATAGTTGTGATTTATATATCCTCTATTATATTATTTGCACTTGTATTTGGTAAATATTTGAGTGATAAATGAATCTCAATAAATTAGTGATTTGAAATACTTTTGAAAATGGAATGCATGGATTGGATGGTATGATCAAAATCTTTAACATCAATAATTTGATGATCACGAATAACTTGTTCCTTTCTTTCTGGATCTTGAATCACATTGAAAAATTGTTCCTTAAAGAATTCAATATTCTTATTTACAAATTCGGAATGTTTCACAGTTGAGGAGCTTTCAATAGTCTTATCACCTCCAATGATTTTCAATAATTGAGATGGTGAATAACGTGTATCAGATGAAAATCTATCAATCAATTGAATTTCTCTAGGTGTGAGATTATCAATTTGACTATTTTTCATTTTCAAAATGTTAACCAATAAATCCTTCTTATTTTCTTCATTCAGTTTCAATTCAACTTTTAAATCCTGTGGAAGTTCTGTTTTGAATGGGACGTAGGTCAAATCGTATAATTTGAGCTTTTCCTCCATGACCAACTTTTTAGTGAAAATCAAAAAGAATGGAAGTGATCCAAAAGTATTTCTATTTACAAGTTCTGAGAATAAATTCAAAGATTCAATAGTTCTATTAATTGAATCATCTTCATAGCAAATTTGATTATACTCAGAGAGAGGAACAAGGAACAAAACTCCAGAGAGTGTTTGAGAGTTATCATTCATGATATTTTTCCACTTTTTTCTTTCATTTCTCTGTAATGATATTAATTAATATTAGAATATTTCATTAAATTGAATTCTTACCTGACCACCAGTGTCATACAACCCAATCAGGTTGTTATCACCAAATTTAACTGGAATTTCAATAATACCAGTTGTTTTTACATAGGTACTAACAATGAGCTCAGTTACAATGTGTGAATCATCCTTAATGGCACTTGAAAACTTTGACTGTAAATCATCTCCTTCAGTTTCATAACTCAAAACATCTTCCAATTGATCAATGAGAGTTGGTAAATTTTCAAGATTCAAGTGACGAATATAAACTGATTTCTCAGCTCTATTTCTAGAATAATCTCCATATCCTTCAATAAATTTGTAAGCAATACTTGCAAAAAAGTAACACATTTGAATAATTGGTTCATCCATCCAAAAATCAACCAATCTTTCACAAATTTCATCACTCAAAAAAGTGGTATCTCCAAGAATATTGTCAATACTATCTGAAGGAATTTGAGAGAATTTAGTTTTAAATTCTTCTGATTCTTTTTTCAGATACGGCACATTTGGAAATAGGTTATTCTTAACATCAAAAAGAACACGGAATGCTAGTCAGGTTTCGAATAATCAGTTATAATTAAAACAAACCTTGGAAAATATTCTTTACGAGAATCTTTCTCCAATTCTTAATATCAAAATTAGTGATTGAATAATCAGATGAATGTATCTTCAATAACTTTGAAAGTGATGTCTTTCCTAATATTATTCGAATATAAAAAACGAAATTATTCCAATAAGAAGAAATGTTAAAAAGAATTTAAAACAAACCTGAACTACCAGTACCGACAAGAACTAACTTTGGAGCCTTTGAAAGATCAACACTATCCTTTCTATTATTTCCATAAATTGGAATTGATTGTACTTGTGTTGTATGAAGGTCATTAACTTTTTTTGCCTGATCCAAAATGTTATGACCCAAGAGTGAGAGAAATTGTGTAGAGGTTTGGAAAGATTGAGATGATTTTGAATCATCATCTTCCAACTCATCAAATAAATCATCACTTCTACTACTGAAAAGTAAATTTGCTCCGAAAGTTGTTGTTGAAGTTGGAGGACTTGTTGCATGAATTTGACCAACATTTGAACCTCTTCTTTGCTGTCTTTGTTGAAGCATTTGAAAGTTATTGTGGTCTGAATTATCAGAAAGACTTTTGCTCTCTAACTGTCCCATTTTGAGATATGTTTATTTGAGATGTTTAGATATTTTTTTATCACTGAAATATGCTGAGATGATTAATGACATATTTTACATTTTAGAGAATAATAATTTATTTGTTTTTTAATACTTTAGTGTACACATATGAATCTAGCTTAGAAGTTATAATGAGGTTGATGACCACCACCTTGGGCTTGAGATTGGTTGTTCATTGGAACTTGAAAATGTCCCATACCATTATTTGAATTGGCTTGTTGGTTCATCATACGTTGTGGTGGCAAAGTGGATTGTTGAGCTTGGGATTGTTGGTTATAGTATTGATTTTGATTTTGAGGAACCTGTTGAGAGCCTTGTCCCATGTGTTGAGTTTGAGGCATACCTCCAGCCATGTGTTGGTTTTGTTGATTCATCATTGGTTGACCACTGTGTTGACTCATCATTTGTGGATTACCCATTCCTTGAGGATTTCCCATCATTTGAGGGTTGCCCATCATTTGTGGATTTCCCATCATTCCTTGATATTCATCTTCGTCACCTTCTTCATCTTCGTCTTCATCACCACCTCCCATCATTTGTTGTTGGGAAGCTTCTGGGGCATTGAGACATTGTTGGATAAGGTTTTTACCTTCAGTTTGAGTGATGAGAGGTTGAAGCTTTGGAGTAGCAAATGTGTAAACGTGACCAGTTTCAGAAGCAACTAAATTTGGATTTTAAATAAGGATGTAGATTACAGTAAATACTTACCTAGCAGCAGAACTTGAGTACCAGTCAATGTAGAAAGTTCGTAAGCCTTCTTCATGATACCTGCCTTTCTCTTGGAGAAAGTAATGTGTCTACGAGATTTATCTTGAATGAATTCAATGTTAATTTTCCTACGTCCTGCTCTCTTCTTGGAGTTACTTCCAGATTGTGGTGGTGATTCAACTTCACTGGTAACTTGTGTTGATTGTGTGGCACCAGCTCCTTGAGTCATTTGGGTCATGGCCATACTGTTTGTATAAAAAGACATAATTACAGGTTGACAATATGAATGTTGTCAAGACAAAATGTTGTGGTAGTTAGTTGATCAACAGTGTTTATGGTGATGATCGTAATTGTTGTTGTCATTTGTGATGATCATAATAATAATAATTTAAATTAATATTTCCAATTTGATAATATATATTCACAACATACCCTTGGTTTTGGTTAGATTGAGAATGAATCATCATCATGATGTTGGAGTCACCAGCACCATTCTTTTGTTCTTGATCTTGGGTGGACATTATCTATTTGATGATTATGATCAATATCAAAGGAAGAAATTATTGTTGGTGTGATGATGAAGGAGGTACAACAACAACATGTAATTATATTACATGCATATGTAATATAATAATATATAATAATTAATTGTTGTTGTAGGGATAGTTGTTGTTGTAATAGTGTTGTCATAATTGGGTGGTGAGTTTAATAGTCATCGTACGAGTTGGGAAGTGTTTAAATTTGCAACACGTTCAAAGATGGAGAGATTCATTTGGAGAGGTGTTTATAAATTGAGGTTACTTGGTAAAAGTGCTTTTGAAGGAAAATCAACCTACAGCAAAATAATATATTTGATCCTATTTGTTTTTTTTTAAAGTGGTGCCGTCCGAAGATGGGCGAGAGATTCAAAAACGCAATTGGCTGCGCTATTTTGTGCAAGTCTTGATGTTTTCGAGCCAGCTTGTTGATGAGTTAGCAAAAGGATTTGATAACGTCAATATATGAAATTAACGTCTATTCAACAATACTAACAAGATGAAACAACTGCAACTTCATTGTTTGTTAGTTCTTGAATAGAACGCTTGTTATTTCAAACTGTTTATTTCGGGAATCGTTACATTGTTGCCTTCCATACAAAACCGTTACCGTGTTTGTTGGCGCTACTCATCTACAAATTAATGAGACAGATACGTTGAAGATGTAATTGTTCACTCAAAATAAGGTAAATGAAATTGATATCTGGAGTTTATTCTAATTCAATACATATTGTTCAAACTTAGAGTGATAGCATTGGGTGGATCAGATCTCTTGGCTATTATTGTCAAGATGTTTGCACTTCGGAAGTTCAAATATATTAAATTGATGAAAGTTAATGTAAAATAACATTATTTAATACTTGAGGTCCGAGTTATTATTGGTCACCTTGATCAAACGTAACCTAGGAGGTTTTTATATGTAGATATTTATTTGTTGGTGATGCTCATCAATTGATTAGAATTAATCGATAACTTTGATAGACACTGCGACATTAATGATAGCATGTACTAGAGAATATTTACAATTAAATAATTATTTACAATATTAATTTAGTAAAGGTGGTTTGTTGATTATTCCTTAACACCAGAGTAAATTTCATCAATTTCCTTTTCATACTTTTTCAAAATTTCATGTCTTTTGGTTTTCAAAGTTGCAGTAAATTCACCGCCATCTATTGAGAAGGATTTGGACAGAATTTTGAACTTTTTAACTTGTTCAGCATCTGATACCTTACTATTCACTTGTTTGATGAGAGATTCAACCAATTTATAAATAATTGGATGATTATGGTAGGTATTCAGAGCTCTTTCTGGTGTTAAATCTGATAGAGAATCTACATTTTCAACACCAAATTCCTTATGGTGATCTTTGACATATTTCATTAATTGGGTTGGTTCAAGGGAAACAATGGCAGAGAGGAAAATTTTATCATCTCCAATCATTAAGCTTCCATTGATAATGTCATGTTGCAATGATGATTCAAAATATGCTGGGGCAACATTCTTACCATTCTTAGTCATGATAATGTCCTTCTTTCTACCAGTAATCTTTAAGAAACCATTCCTTAATATACCCAAGTCACCAGTTCTCAAAAATCCATCTTCAGTGAAAGCAGCTTTGGTTGACTTTTCATCTTTAGCATATCCAACCATTGTTGATGGTGCCTTAATTAACACTTCACCATCGACATCTATTTTAATTTCTGTACCTGGCATTGGAACACCAACTGTTTCATTGTTAAGAAATGTCAAATCAATTATTAAACATACCACTATCGAAATGGAGAGCTCTTGGTCTAATGGATGAACCTGTTAATTATGCAGATAATTATATTAAGGAATTTTCAAATTGAACTATCTATACATACCCATAGCTGATGATTCAGAAGAACCATAAATGTTAATTAACATGGCATCCAATCCAGAAAAGAATATCATAACATCCTTTGAAATTGGTGCACTTCCAACTCCGAAAACTCTTGTTCTATCAAATCCAATTTTTCTCTTCAATGGTCCAACAATGAACTTGTAAATTAATTTAGCTCTGAAATCCAACAATGAACTAGTGCTTCTTCCCATAGCAACCAAAGTATTGTATTTGGATACTTGTTTCATACAGTGTTGAATTAAATATCTAACAATTGGATTGACCTTGCTGAGATTGGTTTCAATACCAGATTTGATCTTTTCATAAATTCTTGGTACTCCAAAGAAAATATGAGGTCTTACAACTTGTAAATCATTCAACAAAGTGAAAATACTTTCAGCAAAATAAACTTGATATCCGCATCTCAAAGGTATATAAATAGTTAACAATCTCTCAGCAATATGAGCAAGTGGGAGAACACTGAGATAGGTATTATTATGATTCTCAATATCAAAATCTGGATGAGTTTCATTATATTTAGCAATTGTTCTAGCTGCAAGAGTAGCTGAGGTAACTGCTCTATATGTCAATTGAACAGCTTTTGGTGCACCTGTTGTACCACTTGTGTAAATCACGGTACAGACATCATTTGTCTTGATTGACTTGAAAATTTCATCAACTTGGTCTTGAGTAATATTTTCTCCAAGTTTGATAAAATCGCTCCAACTCCACAATTGAACTTGAATACCAGAAGCATTCAAAAGTGGCTCTGGGTTTTCCTTCAAACACTCATTCAAAACACTTTCATTAATAAACACAACTTTTTGCAAATCAGTCAACTTGGAAATACATCTCTTAACTTTTTCAAAATGATCCTTCTTTTCCACAACAACCATCTTTGCTTCTGAGTGATTCAACAAGTGCAATACTTGAAGTTCTGATGATGAAAAGTAAATTCCTCCACAAATAACATTAACAGTCAAGCAACCCAAATCTAAATAATTCCACTCCTTGTTATTTCCAGACATGATACAACAAGTCTCACCTCTTTTAATTCCGAGAGCAAGAAGTGATTTGGCAACCTCTTGAACATGGTCATTGTACTCTTTAAAAGTGATAGGAATGTACTCCTTTGCCTGACTTGATTGATTCTTATACCAGAGAGCAGGCCTATTCGGCATTTGCTTACTCCACAATCTCAACTTGTAAATATTGGTTTCTTCCATGTATTCTCCCTTTTCCAATACTTCGTTAGGATCCTGATATTCAACATGTTGATGTTTATCCATGCTGTTCGGATCATCATTGAACATGATACTCAATGGATCAGTCTCTGGTGTTTCCTTGAATAAAACCAACCACACTACAACAACCATCACAACCAGGGTGAGGGACAATGCAAGAACGAGTGAGGACATTTTTATATTGAAACTTCGAGGATGATCATCTTGGGGTTGAAGAAGAACCTTCAGTTGCAAATGAACAGGTAACGTTGTGCTGATGATGTTGCATGAAGAATTACATTACCAGATTTAATCTCCCGATATCAGTGCAAATATGGAATAATTGAGTCTTTGTTTGGAAAGGAAAATACAGTCAACATTGAATTGTTCAATTCATTAAGTCAGAAATTGTCAACTGGAATAACCTTCTTGTTGATTGAAGTTTTTGGTCTGAATAAGGTACTAAGGATTTTGCAAGGATGAACTGTTATGGAAGGTACATTGAAATTATACATTTTGAAGTAGTGAATGGCTACGGCCATATCACGATGAATGCACCTCATCCCGTCCGATTTGAGAAGTTAAGCATCGTCGAGCCACATCAGTACTGAGGTTGGAGACAACTTGGGAACCTGTGAAGCTGTAGTCTTTTTAATTTCACCTTATTGTTTTTACAGCTTTAAATATTGAAATGTAGAGAATATTGAAATGGAAATGTACAAACATTGAAGAAAATTAAATACAAATCATTTGACAATTTAAAGAACTTTATTGAAAAACTTGTAAATTCAATCTTATCCAAATTGTTCGGGTTGTTGTTTACTATTAAGGAGACTCTTTTAACTGCTGTGGATTCACATTACTGCAAATACTTGGTTACAATCAGGGATTTCCTCCCTCTACATTAATTATCAGCCCTCCGCCACTCTTTCTAGAACGATTTGATTGGACAAGAGGGCTCAATGAATCTATGAAAATACTCGACTGAAGATTCATTGCAGGAGGTTTCTTTTTTTTTAATTGAACAAGAGACAATTTTGTCACATTCAAGCCAGCTCTCTTTCTATTTATATTTTAGGAAATGCCACTTTCAACTTTTGAAGCAAACATTCATGAATGTAATTTTCATTTGATCAACAAGTTCATAGGGAGGATCAATATCACCTCATCTCAATTAGGAACCTGTCTTTTTGTCATTTCACAGATTATAATAGTATTTGTGCAAGGAATGAGGAAATTCTTCACTTAATTAGTTGTTTCTTACAACTTTCAGGAGGAAGTTCTTAAAAATTGTGAGCTGATCTTGAAGCCATCAACATTCAATTATTTTCTTGAATCGAAATTTATATTTTTCACATAAAAGTACCACAATTTTTTAACCTCACTTTTCACACATTCAAAACCAATATCACAAACCTCACAAATGAAACTTGATAAAACCATTGACTGTACTTCTACAGGATCTTTTCTGTAGGAATACATAAACTCGACTTTTTTGAGTCAATCTGACCTTTGAGGTTAACCAAGATGAAGACTCTGTAGTCACATATCTTGAGCATGATATCGAACTGGAAACATGCTTCGCTGTAGGTTTCCTCGTTCATAGATGATTGCTGCATTCCTTACCAGCCATGGTTTGTGAATGGGGGATTTGTGAACATGCAGATTGGTACCTTAATTTTTTTAATAATTAATAGAAACTTAAACAATTTAAATGTCCTTTGGCAGCATTTAAAATATGTTTGCACTCATCATGTGAACATGCAGATCTATTTGGAACTTTCTTTGCATTTTAGGTACATAAATGAAAGAGTTCTTCACTACCTTGGCCAACAGATTGAAAAAACTCCCAAAACTTTCAAGTTTTTTATCAACAGGTCAACAGCATACTTTGCACAATGATTTCATCCCATTAATTACTGAAATGCAATTGAGTTTGGCGTTTACTGCAATAGTCATAAGGAAATTCAAAAAGATCAGTTATCAAACCTTGTACCTTGTCACCCAAGTTATCAAACCTTGTACCTTGGGTGGAATTTGTGTCATTTTGTCAAGAATTCTATCGAGGATTATAAGAATATGGACAGGTATGATATTAAAATTGGAATGATAAAGAATAACACCAATGAAGTTTTGAGTCAATTATTCATAACGTATAGTGGCTCTTCAATACATGTCAGATTAAATCCAACAACCAGTTTTCACATTGAACTTTCCAAGATACTGATCTCTTTTCATGATCCTTTCCACTCTGATTCCAGCTAGGACAAACTTGGACATTGTCTCACCAATTCCACTGCGAGGTACCCACATAAAGCAAGTTATCAGAGCTGTGGATAAACTTGAATAAACTTTTGAACATCAAAAAAAATGTTGGAATACACGGATGGTGGGATGATGAAGGTTGTTGTTATCTTGATGATACTTTTGTATCAACTTTCATCAATTCATGCTCAAAAATCATATTCCATTTCTTCTATCGTTTCGAATATTCAATTCTTGGAAAAAGGATCATCCATGAACATTGTTGAAGACTTTGAATATAATTTTAACGGAAGTTACTCAAGGATTGGAAGACCTATTCCACGTGACATTGCAACAAGTGTTGATCCTTTATCAATCAAGGTATTTATTTCGGATTCAACCTATTCGATTTCTTCCAAGTTAGAAAGTGGTTCTGAATCCTATTTTATTGTTTCGACTTTGAGTCCTGCCACTCCCTCAAATGCACTAACCAAGTTTTCATTCAGAATATCATTTTCCCTAATTCCAAATCTTGAAGTTGTAAGTTTACAATTTTATTAATCATTACAATGAGAAAACTAGTCAACAGACACTGTTTGGAGATATCACTATCAGGATAATTCCTTTATTTCATCCATTTCAACCACAATCCTATTTGATTCATCAATCTCATCCTATAATTTGACTTGTGTCAATGGTCAAGTCTCGACAATTGACAATCAGTATAAGGCCACTTTCAACATGACAGGATTAAATTCTAATTCTTATTTCAAACCAGAAATTAAGATAATTGGACTTGGTACTAGTATGAAATCAGATTTTTATTTTCAAGCTATTGGAATCCCATTAATTATAGTAGGAGTTATAGCAATAATTTTAATAGGTGCTGTCACAATCTATTTCCTAAAGAAGAATTGGGGAACTAGCTCAGTTTACAAACCAAGTGTTTCAGCACATCCAAGAGTTGATGTTCCAATGTCGACAACAGCCCCATCTACAAAGGTCGACCAACCAACAAGACAAAAAGAAACTAGTTATTACGCTCCATCTACTACAAGTGAACCATATGGAGGATATTCAACAACCACTGTTGAAGAAACATACAAGTATGAGCCACCAAGTTATGATTATTCTGGAGGATATGGTGGTGGTGGAGACTACTCTGGTGGTGGTGGATATGATTATGGTGGTGGAGGAGGAGGAGGTGATTATGGAGGTACTTCAGGATTTGCTGATTAAAGTTAAGATCTCAATTACTTTCATAATGCTAAATATATTTTTTTATGGAATTTCAATAATGCCAATACTAAGCAACTATTCCACTATCAGTTGAGTATTTTATTGTTAAAAAGTTATTATATTTTAACGTTATAGAAGTTTAACCCTTTAAACTTTCCTACAGGAAACTCTAAAAGTTGAACTGATAATCCTATTTGGACAGGTAAGATACTGTTTGTAAACGAAAGTGAAATATTTCAATCATAGTACTGTAAATGAAAATGAGTATTTGAAAATTAAGAAAGTTATTGAGAGAATTACTGAAGTTCCATTAGAAAGATCAACTTTTTGTAGAAAGGATCAAGCGTGATACAGTGTGGACAAATTAAATCCTTTGAAATCATCAAAAAATCGTCATGTCACAAAGATTCAAATAAGGAAGCTTTACAAGACTGAATTATTTGATAAATGGAGTGGTAAGAGTTAAAAATTGTTTAAAAAGATTAGAATTGACCAAGAATTATTAAAAATGTTTCCAAACTATTGTTAAAAAACCCAAAAAGACTACTGCTTAACTTCTCAAATCGGACGGGATGAGGTGCATTCATCGTGATATGGCCGTAGCCATTGTTGATATAAAAATTAAGATAATGAGCTATCTCTTAATTTGTTATAGTTTAATTTGTGAGTACTAAAAGACCATTCGAAAATTGATGGTTTTGAACCAGATAAAACTTATACCAAAGTTCCATTCAAATTCTTAATGAAATTTTTGTAAAAAAGGCATGGGTGGAGTTTCGCCACCAACACTTCAGAGAAATGAGCTGATCGTGATGTTAGAATTACACTACATGCCTCAAATTCAGTAATGATTTACAATCTCTCTTAGCTTCAGATTGTTGAAAACATTCATTTCATTATGGTATATTTCTTTCTTTAAAAATAGATCCAACTCTGAAATGGAAGTATTGAAAAAGGTGGCCAAGAAGATGATTCCATTCTTTCAATAGACGACTGGTGATCTGAAAGCTATTCCAACCGAAACTATTACAATATTCAAAGTGTCTGGTCCCTATTGTTCAGAAACACATGAAATAGTATCACATTTAAAGCATGAAGAAGATCATAATTGACTCTTGATGATATCATTTGTTAGATTTAGCTGATTATATTGTAAAGATGCTTCTGAAATAAGTGTCATGTTGTAAACCGTATTGGAAATGTTAAAATACTTTACAATCCCATCAAATTATTGATTTGTCATGAATAGTGATCGCTGTAATCTAGAAACTGGTGTTAGGTAGAAATTCATCACCACCAATGGATAACTTATATTTTCTAACAAGTTTATAAATTGAAGCCTTAGTTGCCTGATCAACATCCTCTTGATTCAATAAAAATTGTATTAAAGGTTGAATATTTTCATCAACGAACAACTCTCGCCAATACGTAAAGTTTTTCAATGTTCTGTTGGTAATAAATTGTACCATTTTTTGAGGCCATTGTTTGCCTATTTTATTATACGATAGCAATAGTTGATCAATAGTTGAGCTGGCTAGTAAGGTGAAGTCATTGGTGTCTTTGGTGAAAGCACGACAGACAATAAGCACCAACATGGATGGCACGATGTTAAAGTCGTTGTTTTGCTTCTTCATTTTTTTCAGTTCTAAATTTGCATTAAGAGGGAAACAAAACTTACTGTATCCACAGTTTCAGCTGCTGCAACGTCATCAGGTCCTTGTATTGAGATTAGTCCAAATAATTCTCTCACAAACAACCCCAAATCTAAAAGAAAGAAATAGTCCAGATATCTCATCCAGTGGTACTTCCACTCCGGCTGCTATTGTTGGCTTACTCCCATTTACTCAACAACATTTTGTCCATCCGATGATGTTGTATACCACAATCAGTTTCCACCTGAAATTTCTTCACAAATACCTCCTATACTACATGAGAAGATAATGGTCCACAGAACAACTTTTTAACTCCTCAATTTTGAAAGTAGATGATGATGCAATATATAGTTAATAACTTTGATTTTACTTGACAGGAAAGACAATCACCATTGAAATGGAATCTAATGATACTATAGCAAAAGATAGGGTAATCCTCGTATCAACAATTAATTTATGCAGGAAAACAATAAGAAGACTGTACTGTTGGAGATTACAATCTTCAAAAGGATTCAACAGTATATTTACTCAATCTGAATCTTATTTTAAATCTATCAGTTATCATTCGCCTTCTTTTTCAAATGTGCTGAATAGTTTTTACCTGTTTCATTCACTAATTTTGAAAAGTTACTATCATGCTGAGATAATAATTCCTTTGGAGAACCGATTTCAATTATTTCACCATCCTGCATAAATGCAACCATATCAGAATCAATAATGGTATCCAATCTGTGGGCAACAGTAATGATTGTCGATTCCTTAAACTCTTCTCTAATGACTTTTTGCACAATCTCATCACTATTGTGATCCACAAAAGCTGTTGACTCGTCAAATATGATTATTTTAGCTCTTCTCAAAATGCATCGACAAAGTGAAAGTAATTGTCTTTCTCCAATTGAGAAATTGCTGCCATTCTCTGTTACATTTCCAGAGAGTCCAATTTGTTGAATTTTCTCTTTCATATGAACTCTCTCTAAGGCTTTCCAAATTTCATGGTCTTGAAATTCATTGAATGGATCTAGATTGTATCGAATGGTACCAGAGAATAGAATAGGGATTTGTGGAATAATTAAAAGAGATTTTCTGAGAGTTTTCAATCCAATTTGTGAAATATCCACTCCATCAATTGTTATATTTCCTTCACTTGCTTCTATGAATCTAAACAGGGAAATTAGCAAGGTACTCTTTCCACTTCCTGTTCTTCCAACAACTCCAATTTTTGTTCCTGGTTTAATCTCCAGTTGAATGGAATTCAAAACTGGGTCTAGATCATCTCTGTATCTTGCAGAAAGAGAGTTGAATTGAACATGCCCTTGAGAAGGCCATTGTGATGGAATTGGATCACTTTCGAGTTCGTAAGGGGCCTCTTGTTCAATATTTGAACTGTAATGAATGATTCGCTCTACACTAGTCATATGACTTTCCAAATCAACAAATGAACGAACAAACTCTGTGAAAGTATCACTCAATTGTAAGGAGTAAGTAATAACCAGTGCTAAAAGAGCTTCGTTATTATGTTGAAAGTGTTTCGTAATAATTGCAAATAATGCTGTAAAAAAAATAACTAATTGTGCAACTAATTGAATTCTAACACCTAACCATCTATTGATTAGAAATCTTCCGTATGAATGTTTGTTTGTAAAATCAATCTTCATAAAATTGTCCTTGTAAATACTTTCATGAATAAGAGCAGCCTTAATGGTTTTAACACCCTCCAAACAGGAATTAAAATGTGACATTGCTGGACTTCTAGAAATGGATTCCAATCTTCTAATTTCACGTGATGTAGCTCTATAATACTCCTGGACCACAAAGAATACAAGAGCGATAGGAATAACTACAATTAGAAATAGTGGAGTGACAATTGAAATCATAACAAGTGTAAAGCAAACTGAAATAATTGTTGTGATAAATTGTGGCAATGCAAAGATCATTTGTGTGTCCAATACCACTACGTCTTGTGTGAATCTATTCAAAATTCTTCCTGTTGGGTTCTGATCAAAGAATCTAGTTGGGGCATGAAGAATATTATTCAACATCTTTTTGTGAAAACTGTTGGAGGCCTTAAGAGAGGCAAGACCAAAAGCTAATTCCTTCAGAGAAGCAAAAAAAGCATCTGTTAGACCAATTCCAAAGAAAATCCAAACATAAGTAAAGATATCCAATCCGAGATAATCATTATTCATAACTGATATCCATATTTGACCACCTGCTTTGGAGCTAACTGAAAATAGACATGAAATTATACTAAACAAAACTAGTATAATTCCACATTCTTTTACAAACGAAAGAAAAACTCCCCAGCTAATAGTTTCATTGCTCTTATCTTCAGCAATTACAAGTTTACCCTTCTTGTCATCTTTTTCAGTGGATTTCGGATCTTTTTTCACTTGTTCCTCCTTGTCGTTGGATTCATTGTTTTCGAATTCTTCTCCCTTTTCCGAAATTAACTTTGAAAAATCATAGGCATGCATAATCGAATGAAGTGGTCCTTTTGCAATGAGTTTACCCTTTTCAAGAACAATTACCTCGTCGACCATCTCCAATAATTGAAGTGAATGGGTCAGTAACACTCTGGTTTTACCTTTCAGATGGCCACAAATACAATCTCTGAAAATCGACTTACAAATCTTTGCATCAACTGAATTAAGTGTAGAATCCATAATGATAATATCTGAATTGGAGTAACAAGCTCTTGCAAGACTGATACGATGTCTTTGGCCAACTGAGAGATTAATTCCAGAGAAACCAATTTCAGTTTCATCAAAATTTGAGAATTGCTCCAAATCGTCTTTCAATTGACAAACTTCCAAAACCCTGTTGTACTTTTCACTGTCAAATTCTAAGGACTTATCGAAAATGATATTGTTTCTAACACTGGAATTGATCATCCATGGATTTTCATCACATAAAGAAAGGCTCAACTGAGGATTCACTTTCAAACTGCCTTCAGAGACAATTGACTCCCCAATTATGGAAGAAATGAGGGTCGATTTTCCTGAACCAGTATCTCCAATGATTGAATAGAGTTTTCCTTTTTCCAATATTAAGTTCAAGTTTGAAACTATAGTTTCACCGTCTTCAGTCCACTTTATGGACGCATTTTCAAACTCAATTGCAACATTATCTTCCAAATTAGTAGAGTGATCAGAAGAAGAGCGATTGGAAACTTCATTCCATAAATGAGCCTTATTATAATGGTCGTGAGGAAGATGAACCTGTTCATCACTGTAAAGAAATCGTCCAACACGTTTAGCACTCACATAAGAAGAAACTAATCCAGAAAGAACTAGTGGAAAGGTTGTGAGGGGTACTCTGAAAGTATCAAACAAAATAAGGCCAGTAAACATGTTTGAAATTGTCAACTGCCCACCAAAGTAAGCATATGAAATAAATGTTACGCTTCCTCCCTTAATAAAGTGTAAAAAAAAACTCTAATAACAATTTACAACTTACAACTATTGACATTAAAACTGCTGCAAATCTTTGTGAACTCATGGTAAGGACAGATGCAAACAGCCCTTTGGACTCTTTTTTTCTACTCTCCATAACTTTCTCTTTCATCTTTTCCTCAAAAACAAAGAATTTGATAATTCTAATACCATTCAGTAATTCGTTCAAATTCTTTACTCTTTCATCTCTAAACTTACTGAGCCATCCCTCAACCTTCGTTAGAATCTTGGCTAGTACTGGAATAAGAGGACTCACTAATAACATTGCTCCCACTCCAATGAAGGCACTATATCCAAAGAATATGCAAATCATGGACAAACCGACCAAAAGTGAAACTGGAACAACCCAACATTCATGAAAATATAGAATAAGAGTTGCAATTCTTGTTGGATCTGTGGTAAATAAATTGGTAATTTCACCACTTTTGAATTTGCTTCTTTCTGAGCTAGTAATTCTGTTAATCTTTTGAAAAACAGCTGCTTGAATACAACCTCTCCAAGCAAACCAAAGATTACCCACTCCATAGGTATACTGATTGATGAAAATTGTTGGCAGTATATTGCACAAGAACAGCAAGATTACAATCCCAAATTGGAAAAATCCATTGCTTAAAGGAAGGTTCTGATTTAGCCAACTGGTTTGGTTATTAAATGTTGAATTTGTGATGAGTGCAGCATTTTGAAGAGTTTCATTTTGAAAAGCAACAACTGAATACTGCACATTATAAAACATAGATATGGATTCGACTGCTTTTGAGGGTTTAGAATCGGACTGAATACCAGTTGACTTGATAGATTCCAATAACAAATATAAAATTAATGGTGAAACGTAATGGAAAATCATTTCTGCTAATTTCCACAGACCAACACCATACCATCCTCTCCATCTAAATGTTCTCTCGCTAACTTTCAAAAATAAAGTTCCAAAATTCTTTGTAATTCCTCCATTTTCTGAATAGTTCTGTCTTTCATTAATGAAACTCTTTCTAAATATTGGTTCAAATATTTCAAATTGATGTTCAGTGGTCCACTGTTTTGCCAATTTAGGAATATCTGCATGAGTCATTCCCTCACTTTCTCTAATTTCAAAATCTCTAATTTTCAATTTGGAAATCAACTTTTTAATCCAAATCATCATTGGACCATCTCCCGCCTTTTTAAATCCAACTTTTAATAATGGATCAACAAATATAAAAAACAATATCGAAAACCACGAAGCATTTCCATCTAAATGTTCAGGAGAGGAAATATCTACACCATCCTTCCAATTATCTTTCTCTTCCGAAACCTGTTCAAGGTGTTGTGCTTGATCTTGTTGAGAAGATGAGAATGCCGAAGGAATAACGATCAGGCTTTCCTCATCTTCATTCTTAGTGCGTTCAGCCATTTTTTTACAAGTTAAACTCCCAAATGTACTAATTCTACTATTAGTTATCAATTATATGCCGCAAATCAAGTTGTTTACAGTGAGGATAATATCTAATATTCAAACTTCATTAAGGTTATGCGCACTAACTTGCATTGTAAAAATTGAAAATCTTCAAATTGGAGATGGAAAAAAAATGATTCCAAAAACACCTTCAGAAATTACAGTTGAATATTTGAAGGAAAAACTTTCGAATCAGCAACATATGAATGGAAGGTTGGTTTGGCTTGATAAATTGGCTTCCGTTTCATATAATAATTCCAATATTCAGGGACAATGCAGTCAAGTTGTTTTATTTGAATTAAAAGATTCGGAGGGAAATATTCTGGATGAAGTTTTTATTAAATTTGCAAAGGATGAGAATGATAAGAGTATTGCTCATCATGTGGATAGAGACTTTCTAGCAGAAACATCAGCCTACAAGAAGGAAATAGCCTTCTATCAATATTTATTAAATACTAATAGTATAAATAATTTATTGAATAGAAATGTTGTTCCACCGGTTTATGTAGCAGAAATTGATAGAAACAACAAGGATCAATTCATATTAATTTTGAGAAAATCAGGGAAGGCTTTAGATCAAATTGTTGGATGTTCTACAGAGTTGATTCGATTAATCTTGAAGGAGTGGGCATTGATACAATCAGAATTTTGGTATACTGCAGAGGATGAGGAGAAATTCAAGGCTCAGTTGGTTGTGAATGGATATGATGTTATGACTCCACTTCATCACACTGTTACTTCAATGATTAATAAGAAGAATAATATTCTACCAGTAGAGGAAGTGGTTGAGGAGGTAAAACAAGTGTGGAAAGACAAATGGGAAGACTATCATTATGTTTTAAAGTACTTCTCTTCACAAACTGGTATGAAACAATTGGCAGAGAATGCACTAGTGATTGATGAGCAAGTTTCTTCTGGAAAGATTTTCGAAATTGTTGAAGAAGGATGCCAAGTACTCACCGCCAACAACAGGACACTCAATCATTGTGACTTTAGATTAGACAATATGTTGCAAGTTTCGGAAGAATCTGTTGCGTTTGTTGACTTTCAATGTATTGGATTTGGTTCTTGTGGTTATGATTTAGGGTTTTTCATATCTTCCTGTTTATTAAGTGAACAGGTGAATGATAATTTTCATAATTTAATGGAGAGTTATTGGAATAGTTTAATTTGCAATAAGCCAATAATAGAAAAAACCTATTCATTAGAGCAATTGAAGAGAGAGACAAGAAAAGCAGCTGTTATTCAACTCTCGCTCTACATGTCCATGTTCAGTGCTTGGAGACCAATGATTGATTCTGGTGTTGATTTAAAGAGTGCTGTTGGCAGATTTTTTGAGTTGGTAATTTGTGCAACAGAAAGAATGTTAAATTTTCATGTTAAATTTACCAGCTCAGATTGATACAACAAGATAGCTGATTCTAATACAGAGCGACCACATTTCATTGAACATTAAGACAGTTTAAGGAATAACATTAGACATTCTCAATAGATATTTTGATAACGCACATTTTTTTTTCGGTCCGATTATAACGGACTTCCCGAATGTCTTCCTTTTTAATAGTACTGAGCACGCAAAGTCAAATCTCAAGATTTTTGGTATTACTGTATGTACTAAACAACGGCAATCAAACGTTGTGAGCCAAATGTTAAAACAGTACTGTAGGTCCTCCCCCGCAATCGGCATGGGAAAAATCTGAATGTCACACTGCAAAGTTTCTAATGATGCTACACCGAGGGTGTAACCTCCCAGTACGCCATGTTAAGATTGTGTGCATCAAATCCATCATGTTGGCTTTCAATTTAAAACTTTTAACAACAAAAAAACAATTCAACAACATTAAGCATCTTCATGTCATTCTTTAGAAGTATTTTCAGGAGTGTTAGTCACCGTAAGTTTCGTTAATTTTGGTTAGTTCTAAATTATTTGTTGAATGTTTAGAAAATTCATTGGCTGGAGCCTATGATGAGGAACCAACAGTAACAGTGTCCGGTAATGTTCATGTTCAACCAAGTGTCACAGTGTCAGGAAATGTTCATACCACTGTTCAACCAACAATGACAGTGTCTGCCTCAACCAATAATGGATATTCTACAGTGAGTACTCAACCAAGTGTTGGATTGAGTGTAGGAGTTAGTGCACAACCAACTGTACATGTTCAGCCAACTGTAGGAATGACTGTTTCTAATGGATATTCTACAATGAATGCTCAACCAACTATTGGAATGACAATGAATACCACAACTTATGAATCAAATTATAATACTGTCACTATGCAACCTACCGTTGACATGTCAATTGGTGTGCAACCAACTGTTGGAGTAAATATGAATATGGGTATGCCAGGAGTTGGAATTGGTTTCAACATGGGAATGCCAAATATGACTGTTTCTACACATACCACTTCCACATCAACATATACACCTCCTCCACAAAATAATTATACACCTCCACCTGTCACTAATTATTCATCTGGTGGTTTGGCTCAAAAAATTATTGCAGCTTGTAAGAATTCAACTTTCGATTCAGATAAGGTCAAGGCAGTTGTTTCGTATTCATCTGCCGAATGTAGTCCAATTATGGCCATGGATTTAGTGACAATTCTTAAATTATTTGATTTTGCCAATGATCAAGTCAAGGTAATTAACCAATTGAAGTCAACAAATAATATTGCACAAATGTCATGTAATGACGCTGTTTCAATTTTGAACGTTTTGGATATGGACAATGATAAGATTAAGGTTTTGGATGTTATTTGTTCTCAAATTTATGATAGAAGACAATCTGCTGAAACAATTGTTGGAACATTTTCCTTCTCTAATGATCAAGATAAGGCAAGAAAAATGTTACTCAGATAAATTCAATTCCGATATTTACAAAATTAATATTCATGTGTAACTCTTTTGAGGTTTCCTCATTTAATTCCTTTATAACTCCAACCTTGAATAATTTGGTGATTATATCATGAGAAATTAATCTTCAAATCTGTCAGGGTGAAACATTACACCATAAAGTGCTCTGCAACATTGAAATAGGTTTGAGCAGCAGCACCTAGAACTGTAATCGTTTGTTGTCTTTTTGCTTGTATTGAACGGAGTAGTTTCTTTAACATCACATATGGACATTATAGGAAAAGAAGGGAAGATGAATTCGTGACAATAAACGGTATTCTTGTCGTGATCGAATTCTTTCTCAAAGCTCATTACAATATCAGTTAAATTAAGGCTGTTTGGTGTCTCAGTGAATGTGAAAGATTTCCCAATATGATCAATTCCAAATTTCTTGAAAACTTCTTTCCTCACTTTCTCCGAAATGTTGAGTTTTTCCTTGTACATAAAGTTGAAAAATTGTTTGAGAAAGTTGACTCTTTGATAATTGTTCATTGTATCTAAGCAGGTTAAAGAAAGGTAATGTTCTATTCGATGACCAACAGTAGTCCAAGCGTTAGAGGCATTTATCTTTTCTGAAATAGGACCATTGAAATGTCGAACATCAGATATTAATGAATCTCTACACTTCTTCAACATAGATTCTCTCATTGTCAGAAAGTAATATTGATCCTCCCTATTTAATTGAGTTAGGTAATTAATCTTACTATCTTCCAATAATTCTTTCAAACTCAAATTAATTTTATCCATTCTTCTCAGTAATCTATGTTTTAAAAAGTAGTAAATAGTATACTCCATCAATTTTTCCATATCTTTCCTAGGATCAATAGGTTTAAACTTGTACACTGTTGTTTCTTGGTATGAATAATTACGAATTAAGCAACTTTTAAGTGCAACATCAGTTTCTTCATAAATATTACTCGAATCCCCAATTGATATTTCTGTACTTGGTAATCTTAAAACTCCCTTAGAGAAAAACTCCTCACTATAAACTTTAAACTGAAGAATTACTTTTCTATATAATCTGTAAGGATTAACAAGCATATCATTATCTATGAATGGTCGATTTTTCCATTCTCCGAATATCTCATCCAGTGGTTTGTACTTGGCAAAGAATTCTTCTGGATTGTTCTTCTTTTCGAAGTCTACATGGAATAACTTGTTTGGATTTTCAATACTTTTAAATTCTTCATCGGATCTTTCATTTGATAATATTATTGTCTTATCCACTGTATGTTCTACATTCTCCAGAACTTGATGGTTTTCCATCATGAAATCAACTTCAAATTCTACTCTAGAAATTCTTCTAACTGCCTCATCACCAAATTTGTTTTTAAAAGCATTCATGATAGGAATCATTAAACTGTCCAATGGTTCATCTCTGGGCAAGAAATCAAGAAATATTTGATAATACAATCGAGGTAAATAGACTTTTTCAACTCTTTCACGAAAATTATCATTCTTCAATACTTCCTTAATTGTTTTTGATATACTTTGATGAAGGGAAGCAATATCGGAAGAGCTTTCAGAACCCTGTCCAGTCAATAACAAATTCCAAACCTTACAAACATGTCTCATCGATTGAATTTCATAACATCCTCTATTCGGACAGAATGACAGAATAAGATCGAGGTAATCTTGATCTAAATCCAAGATTGAACATGTATTAACTTGATCCATTTTTTATGATATGAACTTCTTTGTAACAACCATATTGATGTAAATTTCAGAAATAATCAATTTACCCATACCAGCAACAGCCTTCCTGAACTTAGGATTACTTGTTATTTGATTGTTTGATTTTTTGAGAAAGTTGATCAAAAGTAGCATATTGCGAAGGATGGCAAACTTGTTCATAGTTTCCACTCTTTTGACATTTTTCTTTGAAATCACTTAGATTTGACATTATTTTACCTCCCTTCAAAATATCCCAAACACAATTTTCAGGGTCGTGAGTGAATGTAAAGTTTTTCTCCACAAATTTTCCAGAAAGATCCTTAATTAATCTTGTTACAAGCCCCGGAACAAGTGATAATTCACCTCTAATAATTGTACTTGGAGGAGCATTCTCTAATTTTTGTAAAAATTCCTCAATGTATGGTAAAATTGTTGTGTAAAATAACTCTCCAAATCCATACTGAACTGATGAACTATCATCTTCATCAATTCTTACTATTGCATTTTGTTGGACGAACTTGTTTGGCCAGTCCATATCATAGTGAGCTTTAATATGATGTTTAAAATTAGTCAAGTCTGGTGAGAAGAATGTTGATGTTGGTAATGGTTTTCCATTTTCTACAACTGCAACACCTACATAATCTGGGCGTATATCTATTATTGTACAATTAGGCATTCCATAATATAAGGAAATCAATGTGTAAGAGTGTTCGATATGAAGTGCAGGTATTCCAGCTCCAAACTATCCAATTCTAGATTTCATTATATAAACTTAATAACTTACAAGAATATCTTTCAAAATCTCCTCGTCCTCACTTGAAAACATGAATGGTTTGGCTAGGAGTACTGGATATTGTTTCAAACTCAAGTCCAAAGAATCTCTCAATATGTACTCAATAAAACAAGCTAAAATCATAGGATCAACTGCTTCTTGATCTATGAATAAATCAATAGGATCATAAAGTCTTTGGTATTGCTTTCCTGCATCACCAAGAAATAGATCGTTAAGCCCTTTTCCAGGAAAGAAAAAACTATTTACAAAGATGTGATGTTAGGTCATGATCTTTGAATTTAAACTTACTGGCTATGTATTCCAATTCCACTATATGAAATCTCAAATCTCATATTTGAATCACTCTTGAGGGCATACCTGAAATAATTTGGACCTGGATTAACAATAAATGCACAAAATTCCTTATCAAGATTTTTCCTGGAAACAAATAAATGAAACCAATCTGTGAGGTCATGAAATATATCCTCTTCCATTTTCATAATGGTAGAGTTATAGTCAAACCCATTTTTTGAGATGTCGCACCATTCGTCTTTGTATCTTTGTTTCCAAGTGTATTGGTCTCTTGCACTCGCATTCAAATTCCTGTTCAGATAGACAATACTCGTACAGACCTCTGTAGGAGTAAGATAGCTGAAAATTAGTGATAAGACCTCTGATGGAAGTGTGCTTTCCAAAAAGCTTGGCTTACTACATTGAAGATTTGATGAAATGTTCATTTGTAAATATTGAGCTTCAAGGTAAACTTTGGTAGATTTTTCAATATCCCCTTCTTTTTCCAATCTATCACTTTCCTCAACAAGGTTCTTAATATTCTGATATTCTTGACTGAGTTTATAATCAGTACGAGAAACATTATCCTCATCTACACGTTGGAAGATAATTTCAGTTCTGAGTACATACTTGGTACCATAATCTACTGGCTCTCCGCTATGAAAAATTTCATGATTAAAAAGAATACAATCACCAATATTGCAATTAGTAGAGAGTACGTGTTGCAATAATAGAGAATTATCTTTCTTTTCAATACAATGATAATAATTTGTTCCTGCACTAAAACTTTGGCTCAAATAAATTAATACAGTTAAAATACTCTTTCGATTATCATCGATAACAAATTGACCATCCATATGAGGTTTGAAATATCCACCCTCCTCATATTTTGAAATTCTTAATACTTCATTAATTCCAATAGGTTTCCACAATCCTTCATTGTCAAATCCATAAGGTCTCAAATCTTTAAAATCTGAAACCTTCAACATTGGTTTAATTCTATTCCAAATAGCATCTGCCATTGGTTTGCTCTTAATTAAAACTCTCTTACAATTTCTATATTCTTTTGGATATTCCTTTTCCAAAGAATGAAACTGGAGTTTTTCCAAATGTTCCATCAGATTTTCCAATTCAATCCTGTTAAACAATTCTTTAAGTCTTAAACAAATTTTCCTATTATTAGATCTATAGGATGGATGGGGATGAGTTTCAAAATCGGCAACTTGATCCTTAGTGTAGCCTTCAGACAATAAATTCACCTTTTAATTATTATTAAATAATTATAATAATATTTAATAATTACCTTGAAAGGTTTGCTATCCAACGATTTTCTATAGTAATAGTCAATATCTACTCGATCGGTCAAAGTTTGCTCCAATAAATCGTGTCTATTCCATATTTTAATAACCGATGATGGTGGTGGTATGATTCCCTCCTCATCATTCCAATCAATTATTTCCAATCTAGATCTTCCAATTCTGCCCTGTGTTGATGCCTTGTTGCCCATTTTTTACAAGATGAACTTTGAAATATTTACAATTTTATTGTTGTGAAGAAGATTGAAATTGTTTAATATCTATATGATTTAATGTAAGTATTCAAGTAAGGATTCATCACTGGTGTAACTTTTTCACCGTCTGTTGCAATATTAAGAATTCCATAATTACGTTTTCTTGTCCACTTTTGATGTTTAAATGTCCAACCTTCTTTGAGTTCTGAACTCTTAGTGAGCATAAATCTCATTGATAATCCTAAACACCATGAAAATTCATTGTTAGAAACAGAACTAGTGGTTAATTGTTTCAATACCATTTCATTATTATACATAATTTCAGTAACACCTCCAATATGTACATCACCAGCAACAAATACTGCTTCTCTATTTGGCTGTTCTTTCTTCCATCTATTAATTGAGTTGAGAATACCAATTTGTTCATTAAATTGATGTCCATAATTCCAGTGGTCTCTCATATCTGAAAGTTTAGAAGTAATCTTTGGTAAACTATCAGTCATCTTCTTATTAAGGAAAACTAATGGAACGGAACAGACACAAATCAATGCCTTTATATTCTCAGAAGCAAGGGCATTATTATCCTTGAAAAGCCAATTATTTAAATCATCCCATTGAGGTTGTGTTAGGAATGGTTTATCTCCTGACAATTCTGAATTGAATGAACGAGCAGCTCTCAAATCTAAGAATAAGATTGCATAATCACCAAACACATGATAATATCCTTCATGTTTCTTGAAAGTTTCCTCATAATTCATTGAGAGGACATCTTCTCTGAGACTTCTTTGATATTCCCAATAAACTTCACGTGCCAATCTACCAATATAATATTCAACAGATCCCTTATCCTTATCACATTCATCAGATCCCCAATCATCTCTAATTTCATGATCATCCAAGATCATTAAATTTGAAACTTGAGACATGATTCTTCTAGTTGGAGGGTGATTCCAATTTAATCTGTAATACTTTCTAAAAAGTTCCTTAATTTCATTTTCCTCATCCTTTTCAAGTTTAATTCTACCATCACAAATTCTTTTTGCTTCATCGAATGCATTGTGACCACAATCACTATAAATTTGATCACCACAATGCATTAAAATGTCAAGTTCATCAACTTTTTCTAACATTCTTTCCCAAACATCCTTATCAGGAATACGTCTTTCAATTAAATTGCAACTAACAGCTGCCGTGTTCAAATGGTGTGATCTAGTATTGAGATTTCCCAAATTATCACTAACCATTGTCTTGATAATACCAACTCTTGTCTTGGTATTAACAACATTAGGGAATTCAACTCTATAAACATAATCTGGAGATAAACCTTCAATTGTAAAGGTGTGTGGAATGTTGGCATTTGGAATAATGACCTTCTTTTTGATTATATTAGTTGCTTTAAGAGTTTCCCTCTTTGATTTTGTTAAAAGTGAACGTTTAAGAATAGCTTCATGATAAGAACCATGAGTATCATGCATATGTAGATGCAATAAACGCTTATTGAGATAATCATCTCTCTTCTCTAAATGAGATCTTTCACAAATTGGATAACAAACCACATCCAATACCAACTCGGAATCATTATTATTAATCAAATCTTTCGAACATTCCACAAGAATTCTAGCACTAGTACTCTTTACTAAACCAATCACTGGACCAACTGTCATGATAACATTTGAAGGAGCATCAGCTTCATATGAAAGTGAGGAAACAGCTGGTAAATTAGCAAAACTAGAACCTTGCATTGATTTTGGATCATAAACAGATTCAATAATCAATTCAATAGAACCCTGATCAGAACCAACAATTGGAAAAGTTCTACGTTGCTTTTCATTTGGTTTTAAATTCAATCCGAATACTTGAAGTAGAACAAATCCAATTACTATTCAATATCATCATATTCAATTAATTATATTATTCAATCAATTATATAAAATCATAATATTCAACAATTTCACAACAATCCACAAGTTTTGATCGTCATCATCAATAACATCATCAGTAGTAACATCATGAACAATATAGCTACTATATAACAACCATCATTCAATACATACCATCATTCTTTGTGAATTTGTCATAATCAACAATTCTAATCATTAATAAATTATCCATCGGATCATCAAGAATATAATCATCATCAATATCATCTTCCTCTGATACTCTTGTTGCAAAATCAATTTCACGTCTCTTCAACTTTTCACTAAAATCAAATTCAAAAGTTTCATTAAAGACTGGATTTAAATTCTTCATGACAATTTGTGTACGTTTAATTTCATTTTGATTCTTTGGTGGTTCGAGGTATTTGTTGGTTTTCGAATTGACAACCCACAATTCACAAAAACCATCGGATAGTCCATTGGCATCCATGGGTGGAAGATCAGTACATTTAACAACTGTAATTCTGAATAACATTGTAGAAGAAATATATGGGTTGTTTGAATAAAGAGGTTGTGATGAAGTTTTTTTTGTGTCCTAAGAAACAACCCATTTGGATGTTTTTAATCAATTCTTTCGAATGACTTGTCAAACAGATGATATGATGAACTAGTTTGTCAAAATACCAAAGTAGGTACCTAATATTTCAAGAAAATTGGTAATGGTTTTATTGTAATCCATTATCAAATTTAATATCATCATGTTAATGAGAATTTGGTGATTGGTTATTGGAATTTCGAATAGTTTTGTTTGACTCAATATCTCCAACAGGGGTGGAAGAAAGCATGAGTGGTTTTACCTTTGTAACAAGATAGGCAACACTGCAAAAGTATGGTTGATCATATTTTCTAGCTTTCTTTGGAAGATAATATGATGTGTTAACAGCAATGAATCCAAACAAGACAAATAGAGTACCAAATGCATACATTACATTGAACGCTGAAAAATCTGAACGAATTAACATGTCACAAACGATGGCAAATGGAATTGTTAGAGTTAAACCAACTGTGGCAATTACTGGAGATGTCAAGACAACTGCCAATGCCCATAATAAATCACTCAAAACAGCAGAAATTAAACTATTAACAACTGTTGCAAAGAATATTTTCCAAGAAGGTAATTCAAATGTTTCTACATCCAATCCCCAAAGAATGAATAAAATTGGCCAATTGAAGAATAAATTCAAAATTCCAACAAATCCAAACATCATGGCCATTGAAACATTTTCCTCATACTTTTTCAATATTGAACTATAGATACCATATCCCATAGCTGCTAATAAACTAAGCATATTACCCAAAACAGTATCTGTTTTCATTCCTGTTCCATTGTGATGACTATCTGATAAAGTTACAAGTGCAACACCTGATAAGGTCACAAGAATTGCAATAAATCGTAAAACACTGAAATGAGTTTCCACACCAATTAATAAACCAACTAGAAATGTAAATAAACATGAAGTATTAGAAATGATTGTATCACTAAATATTGTAAAATTGTCGAATCAATGATCAGGAAGAACACTTACCTGGCCACACTGGTATAAAGTAATGCATAATTATAAGCAGTATTTGAAAAGAACCAAAAGAATGTCACAATCACAGCCAATCTAAATGTTTTTCCAACATCCACATCATTTGATTGATTTTCAACTTGTGTTTGACTTAAATCTTGACTTGCTGACCCAACTCTAGAATATTCTCTTCTATCAATTTGTGAAATTCCCATTCTTTCACACACCTGTTTTGGTAAACAACAATTTAAACTAGCTCTAATCAACCAAGATACACTTTTTAACAATGGTCTTCTCCACGTTCCAACAAATATAAATCCCAACAAGTAAATTGAAAATAAACTAGTACTAATATAGGTGACCAGAAAAGGTTTCTCATAGTCCATATCTGAATAAATTAATTGAATTGCTTCACCTCCCAATGTCCACAAAATCACCACTACCAATATACATAATAATCCCAAAAACTTCTTAAATAAATTCCTATATGTTTTAGATTGTTTTAATAATAAAAGAAAGGAGGAGAGGTTTTTTGGTCTTTCAAAATGTTCTTCTTCTTCTTCTTCATCCTTTTCTTCCATAGGATCATCAATTGTTATATTATTATTCTTATTATTATCATCACTACTAGTATTATTATTGTTATTGTTATTATTCATTGGGTTAGTATCATCATGATGATTATCAGATAAAAGAGATGTTGTTGAAGGAAGAGGAGGAGATTCACTGAGTGGTGTTCTAGGAGAAGTTTCCTGTTGCTGTTGATGATTTACTTCTTCCTGTATGTTCATGTTTTCATGTGTGTTTGTGTTACTCCAATTTTTTCTATTGTCTGTTCAAGTTTATGAGAATCAATTGTTGGAACTTCTTAATGGAAGTTATCATGTGAGATTTTTCATATTGTAAAAGTTAATAGATATTTTTTATATTAAATTTAGTGATTGGTTTTTGGTTGTTCCAAGTCTTCTGTTTCTTCCAACATGGTTTCGTCTTCTTCATCTTGGAGAAGGGCAGATTGTTGTTTTTCAGATTTACTGTTTTCATTATCGGAATCAGAATCAAAGTCCAAATCAACATTGGAAACTCTAACTAGTTGACCATTGTGTGAATCATTAAGTTGAGTGAGTGGATAAATCGAATTGGTATTTGTGTGAGATCCCAATAAAAGTAAAATTCCAATAAATTGAATAAACCATCCAATAAATAATAAAACTAATTGGAATATTTCAGTATCTGACCATTCACGGAAAATTAATTCACCTCCACAAACAGTAATAAATGACATGATGGTATAATAGAGAACATTTGAAATGGCTAATAAAAGTTATTATGAATATTCTTCAATAAATTATGTTTAAAAACATACTAAATTCATATTGGACAAGAGTTACTTGAGTAAAGTGAGTGTGTAAAATTGTATATACAACGGATAATATCAAAATTAAATAAGTGGCCCAATGTTTGAATTGATTATCATCAGTTTCAACAGATGTCTTTACAAGTTCAATAAATAATTTAAATATAATAAAATTAGATGCAGCAAATCTAAAATAATAAATTTCAAAATTATAAAGTCAACCTACGTTGCAGAAATGGATGAATTGAAAAAGACATTTTTGAAAACTCTGAAAATTCCCAAAACAATCAAAATGAATGGTAAAATCACAATTAAAATTACAAATAAAATTGGAATGTTAAAGTCGAGAATTTGACCTGAAATGAAGGAGATTGTAATTGGATGTAATGGTTGATACTATTATTATTTCTAATAATCAATTCCATTCACAAAATACATACTATTTTGTCTGAAAATATGACAGATATTAAAATTCCGATCACTGTAATAAATACTCCAATATAATCTCTCATTGTAATTTTCTCAGCATTATACCAAGCAGTATAAAACACTCCAACAAAAACACCAAAACTCAAAACAGAAACAACAAGTGTCAATTCAACAAATGCAAATGAAACCATCTCGCAAATCCAACTAAATAATTTGTATCCAATCAAATAAATTAAACCTACCCGAATACAAACATTGAAAATAATGTCCACCATCTTTTATCCTTCAAATAATGAGTCCTATATTCAATCACTTGTTCACTGTTTTTTAAATGGGCATACTTTAATATTGCCAAGCCTAAAAAGTAAAATATACTTCCACTATATTTAAATATTATCGGATAGGATCATTTGTCCACAATAATTTAGTGATGATCATTGTATGTACATACACTAGAGAAAACAAAAATCCAACATAGAATCTATAATTTACAAAGTTGGCAAAAGCATTTGCAAACATTTTTTTTATTAAATTAAAAAACTAGAAGCTTCCATCATCAATTCTAATAATAAATTCTAATTAGATTGTTTGTTGAGAATTACCAGTAATTTTCCATCCTTTATTTTGTTGGATATTGTGTTAATTTGAAATAAATTCACTTTATTAAAAAGTTTATTCATCACCTTATTCCATTTAGAAAATTGAACACTACAACATGAAGGAAATCATGTTTAACCTTGTTTGGTGAATCTTTTCATTTGGTAAGGATGTTGAAGATTTAACTAGGCAAACTGAATATCTCAATTATTTCGTTGGAAAGCTGCCGAAACATTACAATATTTTTCTGGTATTGAAATCAATTAACCTAATTCCATTCAATACTCTTGTGTTATTGCATTAAAGGTATTAAGCTTTTTCTGCTCACATCTTTTCAAGTAGTATTCTTAAATTCTTCTATTAATAAAAAGCAAAACAATTTTAGTAGTTAGATAATTGTGCAAGAGCAATTTCATCATCCACACCATGAGAGTATTGTGATTATTGATCACAAATTCACCATCACCATCATCTCTTCGGAATTTTCATCATCCTTTCTCATCCGATATGATGGATAACAACAAGGCAAACAATAAAAGAAAAAATTGAACCAAATCAAAGCCTATTATTATTTTGGTGCCAATAATTTACTGATCAACTTGCCAATACGGAATTATAATATATATTCTATTATCAATACCATTTGATATCCAAACAAAGAATAATGAAGAAGGAATTACTTGCACGTGATGGGACTGTAAATTGGTTCAGACAGAGATGTTTGTGTCTACGTAAAGTAGAAGAAGAAGAAGTGAATACAACAACAACAACAACAACTACTGAAGATGAGGATGAATACAAGGAACCAGTGATGCAGACTTCTGGTTATGAATTGGCTGATCGATCAGAGGGTAGGTTTTTAATATATATTTCACCATCAATATTGATGATTAAAGTTGGAAGATTGTTGCCTGCATACAATTATTTTGATGGTCGATTTTCAATAGGTGATTCAGATTCACATACTTGTGTGGTTCATCATGATGGAATTGTTTACTTTTGGGGAGGAAGAAATGAAACAAATGGAAAGATTCATAGATTTGATTTGAGAACATATACATGGATGAAACCAATTTCTTCCAATCTGGATAAAAAAGATTCACGATACTATCATGGCTTTACTAAACAAGAGAATGACCCAATATTTTGGATGTTTGGAGGGCTCGATAACCAAGAATCAAAATATTACAATGATTTAATACGTGTAGATGGAAGAACCTGTCAGTGGAATTGGGAGCAATTTACAGAACCAACTGATGGAAATTCTGAATGGCCATCTAGAAGAAGAGGTCATGTATTTCTGTACAGAGAGAGTAATCATTCATTACTCTTATTTGGAGGATGTGGAGATGAATCCTATTCAGATGTATGGGAATTTAATATTTCACTCAGAAAATGGACCAAGTTAGCAACAACAGGAGATGAAATAGTGCCACGAGGATATTCGAGTGGAATTCTCATGAAAAAAGACAATACTGATGTGCTTGTTATTTATGGAGGTGATATTGGTGTGGACAATCAAACACTTACCAACCAATTATGTATATTGAATTTAAGTACTTTAGTGTGGAAAACCTATGACAATAGTATTACACCTCCTCTATTTGGACATGCAGGAACCACTTGTAAAATATCGAATGATGAAATGTTTATTTTTGGTGGATGTAATGATGATTACATTCCCTACTCTGACAGTTATATTTACAATTTGAAATATAACACATGGACTCTACTTGAGGTTGAAAATATTCTTCCACTCAATTGTAGCTCAATATTTATTGATGAGGAAAGAGGTATCATCAATCTCTATGGTGGATATGATGAACAGAGAAGAACAGACACCCACATAGTTATTCAAGTGAATCCTCTTTATGATTTTAAAATTTATAGAACCTTTCCAAAACTCTATTCGACACTCAATAGACAAATTTATACAGACATTCTAATTAAATCAATTGAATGAGTAATTTGATATCCATATTGGTTTATTTACTTAAACCTCAATGATCACTTATCCAATAATTATTCCAATTTAACAATATTATTAATAAATATAATATTTAATAAGAATTTAAATATTATAAATTTATTTAATATTAAAAAAAAATGAGTAGTACACCATCTCTCACTCCATCAATGCCCGAACATAGAGTGAATCACTTATCAGTGATGAATTCATCATCATACAATCATTATGATGATAATAAATCACCCAATAATTTAGGTAGTATCGGAATCAATAATACAACAACAACAACAACAGCATCACTATCAACAACAAATAATTCTGGAAGTGTTTCAATTAATATGAACCAAATGATGGGTGGAAAGGATAACGATTTTAAAAGAAAAAAGACTTGTTGTTCGAAAAATAACAATATATTAATAACCATGATGGGAATATCTATTGTCCTACTTCCTTTTGTAACATTATTATTTAACAAATCATTAATTTTACTGATATTATTTGTAATATTTATGGAATATTTAATTACAATGTTTATATTTAATATGATTGGATTAGTTAATCAATTTATTGATCAAAATTCTATTTTTATTACAAAACCAAATGTAATTGATCTGAAAATGGCACTTACAATTATGGAAGAACATTTTAAAGAAAATCCAAAATATTCATCACGTGCTTTAATTTTTTCAAACTTTAAAAGTTTATTCTTTTATAGTTGTTTTAATTTATTACAATTTTCTGATAGAGTTTCTAATATTTTTTGGAAGAGTTTTATGAGTTTTGAAATGAAACAAACTGTGAAATGGGAAACTGATTTTCATTTTACAATTTCAATTTTACATTATTTATTTTCCTATATATTTATTTATTTAACATTTGCTACTAGACATTCTTTAACATCCTTGGATTTAAATAGAGAAGATTATTTCAAGGTTTTATTTTGGATTTCATTAATGTGTCAAACTACAACAGTTTTATTTCATACATTTAATCAATATTTCTATATACCATATAATATTTTAATGAAAAATTATTTTACACTAATTCAACAAATTCCATATATCAAAGTAACAAAGAAGAATGAAAGTGTTGTGGAAAGTGAAGTTGTTGAAAATCAAAATGAAGGTCAAAACTTTCAACGAGTTTTTGTTTTTGAATATCAATCATTGAACTATTTTATTATATTTACATTATTTACATGTATGGCTTACTTTAACACTTTTACAAACATTGGAATTTTCAGTTATTTAGTTCAATTTGCACTTGGGTTCTGTATGTTAATTTTACAATTTTGGTTGTCAAAAGTAGTACAAAAGAGAAAGTACTTTGCAATTTCATGCATTTTGATATTTACAGGACTATTCTTGTTGAGAGTTTTTGTGAGCAATACTCTCACTCAATACTTTTTAGCCTTTGTTTTCATTCTATTTATTACACCAGTATCTAAGTTCTTGTACAAGAGTTTACCTTTACTCATTCCAGATCAAACCCTTCTTCAATTTGCTTTCGTATGGTTGGTTTCTCTTCAAATGCTTGGTGTGATTGCTTTCTTTTTGAGAGGTTGTGTTTATGTGTATTTCTACATTTGAATTGAGATTAGAATAAATTTTAAAATTTTCTAGAATACATATTTATTATATAGATAGAGAATATATATTGGGATATTATAAATTAGGTTTTTGACAAAATTTTAAAAGGTATTGTCATGGGAATTAGAGTTATTAGTTGTGGTGGTGGTGGAGGTTTGGGAGGTCATACTGTTTCCACATCCACGGATAGTTGAAGAATTTTCCAATCTCTCTAATCTCTTGTTGATATCATTCAATGTCTTGAATAATTCCATGACAAGTTCTTGATTAACATTATCTTTTTGAGAAATCAAATGAGATACGACAGCAGTTGCAACACTATTAACAATGGTTGGTACAGCACGAATATTGAGTTCTTCGAGTGGTGGAATATTTTGGTGACCAACCAAAGGAATAGTAGTATTGCTTGTTGGATGAGTCTTCTTAACTTTCTTTTGGGATGGTTCAACAATAGTTGGTGTATTTGAATCAATACTTTGATTCAAAATTGGAGAAGTTGAAGGGGTGGAGTTTTGGTTACCAAGAATTGGTTGCGGACTAGCAGATCTTGGTTGTTGTGGTAATGGTTGTTGTTGTGTAATTAATGGAGAAGTATTAGATTCATCCTTTCTCTTTTTACCTCTCTTTTCAGTGGTAGCAGTAGTTTCAGCAGTTTCCTTTTTAGAAGGCTTTCTAGCAAAAACTCTGAATGGAGTGGAAACTGTTGAATAGATTAAGATTTCCTTATCTTGTTTAACAGTAAAATAATTCCAAACCAATCTAAAAGCCTTTCTATTATGGTGATAAGAAGAATCAGTGAATTGAATCTTTGAATGACCCTTGAAAACCAAAAGATTATCAATAGCAAGTTTAGAGGTCATTGCAATTTCCAAATCACCTTTCAAAATAACTTGATTATTCTTCAATACAGGAGTTGAGTGGTTATCAGCAGCATTATCATAAACAACTGATGGTCTAATTAAAATAATAGAATGTTGATTCAATAAATTATTCAAATTAACCTTCAATTCATGTTCAAATTGATAAATGATTGGACCATACAATGATTCTTCAAGAAAGACTGCAAGAGGATCTAATCTAGTCTTCCATTGAAGATCATAATTATTAACAATTTGTTCATGATTGATTCTCATTTTCCAAGCAGTTGTTTCACCATGATGAATTTGATCAGAGTTTTGACTAGTAGAATCAGATGAGTTTTCTAATACTTCTCCATCAACACCAATTGGGTTGGTAGTAGTTGGAAAAGATGAAGAAGTAGTAGCAGTTTCAGTATCTTCATCATCTGTAGTATCACCAGCAGTAGTGGTTGAGCCAGCAACATTGGCGGTTTGTTGGGAAAGGGTGGCGGTCAAGGTCATGGTGGGAATTGTTGTTGTTGTTGCAAAGTTAGTTGTAGTAGTGTTCGGTTTATCGTTGTTTGAATTTGGAGTTGAGAAATATCGCTTAGCGAGACAAGGATATTGAAGCTTGGCAGTATTCATTTTGAATATATTTTCTTGTTGGTTTGCTTTTGCAATAGTGATTAAACTATTATTTGATGATAGAGGGTTTGATTAAAATACTATGAGAGTGATTTTTTTCAATTTATTTTTAAATATAGTTCTCTCGAATTGCACATTTTCAAGCTTGAGTGTTTGCTTCATGTTTGAAGTTTTTGCGCGTTTGAAAAACGGGAGTTAAAAATAGTTTTACTTTGTGTTTTCGACACCTTTGAAAATTGTTCAATTTCAAAAAGAACACGTTGCTTGCTATTTTTATAATGGCTTCATTTTCATTGTTGATTTGTGTGAAGAGCTTTTCTTATTGGCTACGAACTGTGTTGAATAGTTTTTGTAATGGACAATCAAGATTTTGTTGAATATTAGATATTAGAACAATTTACAAAAGGTCAACTAGTACATTTTAAAGAACTGATTTTCTTGTACAAAAAAAAATGGCCAACACAAATCCATTATTTTCCCTGTTCAATCATCATGAAGAGGACATTGAAATTGTACTTTCCGAAGAAACAAGTAATTTACCAGAAATTCCAAGTAATTTGGTGAATAAATTTGGATCAATCAAATTCATGCTAGGACGGTCAGGTTCTTGTTTGATATTATCGGAGGATGATGAATTATTTGTAACTGTTGCTGATGGATTAATTGTGAATGATGGTTTTAACCCAACTTGGAAAAGATTTACAATAGGATTTAAAAATCCCAATGAAAGAATTGTTCATGTCAGTGCAAGTTATCATGCTTGTGTTTTAATTTTACAATCTGGAAGTCAATTTAATAATATTAGTACAAGAGTATTTGTAGGTTATGTTAATGGAGAACGTGCAGATAGGGATTTTGGAGAGGAAGTAACTGAATATTCAGATAAGGAAGAGAATTTATTAGATGGAGATGAAAACTCAAATATTATCTGGTATCATTTGAAAGATTTTGAATTGAACAATGGAGAATATGTTAATTATTCTTCATGTGCTGCATTTGCATGTTCATTTATCACATCTCATGGAAGACTTTTTGCATGTGGCAGTAATCAGTTTGCTGAATTAGCTCAACCAACAACTGGGTTTAGAACAGGACAGATTATTCCCAAAGTTAATCAATGTTGCCTTGATCCATTGAATGAATGTGAAAATCCATTCTTTATCAAAACAGTGAATGGGGATCACAATATTATTGGAATTACTAAGGATCATAATATTTTCTATTGTGGATATGATATGGAGTTTGGTGGTAAAGATTTAGAAATGATGAGACAATTGAAACGAGTTGTATCATTGGAATATGATGAATACTTTATTGATATTTGTGCCTCATATTATCGTAGACTCTATTTAACAAGTAAGTAATATTTTGCCATCTCAAATCTTTTTCTAATACTTATATTAAGACAAATTCAATCTTTATCAAGATGATACATTCTTTGGTAATATTATGGACAAAATAGGTGAAACAGTAGTCTCATGTCGTATGTGTGGCTCTGCCAGTAAATATTACCTCCTTATAAATAATTACAAGATTTTTAGTTTGGAAGAGGATTCCTTTACACTCAAACTCATGCATACAGTAACTAATCCAAGACCATTCAAAACTCTTCAAATTGCTACAGATGAAAGCGGTTTTGTAGTTGCCTATTGGAAATGCTCAACAGAATCAAAAAATTTAATGAACCAGAAAGAAAATCTCAAAAAAAGAGTTTATGATAACTTGCTTTCTGATATTAGATTTAATTAATTTCAATGAAGCCATTATTATTGATTGATTAAACTTATCAAATTGAAATGCATTATTCAGAAACATTTGAAAAGAATGTAAACAAATTTGGAGTGGATACACAAATTAAACATGAAAATCTAATCATAACATTCTGGCATACATTTAAAATTACAAGAACTGGTTGTATATTCATTCTTGTATCCTTCAAGAAATTCAACTTGATCTATATCAAATAATAGAGACATTAATACATTAACACATTTAACAAACCAAGGTAAATCTGCCAATCTCAAAAAGGAATTCACCTAAAGTACATCCAACCTTTGAAATTATCCTGTCCAGATAATGTTAAAGTCTTCTTCTTCTTCATGTTTCAATATTTTGCTAATGGAAGTATTGATAGTTGTAAATTGATACTGGAAATATTACTAGTTGCTGGTAAACCAAAAGTTGTCTTTGAGTTATGTTCATTGAGGCCTCAATTCCCATCAATTTCAATTGGTATCAAAACTTCATTGACACCAGTGATCAACAAGTTAAGAAAATTCTTCATAAACAAAAAAGAAGAATGGAGATTTGGACATTCATTTGAATATTAATTATTAAAGTGTTGATTATTTCGACAATTTGATTCACATAATATGAGACATCCTTCAAATGCGTATTTGAAATAGCATTTACAAATACGGATTAGATAAAAAAAATGCTCATACAAGAACAAAACATTCCAATAACTGTCAATGAAAACTCTCTTCATCTATTCGATTCTTCATTAGAAATTTCCTTCCATAGAACCTTGAGAATTCCCAACGATGGAAAAACTTATCCACTTCCAAGCTCTTTAGGTAGATTTCCAATAAAGAGAGTAGAAAATTATTCAAAAACAGTTCCTGCTCATTGGTTAGAACACGGTGGAGTATTCATTCCATTATATCAGAGTGAAGCCACTTGAAAGACAAGTTAGAAAGTCAAGTTTCGGATAAGCTTTCTAATTTGACTTCAGTGGATGAAAAGAAGGTTTCTTCTGGTAATTTCTTTGCCAAGAAGAAGAAGAAATAATTCTAATGATTTCTAATCAATAAATATGATTGAATCAATATACATCTTAATCTGAGTTCTCATCATCATCATCATCATTATCTGAATTGTCCATATCTTCTTCATCACTAAAATCAATTCCATACATTTCACTAATCTCATATTTACTTTCAGGATCATCTGCTAGTATTTCTGAGATCTGATTTAGGCACTTTTCATCTGATAATACATAGTAGGGGTCTAACTCTTCAAGTACATCCTGAACAGCACTGCTTCCTCTTTCCTTAATAGCAGTCATGACAATTTCCTTATCACTCTTCAATGAATCATCAATGAGTGTTATAATTTCCCATTCATGTATTTTACAAAGTGCATTCAATATGAATTGTTTTTCACTCAATAATGAAGGATCATTTTTTGTTGCTTTCTTAAAGTCTTTGTAAGATGTCATTTCTTCCAATATTAATTGTTTCCTCAATTCTCTCAAGTGAGGTTTCATTTCTTCCTCATTGAACCAAATATTATTAAAATTCCTATTCTCTTTAACAATGATCTCAGAAGCGAATTCATAACATGCTTTAATTCTTTGTGATGAATCTTTTGATTTCAAACCCTGAATACATTCATGAACCTTGTTATTTCTAGGAGAATTAGCAATCAATTCCTCAAATGTCATTCCAAGAGAATACAAATCAGTACTAAAATCTGGTTTAAATTCATCAGTATTAAAATTTGCCTTCAATTTAGGTTCCATATATCGTTTTGAACCACCTAATGTTTGACTTGACATGGTTTGATTTTGTAAAGAAACTCCAAAATCACCAATTGCTATATCAAATGATTCTCTTACCATAATATTATCTGGCTTAATATCTGAGTGTACAATTTCATGTTGTTTCATTAATAATAATACTTCCAAACATTGAAATAACATATTCTTCACAGTGTCTTTGTGAATAGTAAACTTTTTACAATTAAATTTGATATAGTTTGCTAAACTACCTCCTTCAATATATTCCATTTCAATGCAACAAATATATCTAATCAACATGGCATGATGTACTTTGACAACATTTGGATGTGTTAATCTGGCACCCTTAACAGCTTCACTCACTCCCATAGTTGCATTTGGAATGATTTTGACAACTCGTACAAATTCATTTTTAAGTGTTGACTCATTTCTCTTTGTAACTCTCAAAACACATCCAAATGATCCCTCACCAATCTTCTCAGCATGCCAAATTTTAGTATCATTATCTTGATATTCATCCAATGTGTCAGTATTGATAATTTCATCTTCTGATATTCCGTTGGAAAATTTGTTCAAATAGCTCAATACTTCATTTACACATCCAGTATGATATTTCTCTGCATTAGTCTGTTGAAGTAATGGAACAATGTACTTGGCAGGATTTTTATCAATTTTCAATAAGGAAGCAATTGTCCTATTAGAATTATGTTCAACCTTACTTTTCTTTGGAAGATTATCAAGACAACCTTCATGTTTTCTCTTATTTCCTTGATGATCTTTTTGTTCTATTGTACAATTGCTTTCATTCTTTTCAGTACATGTTATTACATCATCATCATCATCACGATGATGGAAGAAGGACTTATCATTGTTCATGTTAATAGTGGTACAATTGGCAGCATTACTTGTTGATGGCAGATCAATTGATTGTTGAATAGTTGTACAACAATCAATGCCTTCCAAAGATTGATTAATTGTCTCAATACCTTCATTAATATCATCTTCCATTTTGTTTAATAGTTGTTCAGCAGCAGCAACAGTTAAACTGTTGTCATCATTATCTTCTGATTCAATAACATTGCCAGCTTGTTGAAGAGTTGAACAATTTTCATCATCATTATTTGTCTCCGAAAATATTTGTTTTTCATCATAAGAACAATTCATCAGTTCAGAATTAGTACCACTATTAGTATCAGTATTATCAGCATTATCAGTATTATCTTGAATACTGCTATTCATTGGAGGGGAAGTTGATAAATTATTGTGTGAGATAATATCTTCTTCTGTAATGCTATTACAAATACTTCCATTGGAATCATCTATATTCGTTTTATCTTTGATTATCTGAATAAATTCATCAATAATATTCACAATTTGAATACCATGACCGCTAATTGATGATGATGATGGTGATGGCTTAACAACAGCAGGATCAGAATTTGAGACCAGCATTGAAATGAGTTTTGTTGTTTATTTTTTTGTGGATGAATGTTGCAATCATGTCAAAAGCAAATCCTAACATCCATAGATAGGTATGTTTTTCATAAATTAAATAAAATCCAAATAAAGAGAGTACTTTTTGTGTGATTGAGCTGGATTTGAGGTGTTAAAATTAATCATTTTTTGTAAAGTAATGATTCCACATGTGAATAAAAGTTAAAGATAATTGAGCTGGATCATATTTTGAAAGATTTGGAAAACCTGTAAAAGCAGAACCTGAATGATCCATATCCTTAATAATAATATTTTTACATCCAGGAATATATCCATCCATAGTTGGAACTAGACCATCATTAGTAACATTATATCTTGCTTTTAAATATGATATGGCAGGATATAATAATGAATTAGGACTATTTTCATAAGAACTCATAGCTATACATGGAAATGTTGATGATGGATATGGATATTGTGTAACTTGTTTCATTCTCTCATTATAACTCATATCTTCAATGGCTTTTAATTCACCTCCCAAAACATCTTCAATTAAAATTTTAAGTAAAAGAATTTTAGCAGCTCCAAATTCAGTTATATCATTGGCAAGTGCACTTCCTATATATGTAGTAGAAACAAATCATATATAATTTTAATATAATTGTAATATATATCATTATTATGATTGGGCTTTCATATAATTTTATGTTAAAATAAAACTTACCTGCGTATGGAGCTTGAAGTGAAATTAAACCTTTAACATAGGGTTTCAATTCATTTTCATATTTAGCCAATGCATAGGTAATATCACATGCTCCTTTAGAATGTCCAATAACTAGTAATTTTTGATTCATTTCTGAACTAGTTTCCTTCTCCTCTGAATTTATCATGTTATTATTATTATCATTGTTATTATCATTGTTATTATTATTACTATTATTATTAGTATTAATTGTTGAATGTTGTTGTTGTTGTTGTTCATTGTTATTTTCATTATTTTCATTAACTCTACTTGTTGTAATATTATTCAATTCATTAAAATATTCAATAATTTCATTCTTTAAAAATTCAGCATTTGATTCAACACCTTTTCCAGTATCAACTTGTGAAATTTTAAAATCAGCTTTACAATTTTTTAAATATTCTTTCAATCCATCAAAATAGAAAGGATACCAATCAGTATATAATCCACCAACAAATAAAATACCTCTAATATTTGAACAATCACCCAATGGATATGTTGTTGTAAATAATTGACTATCAAATTCAAATAAATCATCATTAAATCTCTTATATGATTTTTTAAATAACCATCCAATCTTTTCTTTAGAATTTCCTTCTTTGATATTTCTTTCAACTTCTTTAAAGAATAATTTAACTTTTAATCTAATTAAATCATGTTCATAATTTTCTTGATCTGAAAATTCAATTAAATTTTTTAAATATGCATTTTCAGGTTGACTAATAAAATTATTTCCAAATATATCAGTAAATGTTCTAGTAGCTGTTCCTAAAATGAATAAAATTAAATTCTGTTCTTGTTTTGTCATTATATCAAATGCAGAATATTCATCAGTACTTTTTTGAAATTGATAATTTGTCTCAATATGGAAATTATCTAAAAATAAATGATCACTCTCTTGTTCAGGTGAATAACTTTGAACAAGATAATTAGGAAGTACTTTTTTAATTATTCTTTCAATCTTTTCAAATTTAATATTATTGGATTTGGATATTAAATTAACAAGTTTTTTAATTGGTAATGTTAATGAATTTTGAATATTTGATGAAAATTGTTCAAATAATTCATCAGCAGCAATAATAATATTATCTTTAGATGTTAATTTAGATGATGATGATGATGGAGATGATGAAGATGAAGAGGATAAAGATGATGGTTCATTACATTTCACACTTGATCCGATATTCAATAAAAATATTACTGATAGGATGACAACGGCAAGGAAGATGAAAATTACTTGTCTCATTTTTTTTGAAGAGTTTAGTCAACTAATTCATCATCTATTTTAATATCACACACAAGTGTGGAATCTTGTAAAGTTTTGTAAAGATAATATATTCTGTAAACAAAATTAATGATATATAATATTAATTCTTTCTTGTTGTTAAAAAACCCATATTTAGCAATAGGTCATTAAAAAATTTAATAATTTAAAATTTGTAAACAGTCTTTTCATCATAACCCATTTGTTTCAAAAGTCCACTAAGTTCACCTTGTTCTTGTGGTGATTTCTTTCTTCCTGATAACATATCATAGAAAGGCATTGGTCCACAAACTGAAACCAAAACATCTTCAGATGGTTTTGGAATACCAGCCTTTTCAATCATTTCCTTATTTACAAAACCTCTTCCTTGAATTGAAGAATCAGCCTTTTGATTTGGATCAGAATCTACAGTATAATAAATCTTGAATTGTTGTGGATATTTCTTAGCAAGAGTATCCAATTCCTTCTTGAGTAAAATATCTTCAGGTGTTCTTGAGGCATATAAAAGTGTTAACTTGGTTTTATCTTCATTGGTTTGAGATAAAACTCTTTGAATAATTTGATAGGCTGGAGTAATTCCTGTACCACCTATATTCATTATTTTAATTTAATTATTAGAAGAAATTATTTAAATAAAAACAATTATATGAATAATATAATATTAATAAATAAAATTAATATATAAATAATCATCATAAAAACAATAAAAACATACCAACAATGAATGCCATTTCCTTCTTATAATTTGGTTTATAATCAATCTTTACGAAAGGACCCTTGAATTCAATTTGATCACCAACAGCAAGTTGTGAGAAATGTTTACTCAATTTACCAGTAGGATAACTCTTTACCAACAATTCCATCTTTCCAACATCATCTGATTTGTTGATTGGTGTATATGGCCTCACAACAACCTCATCAGCAACTTGAGCCTTGGCAACAATACAACTAGCAACAGGAACATTCATCTTGTATGGTACAGTGAGATTATCCTCCTTGGTATCTTCCAATGCAAATGTATAAATACTTGTATCGTGAGAGAGTGGTGTAATTTCCTTCAATTTGTAGGCTTTAAATGTTTCTGGTGAGAAGGCTCCTTCCAATTCAACATGTTGATCAAATCTATTATCATGAGTGAAAGGCTTATTATAATGATGATAGCCTGCAAAGGTAGCACCAGCAGCACCACCCAATACGAATAATCTTCTAATCATTTTTTTATTGATGATCATATATCGATCACCACATCATGATTCCAATCAATTAAATTAATTTTCTTTGAATCATAAAGTCCTTCTCTCTTAAACACTTTAAAATGGTGGTTTTCTCTGTGTTGAAATGCGCGGACTGTGAGGGAGTGAAGTTATTGGAGGAAATATAACGGATAATTAAAAAGGATGTATTATTTCATACTTTGCATTACAAAATTTGAATTTCAATGTGTGATAGATGAATGACATTACAATCATGAATAATATTTGAATAAAACTTGAAAAATTAATAAAAAATATCACAAAAGTTTTCAATTAAGTATTGTTGTAATCTTTCATTAATTAGAATTTTCTAATTGAAATGCACATAATTGTTAATACAAGATGATATTTCAATATTCAAAATATATTCCAATATTTAATTGGGTAGATCTGTTGTATGAATTTGATTCATTCCTATCATGTGATTATCGGAATCAAATATTAAATATTTTCAATTAAAAGACTAAAATATTACAAAATGTTGAGATTACAGATGAGAAAATATTTAAATCTAAATGTTTAATAGATTAATATTTTCTTCCAATTTTGTAATACTCGGTAATATTTAGGAAAAATTTGTTAAGTCAAATCATATTAATTTTCAAAGCCTTGTTGTTTCTTTAATACAGATTTTAGAATTTAAATTATAAAAAAATGGCTCTTTTATCATTCAGTGATCTTATTATCGGGTTTACATTACTGATAAATTCTATTGCCGTTCTTAATTTTAATATTCTACCAAAGGAACAATCATCGGTGATGGAAACTATTAAACAATTTATTTCGGATGTTCAGGCTTTGAGAGTTTTTATTGCAATTTGGAATTTTATTGTTATTTTCCTCATGATTTTATTCTTTTCATCATGATCAATAACTTACTAATTAATTTATATTAATATATTTACTATTTATCTCATGAACATAATTGTAGAATATATAGTATTAACAAGAATAACTAAGAATAATTTATTTACATATTCATCATTTCATCAATTGTATCAATATAGGTTTTAAATCTAGTCCATTCATCTCTACTCATAGCAACACCTTTCTTTGTTGGTTTATCTTCATAATATTCTCTGATATGAACATATTTTGACTTTTTAAATTCATTGACAGTAATTCTCTTTTTATCAGTAAAGAAAACAACCAAGTCACCATTATCGGCTTTAGTAATTTTGTGTGATGATTTTTGTTTCTTTTCTGATGGTTCATCCTCATTATCGGAATCATTATGTTTTCTCTTATTTGATTCTTCCTCTTCTTCCTCTTGATTTTTGTTCATTTCCTCTTTAATGATGGTTTTTAAAACATCCTTTTGTGATGAAAGAGAAACTCCTAAATCCTTTTCAAGGGCTTCTCTGATGGTTTTAAGTGAAACAGTGTCGTCATCAGATTGTGACTTTAAGATGGCAGCAACTTTCTTTCTAAGAATTTTTTCATCAACCTTTGACATTTTTTTTGAACTTTTTTTTTCCTCTCTAAACTTGCAATTTTTAATGCTACACATAGGAAGAAAGTAAGCCTGAAATCTTATATTAGTTAAATAGTTTGCTTTGTGTTTTTTCATTCTATCGATATATGATAAGATTTATAGATATTTTCAACAGCCTATGAATTCCCCCTTAGCTCAGTCGGTAGAGCGTCAGACTGTTAATCTGCAGGTCGGTGGTTCGAGCCCACCAGGGGGAGAGTTCCTTTTGCCAGTTGTTCAATACATTGTATTTTTCTTAATATCAAAAAATGAAACAAAAAGCCTTTCATCAGCAGTGTATTTAATTCATTCTTTCTAACATATGTATTTGATATTCTAACATGTAAATAAACTCATGTACATACATACTATTGTCGAACAAGTAATTAACTCCATCCACCATCTTTTGTTGAACTGTTGATTTTTGTGTTGATTGTCTAATTTAAAGAGAATAGCAAACTATAGCATCATGTAATTCCAAATGACAAACTTCCCTACATGGGAATTGACAATAAGATAAACACAAAATATCTTGTAGTTGTGTTAGGACGTGAAGCCCGTCTAGCTCAGTCGGTAGAGCGCAAGGCTCTTAACCTTGTGGTCGTGGGTTCGACCCCCACGGTGGGCGATTCCTTTTGTTAAATTGTTTTTGCTTCATTTTTCAAACGAACTAGAATGAGTTCAGTGTCTCGCACTTTCCTTCCATCAATCCAAGTCATTAGCCAGCTCATCGTAGTTTTAGATGACACTTCCTTCCTCACTGAATTTTAAAGTCAACCCAAGAACAAGGAAATGCCATCCTTCTAAACCATTCATTTAGAATCTATTTTCTCTCTAAGAACATGGCCTTCGAACAAAATCCTTTTGCGCACTACTTGATAGAGTTGAAACCGGTGCGCCCTTATTGGACGTATTTCTTCGCAGCAGCAAAAATTAATTTTGCAACGACAAGAGTCCCTCGTACGTGTCGGCATCGCAACATTAGATTCTTAATAGACGCAAAAAATATAAATAGTACAACGGTAAAACTTTGCAATTATTCACAACAAACAATATTAAGAAAAAATGTCTCCACTCGATATCTTCCATGATGAAGCCTTTACTTCAGTCATTCTCAAGTTTCAAAACCTCTTTACTTCCAAAAAATCAAAAAAGAATCAACAAGAAAAATCTAATAAGAAATCTTCTACAATGACTAAACTTGAAAGTGTTAACACTCTCAAGTCAACTCTCCAAATTGATACCACTAACAGTTCCTATTCAAATTCATCATCATCATCTAGTAGTTCATCTTCACCATCATCCTCATCATTATCATCAAATGGTTCACCATCATCAAATAAGAAGAAGAGAACTAAACCAAATTTAACAATCAAGACAACAAATAATGCTAGTAGTAATGGTAGTAGAAAATGCAATGCAAACTTTGTCATTCCAAAGGAACATCACTTGACAGAACATTTATCAGGTGATGTTATTCAAGATGTTTTTCTTGATTGGGTTTATTCTACTGCCTATTCTAAATTTTATTAAGTATTATGAAAGAATGATAGTTGCCAATAATAATAATACTAAGAAGAATTTAAACTTGTAAATATTTAATAATACGAATGTGTAAATAGAAAGTACTACTGACAATTTTAAAGAGTGTCAGAATTTAGTACCACCACGAATCTAAATAAATTATTTTTCAAACTTTACAATTATGAAATCTTAATAATAACTGTAATGCATATTGTAAAGATTCATATTTAGAATGTAATTACCTATAAATACATACTTTCTGAATCAAGACATTATCATCAAGTGAATGTAGTTCATTAAAATTAATAAATATGAAAAATGCCAAAAATCAAACCATCAACAATAAAAGTCAGATGCTAAATTAGAAAGTGACCTTATTAGTAGTATTGATATCAAAATGTTTATCCATTCTTCTTTCATGGATAACAATAATGTCTCTCATACTCTTCATTTTTAGATGATTTATAAAAATGTTGAAATTCGCGTCAATATTCAATTGACCAAAACAGTTAACAATCTAAATATTGAAAAAATTTAAAGAAAAACATTGAAAAAAAACAAAAACATTATATTCTCCTCTCAAACAATTTAATTGATACCATTCATTAATATATTGAAAAATACTATATTAATACTTTACAATATATTCAAATTAATATTTAAATTATCATTTTAAAATTTATACAACAAACGAGCAGAGGACAATTTAGTTGAAAATTTACCAGAAACCACCGAAAACCTTATTACGAAACGTTCCTTCTCAACTTCACGGTTACTTTTTAGGGATTATTGAAAGTGTCACTTAATATCAAAAGTCTTTTAAATTAAGCTTTTCAAATCAACTTCAGCCTAACATTTCATTTCAAGAGATTTCTACCCAACTGCCAATAATCAATATTAACATAGAAAATGTCTACATGTCATGACCTCGTTGATCAACAACTACCTCCAACAACAACAACAACTGCTTCTTCTAACTTTAATTCAACAATAACCGATTTTTATTCCACAACAAGAATGCCATCCATACAACAACAGCAACATAATCACATGTATAATAATAATAATTATCAACAACAACAACAACAATATATTACAAAATCAGGAGGAGGAGGATCTAATTGTAATAATACAAATTCAACTGTTAATTGTACAACATCAACAATAACGTCATTTCCATCATCACAAATGTATTATAATAATCAATTGTCATCAACAAGTACAATGATTAATAATCATTACAATAATAATTACACTTCCAATAATAATAATAATACAACTACTAATACTACTACTACTACTACAATTACTAACTTATCTACTACCAATCATCTTCAATCTAACTCTCAATCATGTATCAATAATAACATTAATCAATCACAATTATTTAATTGTAATAATCAAATCAATAACAATAATATCATTAACAATAATAATAATTGTAATAACAATGCTAATATCAATGCTAATAATAATAATAATAATACTATTCAACAACAACAACAAGTAGAAGAAGAATCCAAAAGTAATTACAATAACAATAACAAGAACAATAACAACAAACAAACAGTTCAAAATCATAGTTTTGATACACCCATTGATAAATATAAAGTAACAGAAATAATTGGTAGTGGAACGTATGGCGTTGTTGCTATTTGTAAAGAATTACAAACTGATCAACAATTTGCCTTGAAAAAGAATATTAGAGTATTTCCAGATGAAAATGATTTAAATCAATCAACAAATTCCACCACAAATAATGGTAAATATGTAGCATTTAATAATAGTGGTAAATTACATCAATTGAGAATGTTAAGAGAATTGAAAATGTTACATCATTTTAGAAATTGTCCATATATAGTTAATTTAAAAGATGTTTATGTTCCAAATCAATTAAATCAATTAAGAGATATTGAAATGATAACAAGTTTAATGGAAGCTGATTTACGTGATATATTTGATAGTGGTCAATCACTCTCTCCTAAACATGTTAAATGGTTCATGTATCAAATATGTCTCTCTGTTTATTATATGCAAAAAGCAAAGATTTTACATAGAGATTTAAAACCTGAAAATATACTAGTGAATAGTCAGTGTGATGTTGCTATTTGTGATTTTGGTTTAGCAAGAGGTTATTACAATTCTCTTCAGAATAAGAAACAATTATCATCATCTTCACCTCAATCTCATATCATTGATATTAACAATATTACTAATAATAATCCACTTGGTACAATGATGATGAATCATTCTAATCATTCTAATCAAAATAATGGTATTAATAATATTAATAATAATAATGGTAATGAAGAAGATGATTTGAGTGAAAATCAAACTAAACTCTCAAGTAATTATGTTGTTTCGAGATGGTATAGACCACCTGAATTATTAACAAATGCAACACAAGTGTATAACAAGACACTTGATATGTGGTCAGTTGGATGTATCATGTATGAATTATTATCAGGTAAAGGTGAAGTTTTATTTAAAGGAAGTGGTTCAATTGACCAAATTCAAAGAATTATAAAACAATTAGGTACACCTGCCATTGATGATTTTAATGGATCAGAAGCAGCACGTGATTATATTTATAACAAATTTCCAATTTGTAAAAGAAGATCATTTACAAAAAGATTACCACCAAACACTTGTCCAATGGCAATTGATTTAATGAAGAGAATGTTAACTTTTAACATGTACAAACGTATTAATCCATTAGATGCTCTATTACATCCTTATTTTAGAGAATTTTATGATCAATCTGATTTGAATATTCCACTTTCACCATTCGATACTGCATGGGAAGAAAATATGCTCTCATCAAATGATTTAAAATTAGAAGCTTTTAATACTTTAAAATCAATTAAGAAGGATCATTTAATTGAATTACAACAATTACAACAACAACAACTGTTAGAACAACAGCAACAACAATTAGATGATTACAATCAAAATGATGATTATCAAGATATTGAACTCATTGATGATCATGATATAATAATGATGAATCATGGAAGATCATCATCAGCAGATCAATTACAACATCATGATTCATTAGAAGAAGAAGAAGAAGAGAATGCAATGTTATTGAGTCAGAGTGAAAATACTCATAGTAGTACCAATAATAATGAAGATTTTCTAATGATGGTTGTTGATAATTATGGTAAATTGAGTGTTGATAATCATTGTCAACCATTATGTAATACTAATGCAATGATTCAACAACAACAACAACAACAACAGCAGCAGTATTCCAGCAAGAAAGTGATGGATCACAACTTTTCACCTTCAAAAGTAGTTATTTCATACGTGTCATCCAATGTGTATGATTCTGGCTTTTAAATATGTTAATATTAACAAAATATTATTAACAATCTTACAAAATAATTTACAAAATAAACAACTTATTTGCAATTAATTCAATTTGATGAAATGTTGATGAATTTTTCAGAATTAGTCAATTAATGACCAATTCCAATAATATTATTATGGGAATCAAGACACTGCCTCAGTCATCCTTCTAAGCTAAATTATTGTTCACTTGTTTGAATTATTCTCTAAGTGATTTTAAACTTTGTTGTTAGAACACTTTAATGATAGTGATTTAGAGTTTTCTTGCACCAATCACTGTTAGATTGTTTATGATTATTTAAGTGGCTGAGTTTGAATCATTTCAATAAGAATCTACTCCAATAATTTTCTTCCGCATCTATTTAATATGAATAAGAGTTGAATGATTGGATAACAGAAGATGTGATGATGAGAACACTTGTTGAACAATTCAATCTCGAATGCGACTGTTGCAAAAAAGCCTTCCCAAATATTTGCTCTGGTCCATATGATGACATAAAATGAACAGTGTTGTAACCAAGTTCACTGCCAAGAGCTTCTCTCTTGTTCTCACACAGCGTGCTGAAAATAGATCAGCCAACAAACATTTCCACTATCTAGCAGCATATTTTAAAAAAAATTAAATCAATTTCCTCTCTGCAATGCCTTTCTTTCAAAGTTTTATTGGCAAGACTGATGCCAAGAAGGACGTCCAAACCATAGAAAAAGCTACAGGTTCTGGTAAACAAGAAGCTCCTGACTTTGAAGGCAAGTGGAAATACTTGCAACAAGGCTTCAATAAATTGATCGACTTTTTGGACAAGAATATGAGCAAGCCTTTTGACTATAATGAATATGCTGATTTGTATTCGTAAGTAGTATTTAGTATTGAAAATAGTGGTGCGATCAAAAAATTATTTTAATGATAAATTTTATTTATTCATCATGGATGATGATGACGTTCCAATAACAATAATAATAACAAAATGTTATACGTGATCAAATTTGATAATGATCAAAAATAATAATAACAACAACAAACTAAATAGTACTGTATTCAATTTGTGTACACAAAAGGTTGATACCAACAAGAAGGGAGGAGCAACAGAATTATTGTATGATCGCTATAGAACTTGTATTAGTGATTATTTAAAGTCATTGGTTGTTGTTGCTTTAAAGGAAAAACAAGGTGATGGTTTATTGATGGAAGCTGTTAAGAGATGGAGAGATCACCAACTTGTTGTTCGTTACATGGTCAAATTATACAATTATCTTGATAGATACTATACCAAACACAACAATCGTGATGACTTGAGAAATGTAGGATTGAAGTGTTATCAAGAATTGGTTTATGGAAGTATCAAGAAAGATATGGCTCAAGCCCTTTTAGATAAAATTTACAAGGAAAGAGAAGGTGATTTAATTGATAGATCAATGATGAAAGATGGTATTACTCTCTTCATTGAAATGGGTTTGGGTAGTTTGAATGCTTATGATGAAGATTTTGAACGTACTTTATTACAAAACACTCAAAGTTATTATAGTATTCAAAGTTCTAAATGGATCGCTGAAGATTCTTGTCCAGATTATATGAAAAAGACAGAAGAAAAATTAGAAAGTGAAGAAAGAAGAGCTACTGCTTATCTTCATACAAATACCAAGCCTAAACTTATTTCTAAAGTTCAAGATGAACTTATTAGAAAGCATCAAACAACACTTTTGAACATGGATGGTTCAGGTCTCGTTGCTTTGTTAAAGACTGGTGATAAGCATGAAGATTTATCTAGAATGTATACTTTGTTTGATAGAATTGAATCATTGCAACCAATGTCAGAAAAGCTTAGAGATTTTATTACTGAAGAAGGTGTTAAAATTCACACTAACCAATGTCAACAAGAAAACATTGATGCCAAAGGATATATTGAAGAGTTACTCAAATTACATTTAACTTATTCTAAATTGGTTAATATCCAATTTAAACAAAATCCACTCTTCTTGGATGCTTTGAGAGATGCTTTCACTCATTTTGTCAATTTAGAAGTTGTTTCACCAGGTGATAAGAATAGATCTACAACTGCTGAATTAATTTCAACATATTGTGATTCTATTATGAAGGAAGTTGATAAGGTTGGTGAAGAAAACTTGGATGAACTTTTAGAAAATATTGTCAAGTTGTTCGGTTATTTGAAAGATAAGGATATGTTCTTGGCTTTCTATAGAGAACATTTGAGTAAGAGATTGTTGGTTGCAAGTCGTTTGAACTTGGATGCTGAAAGAAACTTTATTGGTAAACTTAAGATGCGTATGGGTATGTCATTCACTCAAAAGTTAGAAGGTATGATCAAAGATAAGAGTATTTCAGAAAATTTGAGAAATGACTTTAAGAATTATACAACAAATAAGAGTATTACTTTACCATTTGATTTCAATCCAGAAGTTTTAACACTTGGTTGTTGGCCTCAAATGAAGATTGATAAGATGACAATTCCACAAGAATTATCTGTTTGTTTAGATACTTTTAAAAAGTTCTACGATTCTATTACCCAACAAAGAAAGTTAGATTGGATTCACTCTCTTGGTACTGCCATTGTTACTGGTCGTTTCTCTGCTGGTACAAAGGAAATTTCAACCAACACTTATCAAGCTTGTATTTTATTACTTTTCAATAACCAAGCTGAAATGACATTCCAAGATATTCAAAATTCTTTGAATTTACCACCAACAGAAATTAAGAGAAATTTACTTTCTCTCTGTGCTACTAAAGCTGCCAATCTTTTGAGTACTGATGGTAATAAGAAGGCTGTTAATCCAACTGATAAGTTTACTGTTAATGCTGATTTTGAAAGTCCACAAAGAAGAATTAAGATTCCAAACGTTGTTGTTCACGTTACTCAACAACAAAAGCAAGATATCAGTCAAAAGGCACAAGAAGAAAGAAAATACGTTATTGATGCTGCTCTTGTTCGTATTATGAAGACAAGAAAGATTCTCAAGTATCAAGAATTGATGACTGAAACTATCAAACAATTGAGTTCTCACTTCCAACCAGATCCAAAGTTGATTAAGAGAAGAGTTGAAGATTTGATTGCCAGAGAATATTTGGAACGTGATGCTAAGGATTCTTCCACGATTCAATACGTTGCTTAAATTGTACTATTTATCATCTTTTAATAAAAATTAA